GTATTGGCTTAGCCCCTTTCAACATTTTTTTCAGTTTTATTTTAAACTCTGCTACAAGAAGTTTGTGATCAGTGTCACAGTCAGCTCCAGGTAGTGTCTTTGCAGATATTATACATGTCCTCCATTATTGTTGTATTAAAATGTAATCAATTTGGTTCCTGCTATTTCCATCTGGTGATGTCCAGGTGTAGAGCCTTCTTGGGTGTTGTTTAAATAGTGTGTTGGTAATACACATATTCTTTTCTATACAGAATTCAATCAGTCTCTCCCCACTCTCGTTTCTGTCTCCTATGCCGAATGGGCCTCTGACTATTTCCTCTACCTCTATTCTACCTCGGCCAATTTTTGCATTAAAATCTCCCATGATGATTATAATATCTCTTTTTTTTCTACCCTTTCTAATGTCTCTTCTAAACTGTCATAAAAGTTTTGAATTTGATCTTCCTCTGATGCAGATGTTAGGGCATAGACTTGAATAGTTGTGATGTTTGTTTTCCTTGACTTGAGTCTGGCAGTTAGAATTCGGTCGCTGATCGGATTATATCCAAGAAGTGATGAAAAAACTTTCCTTTTCATCAGAAAACCCACCCCGCTCAAACCACTCTTTTCCTTTCCTGAATAAACAAATGTATCTCCTGTTTGAGTAGGATTACTTGCGCACAACATTTTCGCGAAATGCAACTGATTTTTTACGGCGATTAAACGGCGGCAAAACTAGGATTAACTACAGACGACAAAAAATTAGCGACATGCGAGAATACTCCCGATAGCGCTATCCTACGGCAGGGTCCGAGTTATATGTAAGTTACGGACTGCTTTTCGTCAACTATAGTGCCACCTCCGAGAGTATCCCCAGCGCCGCTACGTGCGGCGCGGAAGGGGCTAAACTAGATGGCTAGGTCTCACGAGCAGCAGCTGCAGCAGCTCCTGCAACTTCCTCCAATGTATTTGCTCATGAGTCCCAGCCATCTAGTTTAGCCCCTTCGGCGCCGCGCGTAGCGGCGCGGGGATACTCTCGGAGGTGGCACTATAGGTTAGTTGCGTATCCTTTACAGGACGTTGCAGAACCAACCCCAACAGCCCCTGGCTGTTGTGTGGTTTCTCTAGGCAAATTTACGTCCAGTAAATAAGTTATTTGCGTATATCACTATAGTTGCCGGAAAGACAGTCTAAAATTTACAGGAGCTACTACTTCTGTCGGAAGTACCAGAGTGCTCGCATTCGCCACGGTCAAGTGGTGGTCGGGATAGTGGAGCTCCATCGTGGCGGCTGCTGGTTTGAAGTTGTCCCGAGGCGACATGCGCAAACATTAAACCGCGCATTTAGATCATGTCTCGCCTGTAATGAGAATGGCGGACAAGCCGTGCTGAGTTACAATGGCGGACATCGAGGGAGATCAGATATTCACACACTATTTGCAACTTCTGTGCAACAATTTTCACATATAAAAGATTTAATTTTCGGTAAGTAGTAGACTTTGCCCTTTTCCTTACACTTTTCGTTTCTAATTTTTCCCGAGCTACACCTTTTAAATGTTTGTAGGGCAGGACGTAATGAGGCTCTGTTTGGGTTCACTTTCTGCATAGATCATTTGGGACTGTTATTCAAAAGAGAGCCCTTGCAGAGAAATTTTCTAAGATGACCAGGAGGCAGCAAATTATTTAATATGTCAACAAGGCTTTTAACCTTTTTTTTCATATTCGCTATAGTATAGTGCTATACTGTGTGACTGTGTGCACTTTCTCATCTGAGTTTAGTTATCAACTTACGACCTGTTGCACCTAAGTTCAGCTATTTACGACCACACAAAATACATGAATAAAAATAGTAAATAAATAAAGATTACTACAATAACTACATTGGTAGGGTCAAAACATTCTAGAACTGATGCAGTAGAATACATGTTATGTATCTGTCACATTATGTATAATAATTATTATATATACATAGTTTGCATTTTTGGGCACTCTTCCGTGTACCAGTCCCAGATTATTCACTGCAAAAAACATCCCTTTGAGAGTAATGTAATGTAGTAAAAACATTTAGGTCATCATCATCTGTTTCTACTTCTGCCGCTATTGCTAGATGGATATCAATGATTCAACGTTGAGCAAAGCACCGTGGGGAGGAATAGTTTTTGTTCCATTGAGGTATCCTGGGAAGCAGTAGATTTGGATCCATTTTGTTTAAGGGTCATGGTGAGGAATAGTTTTCGATCCATTTAAGCATCGTGAGGAATAGTTTTTGATCCATTGTTCACATTACCTGTAACTCGTCTAGTGGGTTCCAGGGTCACACGTTTGCTGAAAAAAAAAAAGAATTGCTTCATTGTCACCTAAAAAGCGTGTTGTAAAAGGTGACCAAGTAGGTCTTTGCTAAAATCGAATGTGTTGGGGCCAAAGGCGCAGATATCGCCGCCTAGCTATAAACTGCAACACAACATCCCAACCACCCCTTTAAGTTTTGCCTGGCGATGAATTGAACACCAGTCACCTGCGTGACAGGCGAAATACTTACAACTGCACTACCGAAGACTCAAGAGTTTGGTTCAAATAAAATTATATAATAACGCAAAGCATAGTTCGTAGTGTTCCTATTCCATATTTTCAACTATATGACCTCTTGAGGCCTTAAATGGGATTTTTTAAACAGTGAATAATTTGGGACCAGTATTCGGATGAGGGCCCATTTTTGTGTTGTATATACCATTTATGTAATTTATAATTTCTTTAAAAAGAAAATTTGTGTTGAATTTATAAATTAAATTAAAGTTGACTTCAAAACGGAACTTGGTCATGAGTCAAGGAGACCCTGTACTTGTAATTTTAATCATATTGGGCTGAGTTTGATGATTTAAGACTACTTTGATTTATATAAAAAATAAAATAAATTTGGCTAAACTGGTTACCTACATCCTTTTGAGCCGTTGATTCTCAGTCATCATCATCTTTAACCTTCCTATATGCACTCTAACAAAATCACTAAATTATTAGGTGCACAGGGTCATCAGGGCCCCAACTTCTTGTTAATCTTTGTTTCAAAAGGTGTATCAGATGAAGTAATCGACTCACCCACATTATTAAATGAATGGCTGTTTGCTGATGACTAGTGCTTGTTCTGCAGCGAGTAAGGTAGACTAAGATCACATTAATAGGTTAAGCGCATCAAAAGTAAATACAGCATGAAGATTAATACAAATAAAACCAAAACAATGCAAGTCGATAGAACCCGTGGTCCACTACATACAGCTGAATGGTTCTGCTCTGAAACAAGAAGTGTGATCACGGAAGATGGCAGAATCGACATAGAAATAGAAACCAGATGTCAGAAAGCACATATGTACCAGTTGTGACCATAATTAAAGCATCCAAACATAACTATGCATAAAAAAAAAAGATTATAAACAGCACAATAATTGAATTTATCAAAGCAGATACAAAAATGATCCAAAATAAAGTAAAATATTTTACCTGACAAAAAGCTATACATGATGACATAGCTACTGGAATCAACTTCTTTTTCATTGTTCGCCTGAGTGACATATCTATAGATGTCTGTTTACAGCTAAACAGCAATATTTGTGCCCTTTGGCTGACACATCCAACTTTGGGGGGGGGGGGGGGGCAATTTGTTTTCTGGTTTAGCCTTCCCGGTTAGATGTGTAGGAAATTGTACAGCCTGATCCGTATGCTGGTTTCATCACCTGCTCTGCAGGTGTAGTCCTTAACCCTTTTAGCACGGGAAGATTTTCAGATGTCTAGCCAAAAACACGGAGCATTTTTTCAGTGAATTTGGTTGCTACTTTATTTAATTTTTTTGGCACATTTCTGTTATTCTGACCCCCATGAAATAATATATCTATTTGAAGGATATAGATTGAAGTTCATGATTTTCACAATATCGTTAAAATTAATTGATGTATATGCAAATTATCTCATTTGCATATCTAAAAATAGAAAATTTGAATTTGAATTTTCAACTTCAATGCATGAAACATAAAACTAAAAACAAAATTTTTTTAAATTTGAAATCTTTTTATTGATCTTGGGCCTTTTTGCAAATGTTGTAAGCAATTCAATAGTCAAAAACAGGTATATATATATATAAAACAGCAATAATATCTTTAGGCGACATGTGTTTTTCACTATTAGTCAGCACAAAAAATGGATGTGCCGGAGTGTCAACACCTTCGGGTGGATATACCCTGAGCCATGGTTGGACTGTCGTCTGAACACAACAGCATCCCCATCTGATTCCCCACTATTACTACTAACACTAAATCCTGCATCAGTATCAACAGAATTAGTGTAATCACTTGATTGAAATGTTTTATCAACATCAAGTTTAGGGGCAGAAACATACGAGTCAGACATACTTTTAGCGGTTCAGGTCACTATCTAAAAAATTCAACAACAATTTTCACTTCGATACCAAACACTCGAAAGTCGCCATGTGTAAAGTTATTACAGCACTGAATATAAATGAATCACTTTCAGTGTTTCAAAGTAGGAGATTTCTTAGCGGTTTGAGGCGAAACATGATTGGGCCGATGATCGGCCGTTCCGTGTTTTTGGCCAGACATCCGCCGGCCGATAATCGGCCCGTCCGTGCTAAGAGGGTTAAAGAACCCATCTGAACAGCTGTCTCCAGGCTGGTCGACCCTCAAACATCAAACAAGACATCCAGAAATAGAGACATGTGACAAGTCTAATGATTGAGGTATTTACATCCTGTTGTCTCAGACACATGGAGAATGCATGGTGCAGGCAGGAAATATCAGGCTTTGTCACGTGGCTAAGTGGCTAATTAAAAAAAAAAGCATAAATATTTGGGTGAAAAACAAATTTTGTTTGGAAAAGCTCAAACAGAGAAATATTTATTTAATATAACATTTAATTTATCATGTTGTGAATGATTAATGCCAAATTACTCTTAAGTGAAACATTTCTAGGCATTTCATATTCAGTAAAAATGGTTAATCTTGTCCATTTTCTTCTAAGGAGATCATGATGATCGCTGGAGTGGTAATTCAGACAGGGGACCCCGTGGAAGAGGGTACCAACGAGGCAACAGACGAGGTGGAGGTGGCAGATTTCGCCATGTCAATCCAAATGCCATGCGATATCGTAAACCGTATGGTGCAAACGAGGATGAAGATGGGGATATCTCTATGGCTGGAGATTCAGGCAGAAACTCAAGGGATAAATTGTACGTTTTGATCTTTTCTTCAGTTGTAAATATTTGTTTGTGGCAATCTTGTTGCTTTTTTCATCATTTCCAGCCTCGTCTTTATTTCAGCCAGTCTAAGCGTGCTGTATATGCTGTGTTGTTTTATGGCCTGGTTAAATTCTAATAAAGATAGCTTTGGTAATGTATGACTAGACGGTTACGTGCTGGCCTGGAGGTCTTGTGTTCAATCTTTATCAAGGCGGATTTAGAAAAAGAAAAGCCTCTGGGACACAGAGTATAGGCTGCTGGGATGCTGATTATGTCAAAGCTCGAGTGCTGATTAATTGGGGGGGGGGGGGGGAGATTTAGCATCATTTGCCTGATGCGCCACTGATGTAAAAAAAAAAAGGGGGGGGGAGATCTTTTATTTTGTTCTTCCTTTCATTTTTATATGCCTCTCATCCTGTCAGATACATGTCCTATGGCATAACAGCAAAGTCCTAATGTTCGACCGTCAAAAGCCCTACTGTTTAGCAGAAAGTTTCAGATGTCCGCTACCATTGGCGCCACTCACCGGTGGCGGGACCAAATAGAGGAAGACATGCTTTTTTCCATACTGTCACGCTTAGTGTCCAGATGAAACAATGTTAAAGATGTCTAATGTGCTGTAGAAGAGTACCTATGTTTGTGTGGCTGTCAAAGTCTCAGACATGCGGACTGCTCCCTGCTGATCTCCAGAGAGTCAGCGTGACAATTAGGAAACTCAACATATAGATGTGAAGTTAAGCAGTCATGTTCAGGACATGACCATTCCTTGGGTGAGCCATGGACCAGAAAGAACATGATATGTCAGCTTATGAAGTCTCCTTACATGTCGGGAATTGCTCATGATCTGCTCCTGCCTTCCTTTGAGGGCCAACCAGTCTACATGTGGTTACCCTGGACATGTTCTCCGGGGGCAACACCCGTAGATAGGGAGACAGAGAGAACACCACACAAACAAGGCTACACCATGTCCCTTGACACTGTCAGGGAAGTTAACCCGGTCAGCAAATGCTAGGTGAAGTCAATGTGTCAGCTGATAGGCGCAAATATCGCAGCTTTGTTGTAAACAGGCACAATGCAATTACATCACTCAGAGGAACAAAAGGACTAATGTCACTCTTTAGAATAATGGGCCTAAATTATGAAGGTTAAAAGCAAACACTAACAGGGCCTCAATGATATAAAAACGTAGGATTTATTTTCAGCAAAGTCAGTGTCCTCCAGAAATATAAGCATTGCAGGCAGACCATCTGCTCCGACACAGATTATCAGTAATGTTCTACCGATTGATGATGTGGCAGCTGTAGATGTTCTTAGGGTTAATTATATTTTATTTCCCAGTTTTCAATAGTTAAACTAAAAGACCTTTTTAGGCCCTGTTAGGGTATTTTTTTAACTGTTCATAATTTACCCCCATTATTCCGAAGAGTGCCAGAAGAATAAGAATATATACCTCTCAGCAGATGTGAAACTCTAGTAACTGTCTTACACACCCATCTGTTTTTTGGTTGTAACTTGGAGAGGGTTATAATGGTTTTGCATCACAGACCTCCTGAAGATGGTTTAGTATTAACCAGATCAGAAGAAATCTGTATTCTAGTAACATTTTGACAGAGGCGAGTCATTTTCAGAGTGCAGGTGACATGAACACCACTGCATTCTATGAAAGTTTTACAGCCTAGTCTTCCACACAATTCCACAAACAGTAACAACCAAAACAATATTTTCCCTTTGAGGATTAAACTAATGCAGTCACAAACAATCTATTGCACAATTTCTTGTCTACCTTAGTTTAACTATCTCTTCGGGTGCATGCCTGTGCTACAATTACATCAGTATATCTTCTTCTGAAAGTCTATGCCATGTGGTGTTGGTAGTCATGTATGTCCACAACCTTCTGTCTTATGTTCTTTCAGTCAACTCTTGACACAGATGAACCTCAATGTCATGATGTCAAACTGTCCAGCATCAGTATATAAGAAAGCAACAACAAAAAATTAACCCTTGTAAGGGTGAACAAAGACGAAAATGAAGACATTTGTCACATCTATTATAATTTTTTTCTTATATATGTATTGAATTGGTCTCTTATTAGTACATACGATTCCTACCTCTTTCCAAATAGCTTGCCATATTGAGTGGCCCACTCTTTTCGGATGCAGTGGCTCACTCTTTTCGGATGCAGTGGCCCACTCTTTTCTGATGCAGTGGCTCAATCTTTTCGGATGCAGTGGCTCTTCACTCACTCCTATTGACTTTATCCATGCTTTTTTTCTCTTTCAAATAATGCCTTAGTTTTTAGGTAGCATTAAAGCAACCTATTTTGCAATATAGAAGCTTTCATCTATAAAGTAGCTCAATGGTTAAGTAGCTTGAAGGTTGAAGATTCATATCAAAGACTTCTGTTCTGTACATGAATACAATTTTAAAGTTTTCTAGTGATTGTCACTTGAGCTGTGGAGTTCATGCTTTGTGTGACATTGTCAGTTAGGTAGCGTGGGGAGGGACTGAGCCCTATAAATGAAAGCCGGTACGGCAAAGTTGATCCTCTTGGCTTTAAACCTTTAAATAAACAATGATTTTTGCTCACGGATTACCATAATGTTTTGCTGTTGTGTGTGTGTTATCTTTTAAAGAATGTATTATGCTAGTTTAATTATTTTTCTACATTTCATTGTCAACAGCAACAATCGGTCAAAGGGTGGTCGTTATGGGCGTTACAGCAACAGATCGTATCGAGGCAATGCTACTTCATCTGGTGACAAAAGGGCAGAAACTTGGTTTAAAGTTATGGTCCCATTTGGCTCAGCAATAACCAGAGATGAACTGTATTCACTAATAAAAACACAAATTGAAGGTCCATTTGAGCCTTTCAGCGTGAGTGTTTGCTTGTGTCTTGTTGCAGGGTTTTGTATCCTCATATTTCCTTGGGACCCTCTTTTGAAGGGAAATAAGAATTAATTTACTACGCCGTAACCAGCATGTCATAAAATGTGACTGTTTAGGGTTTTACCAAAATAAGGCATTTTTGGGACTAAAATGTGCAAATATCACAGCCTAGCTGTAAGCCACAGCATAATGCCCAAATCACCTTTTAAGGGCAAATGCAGAAGACATGTCCTTATGTTTAACATGTGTTATTTTGCTAAGGAGACAGACCCCCCTAAAGAGAATCGTCAGTGACTCGAGAAGTAATATATGTTTATTGTCATTGCAGAATTTACTTTTTCTTTGACGTGACAGCAAAGGGCATGCTTGATTGATTTCCTTAGCCCTATGAAATATGGTGACTAGGTGAGAAACGAACATGAGACACAATGGCTTGTTTTAGAACAGATCACTGAAGCTTTAATATCGTAATGGTTAGTGCTTCGTCCTGCCAAGATAGTTTTTGTTGGAGCAATCCTCAGCAGAAGCTTCTTCTTTTTCTTATTTTCTCCAGTCCCTGTTATACCTTTCATTGTCGGGTTTTGGAAAGTCATCTGGTGGAAGCCTTTGTGAGTGCTACATTTATGCTGTTGTTCACGGCCACAGGTATTCTGTCTGTGCACTGCTTGTATGGGCAACCTCTCGGTTTGTTTCCATTGTGTCTAAATGAAATATGTCCAAAACATTTGATCTGTTGTATTTTATTGTAATTTAGCATGTTTTTTCCACATTTTTCATGATATCTTCCTTTCTGATCCTGTCTTTTCTTGATACTTTAAGGATTCGCCATAGACAGTTTACTTCTGTTGTTCAACTGAGGCAGTGTTATTATTGCAGCCGGTGTGTACATTTATTCAGCTGAGGCAACCACTATGGCTGTGAGCTCACCCCAACCTTATAGAAATGTGGATCCTGGACAATTGTCTGATCTTCCTAGTAATTGTCTGGGAAGGAAAAAAATGATGAAGAAGGGAGCTGGCCAGCCCACCTTATAGAGCTTGACCTAGAGTATGTGGAGGCACTTCACACTCAAGTGGCAGTATCTGCTGTGAGACTAAATTTACCTTTCTAAAGGGTGACATTTGGGGAATTGTTTTGGTAGGCTTCTTTACCTGTCTTTAAATAAAATGTTACTATAATTTAGCTAGGGGCTTGGGAGATTGAGTCACTTACCGTCACTAAATACTCTGCAGCTGCACGCTAGACTTTCTTTAACTTAAAAGATTTTTTGGTTTAAGTATCACACAAAGCAGTTAGGATTGACCGATTGACTGTTTCTTTCTCACAGGTTCCTACCAGAAGATTTAATTTTCCAGCTACTTAAAGAGTTGCATCTTGGATACCAGTCTAAAAAGGAACATCCAAAATAGCCCATTCAACCTCTTAAGAAGTTATAATTAGGGCACCTGTACTGGCTATACCAGATATCTTTCCTGGTATACCCAGGTGTTCAGGGCGGCTAGGGTATTGTTAGAACACTACGGTTATGGTATTTCATGTAAAGTTAAAATTATGTCGTGAATATATTTAGTTTTTTTTCTTTAGACTTTTGGCTAGAGCAGTGGTTCAGTTTGGCCCGCTATTGAGGAAAGGTGCCTATGTTCAGAATGTGTATACTCAACCTGCTATTTGCCAAAAGCACATTTGTACAAGATATTGATATTCTAGAAATGTAAGGTTAAGAACAAATAATATCTATACATGATCAGATATGCTATCCTTTTACATCTGTAGGTATTTTGGTCCTCCCCTCCCCCAACATATACATCACTTTCCTACGGCTAATAGTCCCATTCCTTTACATTTGTGAAGATTATAGCTGAAAATAGTTTCCAGAGAGATCACAGATTCTTTGTTGTTATTGCAGAAAGTTTATAACTAACTGTGATGTAATTAGATACCAGTCATCGGCACGTTAGTACTACAGGCTTAATGTAACATTTATGATTTGTTTTAGTTCTGTTTGATGATATTTATTTCATCTAAATTGTTATCATCCTCCATCTTCCTTTCAGTACTCCACAGATGAGAGACGGGCATATTTTTATGTCAAGGGAATGGCAGCAGCTGAAAGTTTGCGCAGCATTAGCAGGCGTATCACAAAACCAGATGGGCATAAAATTGTCTTCCATGTGACGGAATCCCAAGCCCCAGCCGAACACGCAATAGATGAAAGCACAATGGAGAAACTGAAGGTATAATAAGCATTTCTGATTTGAAGAAACAAACAGTAAAAGTTGAAAGTAAGGGTGTATGGTGCCAGTCCTATATTTTTATTTGTATAGACAGCAACCGAGTGATGTAGTTACCATCTCACGCCAGGATATTTCTTGGTACCCATTCTAGACTGGATTGACCTGGCCTGATCCAGGTTGGTTTAAAATATCTGTATTGTTGGGAATTTTAACCTTGTTACTTGTTATCCAAATCAGCATCCTTACACATCTGTTCAATCCATTTGTCCTCCGATGCAACTGCCATCTGTGTCTCCATGCTCACCGTGTCCAGCATAAGTATCATTTGAACCTATGACCACCAAGCCAGCGTGCAAGCATGTTAGTGTCTGCATTACCATGGCAATGGGTTATACACAAAGTATCATTTTCTTAAAATTGTAATGGGAAGAAAAAGCAGCAAAGAAGGAAACTGGTCATCCTAACTCATTATTCTGTGACCTAGAATGCCTTAAAGCCTGGCGGTAGCTTTTTCCGCCACAAACAAACATTAGTTGGTCTTGACATGCGCAAGTCTACATTACAGGGGTGTCACGTTGTGTTGTCTTCGAATCAGTCGCCGGCGATGTCACGTATTCTATGTTACACGATGTGACCGCATTAATGACCCCAGAACTTTTACAACTGGCCCTAACCTCTACCCCACAGCCTCAGCCTACATTCCACGAGAGAGCAGTCGGCGAAGGCTATAATATACACAGTGTGAGCGGCCGGAAACATTGCGTATATTATAGCCTTCAAGGACTTCAAATACAACATGAATTTACTTCAGATCACGTGACATAGGCTGCAGTCTCTCGTGGGATGTAGGTTACGGCTGGGGGGTTGGGGTTAGGGCCAGTTCTAGATGTCCTGGGGTCGCTAAAAGCAGTCACATCGTGTAACATAGAATATGCGACATCGCCAGTGAGAGCATCGAAGACAACACAGGGTAACACCCCTGTAACGTAGATTAGTGCATGTGAAAGGTCAGCAAGTATGAATGAAAGGCCAGCCAGTGTTTGTTTGTGGCGTAAAATGTTACTAATACCAGCGTAGCATACCATACAACATCATAATCTTCTGCAGACTGCAAAAGGTGAATTTGAGACAATAGACTTTAGGGCACCGGGGTTTATCATGTATGGCTCGGTCTCTCTGCCGAGAGTATCCCACAAAGCATGATGCTCCAGTCATGATCCCCAAGGATTTCCATAAAAATTGCACCCGTGAATCGAACAGATGTTCTCGCTTGTCATGAGATGAAAGATATCAGTAGAAGCAATTGTGTGTGTCTTTTTTTAAATTTAGTTATTCTTTTCTATGACCCTGTGTGTTCCCGGGAAAAGACATTTCAGTCATATTGTTCTCAGGTTTTTCCAGTGTGTGTCACTCTAGCACTAGCATCTTCTTCTTTTGCTTCTCTGAAAATAAATTAGTTCTCTCCCAAAGCTCCACATTATTATTTCTATCATAGCATTTAATTCGCTCTATTCTGAGCTGGCCCCTGTTAATGCATGTTTGTAGTTTATTAGTCATTGTTTTTTCCTTCAGGGTTCAGCTGTATACAGTAGTAATGATCTGACATTAGTGCTAAATTTTTAAAGTTTGGTACTAAATTTAATTTCCTTATACTTCCCATAGACTTTCCAGAGCTGTAAAAACTCCTCTTGCCTTTTGTATTTGTTATTTTAATATCTATATGGGTTCTCCCGGGAGTCACCATGGCAGAGCAGCTAGATGCGGGTCGTGGGTTCGCTCCCTGGCGCAGCCAGACTTTTTTTTAAAAATGACCTTGGCTCCCAGGTCGACCCAGCCTTGAGAGGGTACCAGGTGCAGTCCCAGGAAGTAAATGTGGCCGGCGTGATGCTGATCACATCACCCATTTTGTGTCTATTAGTCTATAAAATATAGGTCTAATCCTATATGCCTTTTACGCCTAAATTTGTGGAAAAGGGTTCTTGACTTTTTTAATGGGTTCTCCCATCCATATCTACCTTACTGCCTAAACAGGTGTATGACCCCACATCTTGAATTGAAATATTACTAAGAAAAATTGAACTACTGTCAGCCTAGTTTATTCTCATTATCTTTGTCTTTCCCCTATGGATTTAAATGAAGTTGTTCATTTATTATTTTTTAGACATAGAATCAAACATAATATATGTTGAAACTCCAATTATCCACGATTTTCATGTTTGGCAAAAAACGATAGATGTTTTCTTGGCGTGTGTGTGTTAAAGATAGTAAAGTATTTGCCTGTCCTTTATAGGATGTTGTACACCAACCCAAAAAATTTTTTTGTGGCTGTGGTTTTACTAAGCATTTTTACATTGAGCAGTTTGCCATTGCTTTATGAATTGCCTAAACTACTACTGTTGACAAAAATCAAGGCAGAGTGGTCTGAAACCGAATCACATTAAGTCAAGTCAGAACCTGGGATGTTGAATTTATAAAACTACATGTATAACCCTAAGACACAAAGCTGCATTTCATCACAGAAAATTATCAGTTTAGGAATTCTCCGCTTTGCACACTTTCTTGAATTCTGTTGTTTACTTTCAGGTTAGAATGAGTGACCGTTACGACCCCTCCACACAGCTGCTGAATCTAAGCGCCTTTTATTTGGATGAGGGCCTTCAGAATTTGAATATATTCCTGCCATTAAATCGTGCAACCACAATGGCCGCAGTCACAAAAATTGTTGGTGAATATATACCGGAAGTAAGCTAACACTTGTTATTGTTTCGGTGTGCATCATAAACCTGTATAGAATTTGTGTTTGTGTCTGTTATTTGAGCAAGCATTTATGTGTTTGATACTGACACAGCAGTATGTTCTGATACGCTTCAAAGCTGTCAGGACTGGATGTCAACAATAATAGGATCCTGTTATATAGTGAAAGCAGCACCAGATGTTCTGTCCCTTCATTGTGGCCACAGCCAGATCCATTCCCTGGAGGAGCTGGATAAGCTGAAAGGGTAGATGAATACTGCTGAGCTTGTCCTTAATGGCTGTGACTTCTACAATAATTACTCCTGTAAAACAGCTTACATTGGGTAAGGTGATTTGTAGATTACTGACCTGACCCGCTACTCTCGTGTTCCTGTGAGGTGAAACATGACAGCCTACGCTTATCCGCATGGTACATAATATTGATATCTTTGGTGCAGGTGCTTGTCTGATGGTAATTTGTTAAAGTCACTCTCAAGAGGGGCGGAGTGGGGTTCCTTGTTTCAGATCATGTCCTCCAAAACTGTCCCAAATACATTATATCAAGGCACAACTTTTATCCAAGAGAAACACCGGTGCAAGCCAAACTTTACGGGCCGCTGATTGAATTACAACTGACAGTGAAGTTCATACTAGAAACAACATTGCAGATATAAATAATATATTTCAAGCAAACAAAAGAAGAAGACGACGAAGAAGTTGACATATGCACGCAGCTTAAAATATATTTCTGTATATCGTCTTTTTGGTAATGAGTGTATCAAATAATCACAGTTCCAGCTTCATAGCAAATGGGTCAAGCCTTAATTGCTTCCTTCCTGTGCCAACAAAATCGCACAGAATGTCTATCGCTGTTGCTTGCGAGAAAATTGACACAAAATAGCAATAGGCTCGGCAAAACCAGTGGCATGCACACACATAAATTGAGTACGGCAACCAGTAGAAATAGTCTGGCACGAGAACTGCATTTTGCTGTTGAAAGCAGCAGTTACATGAATCAGTAGTTGCACACGCAATTAATCACAGAAGGCACCAACAGTTCGGTGGCAACAGGCCACTTGACCATTTTCTGAATCTGCAGCTCACAACACCAACCATATTGGGCACAGTAAAAAAGCATTCCCTTAGGAATTCCTAGCTCACAGTGCACTCAGCTCACTGGCTGGATGACAGAACTATATACTTTCAGTAAACATGTCGGGGAAAGTTTAACGGCTAACTATAACCAGAAGCAAATAATTTGCTACTGCTTAAAACAGTAAGGCTGTCTATCCACCATGTTATGTATCTGTGCTTTGATTTTGATTTGTTTGACAATGTGTGTATGTTCTGATTTAGTCTCTTTGGTTCCTCCTCTTACTTTTCGTTTGTCTTTAGGACTGTTGCAATCTTGTGAAGTGACTTATAACTAGCATGTGATCTCTGCAACTTCCATCTGAGCATATCCAATTTGAGTAAATCCTTAACTAGTTGCCTTTTACATTATGCTTGCTGAGGAGTAGTGTCTGTTATTTCTTCACCTCCAAAAACGTGGCTCTGCAACCCACTCAGGGAATCTATTGGATCTATGTGTGTGTGTGTGTGTTCTGATTTAGCCTCTTTGATAAAGCAAACATGCTCGGATAAAGTCTGTTCTGATTGCTTTCTTTAACAATGTACACACACACACACATATATCTTTGTGTGTCTGTATATATATTTACACACACACCCACCGATACCTTTGTATATATATATATATATATATATATATATATATATATATATATATATATATATATATATATATATATATATATATATATATATATATATATATATATATATATATATATATATATATATATACACACACACACACACACACACATATCCTCTATGGTGAATTAAAGATGGGTAGAAGATGTCAAGGCCCGCCTCTACTACGATATAAAGGTGTGTGCAAGTGGGACATGAATGATACGGGTATTGCGTGGACTCGAAACAAAATGCTGTGAAGGGGCACATCAGGAAGGGAATGAGAATAAATAAAGAAAGGATGAGAGCTGAGCGTCTGAAAGGAAACAGACTAAACACAAATGTTGACAGCGGCCCTGAAAGCCAATGATGGAAGACTTTTCTTAACGCGGACAGGTTTTGCTAGTTACACTCACCATCGCCATGGGCTGTGATTCCCATGCCGTCTCACAGCGCAAATACACACTGTTGTCTGGAAAGATGAAAAGGTGCCAATGAATGAATGTGTGTGTGTGTATTGCATGCATGTATGTTTATTCTGATTAAATCTTGTTGATAATATCTGCATGTTCTGATGTACTTGTTATATTCACCAAAGCTGTCAGGATTGGATATCAGCAAGAACAGGATCCTGTCTCTAGGCCACATGGTAGATTTAGTGAAGGCAGCACCAAATGTGGTGTCCCTTAACCTGGGCCACAACCAGATCCGTTCCCTGGAGGAGCTGGATAAGCTGAAAGGGTGGACAAATATTACAGAGCTTGTCCTTGATGGCAATGACTTGTGTAATAATTACTCCAGTGAAACTAATTACATCAGGTAAGGCGATTAGTAGTGGGAGTGCCAGAGTGCAGTAAGTATCTTTGTCTGTACAGTACAACAGAGGGTGATCATTCATGACTCGGTGTGTTCTTGCCTGAAGTTCTGATACGTTTGTCAGTAAATCGTGTAGCTGATTCTGTTAAGATAACCTTTAAATGTGTTACAGTTAACAAATTTAGACAAATCAGCAGGTGAGGAAAAATGCCGGCAGACGATAGAACATATTTAAGGAAATTTGATAAGAAAAATAATGTGTCTATGCAACAGAACACACCTGGCAGTGGTGATAAAAGGATGATCCTAAAAGTATGTATAACACACAGGTAAGCAGTACCAAAAGAAGAGAATTGAACAGTGAATAATGTGAGGACATGGTGTCAACTAATAGAGAGGACTCTCCTACTTCATGTTCACCGGCTATAAACTTCAGCGGAAAGTTCTGAGTGTTTGCTTGCACATCCATTTGACAGATCTGACTTTTTTGTATGCAGTTGTTGGTTCCTTGCTTCTCAGGCAGATGTACTCTGACTTCGAAGGAGGCCACCAGTTAGTTGACTCTTAACGACATGCTTGTTGGGGAGGCAGTATGTCTTTTCTTGTTTCCCCCCACTAAGGGGCCCTCAGACCCACATGGGGAATAGAGAGCAATGAAAAGGATGGCTTAGTATGAGTTATTTAAGGACCTGTGCTCTTTTTGGTGTTGGAGGGACAGAAGAAACATTAAGCAGTACGTTACACATATAATTTTAGGGGGGAAAACAAGTAGTCGGATGCAGTCCGTTCATATATTGAGATTATTGCCATTTTATACATTATTTAGTGTTCCAGTTTGTGCTTTGTGCATTTCACACGTTTTGTGGTGGAATCAAAATTCTCCAGGCATACAGAAAAAATACCTCATGTTCGGGAACAAAAATGTCAATTTTTGTTGTTTGCGTGGTTTTTTTGCATTAAATAATAAGCTTTCTGCTAAATTGAATGGTAGTAAGTAAAGGGCATTAGCAAAGTGGGTAAATGATAGGTAACTGTTTATTAACATATCAGGGAGATTATGTAAAGATTTTAAACATTAGAGTTTTTTTTATTATGTTAAAGTGCGTTTCATATGAGTCTGTTTCTCTGATGTATCTATAATCACAATGAAATTAGTTGTGATGTGTTTCATAGATCATTTGTGAAATGTGATTGTGAACAACTTTCTTCATGTGGGGGCACTTGACTATTTTTCTGTTTCCACTTGTTTGTGAAGCTCATTGACATATATGTTATAAGCAGTAATTTAAGTCATTTGGTGTGAACAGTTTTTCTAGTCATATCCATTATAAAGATTTTTTTATGCGTAACTTAAGAGATTTTTTTTCTGCTAATAAATGTGAGGGTTTTCCTTTAAAGTACTAAAGGGGGAAATAAAACAAGGTCAAAGAAATTGAGTAATTAAATACATTTGTATGCTTTAACGCATGTGTTGAGAGCGTTAAATATTTGTCATTTGCAGCAGATAATAGTTGTGACAGATGTTGTGATGATTTGACCAGAAGCAAGCTGAAAAAAGATGTGGCTGTACGAAGTTACAGCAAATGTATGACTGTACAAAGTTACAGTGAACATGTATGAAATAAACTGTTCCATGATACTGAAACATAATGTATCATATGTGCACAATATACCCTCAACCTGATGGACGTCATCTTTTTGGGGTCGTCAGAGTGAAGTTGTGCATTTTCCATCTGTCATCACACAATATATGACTGTCCAGACACCTGCACTGAGCCTCGTTTCATGCGGGGGTCATGAGATAAGTTGTGTGATTCAGCTCAGTTACTTTTGGCACTGTCTCTGGTTTGTTTATAAACTCAAAGATGACAGCATAGACTGTCCTGTAAAAACACAATCCTGTGTTTAAAAAAAAAAAAACAAGCGCAACTCAGCTTCCTGTGTCTGAAATCTATCAACCTTAGTCTGTAGCTCTCTTTAGATCATCACCCATGTAAATATTTCTTATATTCTTGCATTGAAATCAATGCAGCCCATAGGTCAGCAGGTTACTGTGTAGCTGTAACATGCCCCAATGTAACCGTTTTACACAGTCAAATGGGATTTGCTGCAGTTGGAAATGCATCTGAAGACTGACTGAGCAACTGAATGTCAGTCTTTTAGGCAGCAATTTCCAGAGGGTAAAAAAAAAACATGTTTGCCTTCTGTTTCAGAATAGCTCTGCTGACTTCTTATTCACGATCTTCAATAATACCCTGACTGTGCAATCATTTATTTCCTCTGTTCATTGCATTCCAGTAAGCTATGATGAATCCAGTAATCATAATCTTCTTCTGCTTAAGCTGTAGTGCTACAGTGCTGCAGATTTCAGTGCATTCTTTATTGTTAGACACTTTTCACTGCAACTTTTTGAATTGCAAATTTCTGTATTTTGTGCCCAGAGCTGAAAATTGAATTTTGATCAGTAACAGATGGAAAATATTGAAATGTTTGAGTGAATGATTTGGAACAAACAAAAAAAAATGCTTGCACCTGACAATCAAATCATCTTGTCACATTTTAAAAATATTCTTTCAAAAACAGAATCAGTGCATAATTTGTTTATGTGCTGCAGATACATGCTGTTTTCATGAGTACTGCATACATAATGTATTTAATGAATCCATGGGGCTTTGTATGATCTTGTTTTCTGTCAATACCCTAAGCTTTTGTTTTACTTAACAGTAAATTTTGGGACTAGACACCCATTATTAGCATCCAGTGTAAATGCACAGGAAAGAAATACAACCTTATGGTTGTTCTTTAACTAAGTTAACATACAGCTGATAATTTGTTGGGCATTGAAAAAAGTATGCTAATTACTTGGTAATTTCTTATTGTTCTCCAAATTGAACGAGAAACACAAATGCAACACTGAGAAATTACAAAATGTACATTGTTTCTGGTATTTAAACATTTAATTTCTTCTCAAAGCAAAGTATAAACTTGGGGTTTAACATGTTAGTTTTTGTTAATTTACCACTGAACATGAGGGTAATGCTTTTGGTATAATTTTGTAAATCTGTAAATGCAAAAGGCATAAATTGTAGATATTTTTTGTGCAGTTTGTCTGTCCACAAAATTATTTATTTATAGATAATATCTAGACCAGTGGTTCATGAATTAGGTTGTGTAGACACTACTGGGAAGGTAAATAAAACCAGGAGATTTTGAAGCTTGTAAGTTACAGCTCAGTAGTGACTGAATAAAAAGAGAGCTGCCAACAGAAAAAGACAAGACAGTATAAAAACACTCTTATAAAACCATACTGGGAAAAGTTGAGGGTAAGTGAACAAGAGGCAGACAGCAGTACATGTGAGAGAATAACATCAAGAGACAGATGAACAGCAGTCTGAGAACTTCTGCATCTAGGGCAAAAAAAGCATTTTGGAAATCCAGTGCAGCCGACCTTCATTGTGAAATAAGTGCATTTGTGTGTGCTATGGATCTGGTTACTGAGGGGGCAAGCTATCAGTCGCAGTTTGAGAATCACTGGTTTAGACATATTTTTAAACAGTGTTTGATTAATACAGTTTACATTAATGTTGCAAATATGTCTTCTTTCTTTTTTCCCCCCACGGTAACACTAGCGCTGTCCGCAAGAAGTTTCCTAAAGTTGTCAAACTGGTGAGTGTGATTAATAGGTACCTGTATGAACTCTGCTTTTGATCAGCGTTTAGTCAAGACTGTTTTGTGAAAGATCACTCTTATTGCATATAGAAAGCCATTTAAGTACTGCAGTGTCCTTCCATGATTCAATCAGTCACAGATCTTAGATTTTAAAGTATTCTAGATCATAGCTCTGCACAGCCACTTTTCAACACTCAGTCCGTGATTGTGTATTGTTCTGACTACATTTGTGCCATGAACGCCTTTTCTATACTTTCATGTGTATTGTGACTTTCATGTGTATTGTGACTATGCTTATGCCATAGATATTTCATATGAGCTGTGACTTTTGTATCATGTACGTTTATTTACTGTTTTCATATGTGTTGCTACTTCCAGTTTGTAATTTTTTTAAAAATACTGTTTTCCTGTTGTGGCTTCAGCTGTGCCATGTATGTTGTTTTACTGCTTTCATATGTTGTATGACTTCCAGTGTATCATGAATGTTTATTTACTGCTTTCATATGTTGTATGACTTCCAGTGTATCATGAATATTTATTTACTACTTTCATATTTGTTGTGTCTTCATTTGCGTCATGTATATTTTTTGTTTACTACTTCCATGTGTTGTGACCACAGTTGTGTCAATTATATTTACTACTTTCAAACATGTTGTGCCTACAGATGTGCCATGTATTTTTATGTACTACTTTTATGGTTCCTGTCATTTGTGTTTATTTACTGCTTTCATGTTTTGCCAGGATGGAAAAGACCTGCCACCTCCAATAACCTTCGACCTGGAAACTATCGTGACTCTTCCACCTTCAAAGGTAATTTTGTCCTGGAAATAGTATACAAAAGTTACTTTTTTACAGATTATAAACAGCAGTAACTTTTTGACAGCAAATAAAAGTATTTCCACACTTATAGAGAATAACTTATGATGTCATACCATCCAAGTTACACCACAAAAAGGAGAGAGATCTAGAGCATGAGGTAGACCAAGAACACAATGGAAAGATAACATCAGAGAAATGATACAACATTGTGATGTTGTCTGTGGTAGAGGCAGTCAAAAGAGCAGGAAGCAGGACTTCACATATCTCCTTGACACTCAAAGCGGTAAGAGATAAACATGAAAAAGAAGAACTTGTTGATGCCAACACAGGGCTGTCAATATTCCTAGCACATTCCTACATAAGTGGCACTTATGTAGCTACACAACCAAAACCAGGCACAAGCAATCAACATACATGTCCTGACAGAGTACACACAAACTGTGTCTTATCAGATTCTATTATGGTTCTTCATACAGCAGGGTTATTCAACTGGCAGTTTGCAGGCTAAATCTGGCCCACGGATGCCTAGCAAGTGGCCCACGATGATCCCCATTTTAATATTTTGGCCTCTGAGTAAACTTAATTGAATCGACCTGACATACAGGTTACTTATTAACTATTCTCATACACATCTTGATAAAACATAACATTTTCAGCAAGTGAATGAAACAAGTTTTTACATATATGAAAGAATTATTTCTGCAGCCTTTGCCTTCCATAAATATAATTTATAAAGAGACAATGTATTGGTCGGTACTCATAGAAAGACACACTTGACAACATAACAATTGAAAGCTATTGAGGGAATCGAACCTGTCACCTCCAAATGGCATGTGCACCTCGCTATGGAAACAAGCATACGAAGAACTTAGCCAAGTAGGCACCACGAAAAAAGGTGTCCACTTTGGCATGTCTATCGTACAGCTTGAAATCCACAGCTTTGTAATATGGACAGAATTAATTTCAAACCACTGAAATGGCACCATAGGTTGCAGAAATTTATAATAACAAAGCATAGGTCGAATTACAAACACAGCACCAATTTACAAGCACAGCAGACCATAATGCTTTGTCTAGAGAATACACACAACATTTAAGAAAGAAACTTGTTTAGTAGGTTCCATTGTGTTACATGTCATTCACATAAATAGAGGGGCCACTCTTTAAGCCATATAAATATTATAGATATATAATTAATAAAGAGAATTGTATTGATCGGCACTCATAGAAAGAAGTAGAAAAACAGGACATGCTAAACAGCATAAAAATCAAAAGCTTTTGTTACCGTGCCGGGAATCAAACCTGTCACCTCCAAATGGCATGTGCGCCTCGCTATGAAAACAAGCATACTAAGAACATAGCCAAGTAGGCACCCCACTTCCATGAAATAACTGTGTGGTTACATTCTACAGGGTAATTACTTTGTAAATGATGAAGTTCAGAACCTGGTGGTGCTGTTTATCAAGGAGTATTACACAATCTTTGATTCAGACAAACGGCGTGATCTTATGCCAGCATATCATGAAAATGTGAGTATTTCTTGATTTCGTCTACAGAACAGTGGTTTTTTAATATGTGATTGCATACACAGGTTTCACGTTTTTATTTAAACATCGCCTACTGATTCTGTTTCCAACACATCCTTCTCATTTTATTTTATAGTTCACTTATTCTGTGTGTTACCTGGTGATAAGGTGTGAACTCATGTCTTTTCCTAAACACTTGTGTCCAGACTCACTGTTGTCTTCGACACACATTTGTTATCATAAGCTGCTTGTATTATTCTGAAAAGTCACTGGTCGACGTTCAAATGAAAAATGAATCTTGCTCTTTGATCTTGTTTTGTTGGATTTTGGATCAACCTGGCCACTTTCTCAACGGTCAAAAGCAACCTATGTATCATGGGACAGTAAGCACATGCTCTGTCTTTTGTTCATTGGTCCCTACTCAGTACAAGACTATGACATAATCTGGTTCATCGCACATAGTTACGCAAGCTGTGGCACTAACATGTTTCAGTTGAATGCTTCTAATAATTGTTTTTTCTGTATATTCTGTATCAAGTGAATTGCTCACATGTTAATTATATTGCCTGTTTATAATAAAATATTTGAAAGTCACTGATTTGAGTTTTTGAAAATGATTTGAAAAAACAACCCACTGTAACATTTCCTCATCATGTAGCAGCTCCTTTGCGGAATGTTACCCTCGTCAGGTATTGACTAATAAAACTATAAACAGTCATGTCAAAATATGAATTAAGTTAATGAATTCAATAAAATGACAAATACAGTATTTCAAGATGTTTTTGTGTGTGTGTGTGCTTAATTTTCTTTGTCAGTTATCTTAGATGAATTATCTACAGTTCATAGATTGAAAAGTGAAATATTCATAGAACTATTGCCCTTTCTAATAAAATTTGAACAATTGTAGTCTATTTACTAAGCAGAAAAGAATGCTGGGCTCTCAATCAATATATCAAGGTTTGATTCCTCTTTGTTTTCTTCCCTGATGTGAATAATAATTCATTCCTAACCTGCACAGTATATAGCAAATGTACTAGCCCTGTGGGTTCTTTATTAATATCCTTACCCCAGATGACGTAACAGGAAAGTCCAACATTTTAGAGTGTGGTAAGATTGGGTTTCCTGGCTTTCTGATGCTTTTAACGACCTCAAAACATCTAGAACTGCCCTAACCTCCAACCCACCTACGTCCCACGAGAGAGTGCAGCCTAGGTCCCACAACTGCATGCAGCCTATCTACCACCTCCTGAAATAGTAGACTGTCCCATGACCTGTGAATTTTCCCTGTTTGGGGTATGATATTAATAAAGCCCCGCCCTGTGACCCTAAAGTCTCAGGTTCCAGACCCTCCCTGCCTTATATTGCCTTATGCAGCAATAAATGCAGTAGTAGTAAAGACTCTTTATAGAATGAATGCTGTAGCAGAATTTTGTGCAACTTCGCTTGCACCAGTGTAAACAGTTTATTGATTAGAATTTGTCATTAATGCCTTCTGTAATTTTTCTGCATTTTAAATTCCACTTTCAGGCACAGTTTTCACTTTTTGTGGGGAGAAATCTTTTGCTGGACAGGTGAGAGGGTTTTCTATTTGAGTTCTTGTTGAAATGCATGAGAACTATAAATATTGTTGCAGTTCTGATTTATTGATGTCTAGCTTTATATCTTTCTTCACTCTTTAAGGCCCGAGCAACATTCTGAGCGTTGATTGAGAAGTTCCGTTTTGCCTAAAAAACGCTCTCGTCGTTGATTGTGTGTTCCGTACATATTGCTTCGCACATGTCTCCGTACTTGTTTCTAATGTTTGGAACTATGATTAAAGTATTCAGGGAAAGTCACTCTAAACGATTTCCTTTTAGCAACATTCATATCCCAAACCACACTTGCATAGATTGATAGGATTCATAGCAAAAATTTTTTCAGCAGTGCATTTTCTAAGTTCATTAACGAGTTTCATAAATACCGATGTTCCAGCCACAAGTACAGGTCACAGAATGTATCTTTCTGAGGCACAAGCTGTGAAATTGTTTCAGTCAAATGTTTTTAATTCTGATAATAATAATGAATTTTTAGATTTTTAGGAAAGTGATTTGGACGGTGAATTTTCACGAGCGAAGCTGAGCAATCAGCTGTTGGGAATCTAGCGATTCTGATGATTTTACACAGATGCCCTATGGCTACCATGTTTATGGTGTAAGAGAAGGAAAGTGACAGTACTATGCTATGGCTAAACTTCATTGAAATCATTGCAGCTACAGTCTGCATATAACTGTAAATAGTGTGTGTGTAATGGCCCATTTTTTGTGCAATTTTTCTCTCTGAAATTTTGCTCAGCACTCTGAGAACTAAGAGCCCATGAGTGCTAAACTAACCCGGAAACATTATAACTTTGGAATTTGTAAGGGAATTGAACAAACTTTGAAGTTTTGTTCTCAAATTTGGTATTCACTACTCTTGTGGCTGCAAAACAATGGTAAGTGAAGAATTTATTTGTAAAATGTTGTTGTTTTGAAATGAACACCTGCTGAAATCATCTTCTACAAAAAAAAATCAAACACACTTATCATCAGATTGAAAATGTACAGTCATTTCTCTTGTTAAAAAATTCTTTTATTAGGATTAGAGGTATATTACATTCTCAATTGCCTTTCTTGTACACCACCCCCTCTGCCATTTTTGCAAAGAGAAATTAATCTGGGCCAAGTCTCAAAATTCATGGGCCTAAAAAGTTAATCTTTTTTCGTTTTGAAACAACGTTTATGTGCATTGGTTGCCAACTTTCTGAGTTCGTAGTATTATTTGCTACACTTGCTCTTTCACTAAGGGTGTTGTTCATGTTTTGATATATTTCATCCTCTTGCTTGGAAGCTCGCTCCCCTCCCCACTCTCTCTCTCTCTCTCTTTCTGTCTGTCTTTATCTCCCTCTCTCTGTTTCTCTCTCTCTCTCTCTCACTCACATATATTTTCAGTTGTCTCTGTATGTGTGTGTATATATTCCGTCTCCACTATTTGGATACATTCATCCTGCATTTCTTAATCAGCTTAACCTCTAGGAATTCTTGATGTTAATAATTGATTGCTGCTCATTTAGCTGCAGCAGTTCCTTGTTAGTACCTTATTCTCAAAACATCAGTGTTACCGCCTTTGATGGATCAAACAGTTCTTCTAAAAGCTGTACATGTTAACTTTTTTTTTAATCGATTGTTGCTGCTTTTTTCTTTCACTTGCAGATGAAGCATCAATCAGCCTTCCTATCCTTTGTTACCATATTCTGTTTTACCCTTTTCTTTTCTTTTTAAAAATTTTTTACCTATAAAATCTCTCCAGATTCCTTCAGTGTCTCGCCATCATGCCATTGTTTATCTTGGCTGGCTGATTTATTTTTTTTTGACAGACTTCATGAAAACTGTTTAAGTTTTAAGTTGTCTGTACAGCTAGTTGACAGTCCTGTGCCAATCCTGCTGTATATGTTATAACGTAGTAATGGATTCCTTTTCATGCCTAATAAGTATTGGGTATTTAATGTTTAATTAAATCATGCCCTTCTTCTTCTTTTTTTCGTCTGCCTTTCTAGCCCCCAGTGGAGTATAGGCCCTCAACCAACTCACGCCAAGTCTTTCTATCCTTTGCTATCACATGCAGCTCTCCCCATCTTTCTATCTTCATTCTCTATGTGTTTTTTTACCCTTCTTTTATTCCTATGCCCTTAGGGGGTTCCAGTGCAAAAACATTCTAGTTATATTGTTCTCCAGTTTTCTCAGTGTGTGTCCTATCCAACACCAGCCTCTTTTCTTCATCTCTTGGTCCACTGGAGCTTTTTTAGTTCTCTCCTAAAGTTCTACATTAGTGATTCAATCATACCATTTTATTCCCTCTATTCTGTGCAGACACCAGTTAATGATTGTCTGTAGTTTATTGGTAATTGTCTTAGTTGTTTTCCATGTTTTCACCTCATACAAAAGAACTGATTTGACATTAGAATTAAAAAGTTTAGTATCTATTTTGACCTCCATTAAAACATGCTTTTCAGGTTGTATAAACTATTTTTATGTATTTGTTTAAATTATATAACAATGGCTTATGAAATAATAGTTGCTTATGTTTCTTTATTTCAGGCAACCTGGATTTAACAATTTCTTTGATGACAGCCGCAATCTGAAAAAGATTGGCCATTTTGATTCAGGTCAGTTACATTGGTATTTCAGGAAAAATCTAACTACAGTTGTTAGTTTCTTTCTAATGGTCACAAGGAATGAATAATCCCTTGTTCAGCTGGTGTGTGGAGTTGATTTTTACGAGCATGTAAACTGGATAGCTAATATTTTGGCTACATTAAAGGCCATAATGTTTTGCACAGAAAAAGAATCAAGTTATAGTTTCAGGGGTGAGCCAAAGAAAAACAATGCACACAAAAGATTTAAAAAGCCATCAACCCCCTCATTTTTTAACCATTACCTTGTTTATGTGTGTGCGTGTACACAATAAAACCACATTAACACAAACTCGCTTAAGAAGAACACTGTCAACATAAACAGAATGTTGTTCCCTGCAGGGGTGTGTTGTTATTAGATCTTGGGTTAGCATACATTTGTAAACACAAACTCTTGGTTTTTCTGTCCCCTAGAAAGTGCCGAAGTTTCAGTGTTTTCATATAACTCACATACTCTTAACCCTTTCGCTGCTATGGATGAGATAACTCGTCTGTCTGGTAGACTGCTAAGGACGAGTTAACTCGTCTTCTGTTTTCTGTGCCCTCACTGCTAAGGGCGAGCTAACTCGTCTTCGACTTTTCTTACAGATTGCTTAAAACTGTAATTCTCGGGGGTGAAATGGCAATATACATTACCTGAAACTGATCAAAGTGACACATTTACATACAATGAAAACACATATCACGTTCATTTAGGTGTATTTAGATGCATTTCACATTATTATGTTGCTTTGTTACCATAGAAGCATGGTCGGTGAACGGTATATTTTTTGCCCTAAAATATATTTCTGGTTTTGCGTTAGTCTACTTTTTTTTTTTCTTGAAATACAAAATAACAAGAAAAATTGGTTAATTATAGTTAATGAAGAATTAATGGAGTTTTTTTCGAGTTGTAATAGTAAGGATAACTTTGAAACGTGTTGAGGAGCTGGGCTATCTTCGCGGCACGCCGTCGGACACGTGTACTTCTAGCCGTGAGCAAGACTGACCATATGACCCAGCTATCTACATTGACTGGATTTGAAATAAATCCCCAATAATCAAAATGAAGATATGGTCACGTACTGACATAATTAATACTAATGTTTCTAATAATATACAACTGACAAAACTGTGTTTGTCTATCAAAGTGTACAATACTGGTCCTATTTTCGGTACCAATTTTCATATAAACTTCTAGTGTAGTTGGTATCACGTCTGCCTTGCAATCGAAGGGTCCTGCGTTCAATTCCTACAAGCCATATTTTTTATATATTTTTCTTATTATTAGAATTTTGAATGTAAATTCTAAATTAAAGCTCTTAGCTCTTTCGACAACAGATCACAGAAGTATTAATTAATTAAACATCATGTCATGTGCATTAAGGTGCATTTAGATGCGATACACGTTATCCTGTTGCTTTGTGAAGCATGGTTGGTATACTGTTCATTTGTGTGGAAAAACACTCCTGTTGCCCAATTTCACTTAATGTTAGTAAGAGAAATTCTACAGAAATATTGCAAGGAAAAAAAAAAGTGAAGATCTGCCACTTCGTTTAGTACAAAGGCATTACCCTTCACTAATAGAGTCCGTAACATCACAGCAGAAATTCCCAACAAGAAAGTGTGTGGTATGCGCAAAAAGAAAAAACGACGGGAAACCCAGATACATGTGCAAGGACTGTGATTTGGCATTGTGTGTCGCACCTTGTTTTGAAATATTTCACACAAAAAGATATTAATAATAATTAAAAAAAACCATGTATTTGCTTATAAAGTGTTTTTTGTTTGCTTTGTAAGTTTGAAGTATTTCTTTTTGTTAATGAGTTTTTATGGCGTAGCCCAAGCGCGTCCGACTTGACAGCGCAAAGGTCAACCATGCGCCTTCAAAAGAGTTTATTTTAGGTGTACAATTTTACCCCGCGCTGCAAGCGCGTCTTCTGCTTTTGGAGGCGAGAAAGGTATTCAGCACAGGAGGAAAGATTAGCACTCGCCTGGCTCAGCACAGTGGTGACGTTGGCTGTCTGAGGGCGCAGCAGCGAAAGGGTTAACTGAAAAAGGCGTCCGTGGCTTAGGTGTTGCTAGTCCGACACCTAATTCCAGCGTAGTGTGATAAAAACCCACTGCTGGCCACGTGGATTTTTATCATGGTGTGGGGCTTCGCAGGTCAACCCAGCATAAAATGGGTACCAGGATGTATGTCCTAGGGAGGTAAAGACAGTTGGCGTAGTGCTGACCACATTACCCACCTAGTGCTGATTGGTCTGTAAAAAAAAAATATGGGTGCTCTTCCCAAATGTCCGATGCGCCTAAAGGCGTTAAAAAGGATTTTTACTTTACTTTTAACTGAAAACTAAGTTTTCTTTAGCCTTTTTACCTAAAAGAGAGATGATTGTAAAGAATTTCGTACCAGAGCACAAGAATGAAGTGTGTTTAAAACTGGCAGATTTACAAATGTATAAAATATTATGAAAATATCTTCTTGATACACTGAAAATACCATGTAGTGTATTCTAATGTGCTGTGTAATGTGCAAGAAATAGTAATATCACAAAGAAATGAAGTGTTCCTTTTATGTTATATAAGATTAGTTGCGTATCCTTTACAGGACGTAGCAGAACCAACCCAACAGCCCCTGGATGTTGTGTGGTTTTTCTAGGCAAATTTACGTCCAGTAGTTTACCATTGCTTTCTTGACGGTCGGCTTTCTTGATACCACTGTCAAAACCATGGCAAGGCGCATGAGCCGCAGCTGGGATCAAACCCGGCATTTTGAATCTTTCGCATCGACTTAGCCACAGAGCCGACTTATGTTATTTACTAATTATTAATTTGCATTTACTAACTGTAACATTAAATACTGCCTCTCTCTTACAGAAAAACTGAATAAAAAAATCAAAACTGGAGTTCTGTCAGTGGTATCTTGCCTGGAAGCACTGCCAAAAACCACACATGATATGAATTCCTTTGTAGTGGATGTCAGTTTGGCTACGGTAATGATCAGGTTTATTGCTTTCAATTCTGTGGTAGCAAAAATATTGTAAATAATAAATGAATAAACAAGCTTGTTAACTGTTTTACAAATCTTGTATCTATTAAATAAATTACTAACACATTTTAGTGTCTGAATGTGCTGGTGTTAGAGTGGTTTTTCTGGTATCTTTGCTCAGATGATAGGTTCAGTGGTTTTTCACTTTTTTGAAAAATCATATACCATTTTAGGCAAAGGTCTAGTGTATGCATGTGGTCAATGCTTTGTAAATTTGCTTACTATTTTTAAATATGCTTGTGTTATTTGCTAGGGAATCCTTTTTTTTTATTTTTTATACACTTTTGTTGTTTTATGTCAGTAATCTGTTTGTTTTTCTTTACAGCCAACAATGATAACTTTCAGCTGGCAAGGAGTATTCAGAGAAAGTAAGTTTCAAATAAGTTTAGAAATGAGCTAATTGTGATAAATAGATGTATTCTCTTGTATCTGTGATTTTGTCGAAGTTTACAGTGGTGCTGAAGCACAGGAACCAAGGCACGGACTGGTCAAGACCTATCTACAAATTCATTGTCGTCCTAGAAATAGGTCCCCCAACAAGTGGCCAGGCCGATATAGACAGCATCCCTTAGAGCCGGATTACATCTGCCTGAGGCAAGGAATCAACAGTTTGCACACAGATCTGTAAAATGACGCAAAAACCAAGTCCCGGTGCAAGAGAAAAGTCCAAAAGTTGACAAACGAAAATTAATCTCTACTGAAGTTTACAGCTGGTCAGATGGAGAGGAAGAAGAGTTTGTCTATGTTTTCAGATTCAGTAAGTTTTCTTGTGGATTCCAAGGCCCCATTATAGGGAAAGCTAGAATTGACACCCTTCCTCCCCAGCAAGCATGTCATAGTTGACTAATTGGGAGCTTCCTTCGAAGCTGAGGTGCATTTACCCGACGAACAAGGAACAAACAACCGCAGACAAATAAGTCAGTAAAATAGATGTACATGCGAAACTCAGGCCCCGGCACAAAGCCAAAGTCCAAATGGACGAACGACTAGGACTTTCCACTGGAACTTGCAGTCGGTGAACTAAGAAGAAAATCCCACCCAAGTGATGTGATTATCTATACATATGGCTCTGTGTTGAGGGGCAGATAAAGGGCATGGGGGTTCATAGCAAAGGGGAATGGACGTCGCTTAGTGCAGTAAAGCCTTGCATATGATATAACAACGTCTAGTTTGAGAATGGAGGTGGAGGCAGTCTCTGCTGCCTTCTGCCAGCTTGAGAATAAGCTGTATATACATGCCATGATTGTAACTGACTCAGCTTGAGAATCAGCTGTACATAAATGCCGTAATTGTAACTGACTCACAGAGCATTTTTAGAATTTGGAGACAGGCATGCTTCGTGCGGAGTGGCAAGCATCACTTCAGAGGTCCTGTGTCGTTAGCATCCTTTGGATATTTTCTCCAGGTCATGCTGGTGTGTTGGGAAAGGAGCAGGCAGATAGACTGGCCGGCTCTGCACCACTTGGTGGTGAATTGATATATGACAAGCTAGATATTGTGAGAGCCCTTTGGGAACAAGTGAACAGTGAAGAGACACAGATAGATCATTACGGTTTGAGGAGAATGGCGCTGCGAAGAGTTAACAGGGGATCTGGTCAACACTCAGCACTCAGGGGTAGGATGAGACGTATATATAATCAGACAGTTACTTGAGATATCGGAATTAGAACTCTTTCACTTGCTGCCGAAGAGCTCTTATGGGAGTGTCCCGAATGCTGTGATGTTGTTGCTTAATTTAACAGTCAATAACAATGAGAAGAAGACATTCTTTAAGTCGCAGTTTAATTATTCACTAGATATAACAGCATCTAGCTTAATGTTAGCCCATCTGTGGTTCCCTATTTGGTTAGATCTGTAGGCCCCTCTTATTTCGAAGGTCTGCCACAGGCTCCCATACTTTTTTTAGTAGTCATGTTTAAGAACATAATTCATAAATATTTGAGTCACAAAAAGAGTTGCATTCTAAAGTTTTTCTGTCAATGACTTAACAGACATCTTAAATTTGTTCTATGGATCCTGGGCTCCTAAATGGGAAAGACTGCTTTAGAAGATTCATTATGCATGCCTGGGATATGAATGGTAGAATTATATTTTTTAATTAAAAAAGTATGGCATTTATCGTCTTAAAAACACTGCAAGCAACTGTTAATATTTATTTGTGATTTTTCCAATCAATAGATGACAGTCGCACAGACAGACCAACAATTCGTACTTTTAGTCGGACATTTATAACAGTGCCTTCAGGACCAGGGTAAGTGATAGACAGTTTATAACTGCCCTCAGATCTATAATATGTGATACATGTATGTGTAGCTATCCCAGCAGGCCTGTGGTGGTGTCTATAAATGTAATATTAGGTGTTCTCATGGGTCGGGGTAAGTATTACATCTAGTTTTGGCTATGCTTTGAGGCTTTAGTAATAAATATTAAATAACCAAGGCCTCTAACTTAGAGATTAGTGACTCCGTTTTACATCCATTTTTATGATCAAGTACTCGGAAGATGACTTCTAAGGTTAGAAAAGTGTCACACAAACCATTACTGAACGACTTCTAAGGTTAGAAAAGTGTCTCACAAACCATTACTGAATGACTTCTAAGGTTAGAAAAGTGTCTCACAAACCGTTACTGAACGACTTCTAAGGTTAGAAAAGTATCACACTAGTCATTACTGGTTTTCTGGAGAGAGTCAATATGGGTTTTCACTGATTGTTATAACATACTTGATTTAGTACTTTGTTTTTGGCATATGTTGCCTGCACTTTGATGAATAACCATCATTATGAGGGTATAGGGAACTTCACCTGTGCATAATATCATGTTTTTTATTTTCATCAGGATGGTGATTATAAATGATCTGTGGACAATTTCAAATGCCACCAATGAACAGATTAAGGTGAGTTTAGTAAATTACTTAAAGTTTGTTTCTTCTTCTTTTTCTTCTTGTTCAGTTATTATAAACCTGTGCAGAAAAGATCTGATTGTTTGTCCACTTCTGGACTTTGGTCTTGATCCAGAACATGAGTTTTGCATATACATCCTGCCCCAACACAAAGACTGGATGTGACCTAAGGGAGCTACATTGCAAGAGAAGCTATGGGGGACTAGTGGCCCCCTTATCGCACAATCCTATTTGTGACCCAGACGGGACTCAGTGTTTAGCATGACTGATGTCGAACGCAGAAGAAGTACACATCTGTTGTTACAGATCTGACTTACTTGTGTGCAAACTGTTGGTCCCTCACCTATCAGGCAGATATACTCTCTACTATGAAAAAAAATATCCTTGTTAGTCTACTAATCTATTTCAAGTGAACAAAAGAAGTCTAATTTTACAACATGTTTAGTTTTGATGTGCAGTGAGTCTTTTTTGTTTGTTTGTTACTTGGCTCTGGATCCCACTCTTGGATATTCATGTTTCTAAAATTACTCCCTCATTATTTGTTCAAATGTGTATTTTTTTTTTTTAATTTCCTGTGGAATCACATATCTCTTATATGTTTCTCAGCTTTTCCCCCATTGTTCATGTTTCACTAGCACACAAAACAGTATGGGCTTAATTTATCGCCTGAGCACTCATTTTGTGTTCTCCACTTGTGCCTTGATGATTCTGCTTGTAAACCATACAAGGCGTCTTCTGTCATCCCTAAGTAGGTTTGGGGGGGGGGGGATTGAAGAAAAGACCAACCTCACCCTAATAAGAGGGCCATAAAGGGTGATTTGTTAGCAGTATGCTGAAATTCAGATGTACTGGGCCAGAGGCACCGATGTTGCAGCCTGGATGTGAACATGTCTCCCGCCAATTTATGGGCGAAAACAGAAGAATCTGTTATCAGAACTAACTGTTCCAAGATAATTATATTTGTTCACTTGTTTAAGAATGTTACATTTCAGTCTTCTTAGAGATGACCATATTTTGTTTTGTTGCAATTTAGCTCTGAGCCTAGTTGATCACTGGATGCAGAAAATTGGTGTGCAAACATGTTAAAGTGACTTCTGTTTACAGAATGCATTCAAAAGTGCTGCTCCAACTCCATCCTCCAGTCCGGTACCCAGCATTCCGAGTGTGGCTGGACCCAGCACTTCCCAGAGTCCTAGTCCTGTGCCTGCCCTCACACCCGTACAGCTGCAAATGGTTGACAGTTTTGTAGTACACTCTGGCATGAATCCCCAGTTTTCCCTCAGGTAAGTTGTCAGACATGGGCCTTGACTGTTAATGTTGAACTCATGGCTAAATTATTCAGCTTTATTTAATTACAGCAGAACTCCAGTATTTGTCCATGCCAGTAATCATCTTTTCTGAAGTTCATCCTGTTTTTCATTGACATTTTTGCCAGTTTTCTTCCTTCCTTCAGCGAGTCAGCAGGCAAGAAAGAAAAAAGAAGATGATTTGCCAGTTCCAAGTGCTGAAATTAAGGAATGGCTGTATAATGCACTTAAATTAGAGAAATGTCAGACAAATGCTGGTATCTACGGCTATAAGACACAGATAATTGGTGATATATTGGACATATCCTGAGGAGGAATAAACAGTGAATCACTAAAAAGGCAGTTAACTGGGAAACAAATGGATTGAAATCTCGATAATGTCCATGATAAAAAGAAATGCACAGGATGGAACAATGGACTGTGAGCCCTATGTGACATAAGGGCACAACTGGATGATGATAAATTGGGTGTGTGTGCTGAGATATGTGTTTGATTCGTGGTCAGTCACAGTAGCACTATTCTTACCACCCCCACGTAGCCACTGATCTAGACCTAAAAAATCATTACTGCATATTCATTTCTGTGAAATGAATGTAGTAGTTTCTTGTGTTCTAGAAAATTTGTCTCTGTTACTGGGTGCAGCAAAACAAATCTGTTTGCAGAACTTTTGTGCAGGCCATGTGTCTTACTAATAGAATTTTTTTTTTTTTGGGTAGTCAATGGCTAATGAAAATTGTTCTCTTTCTCACTTGTGCACATACAGTAATGCTGAATAAACTATTTTATTTAGATACTAAACAGTACATACAAACATTCACACACAATAACGCCAGATAAATTAGTACTTACATAATAAACAGTACTTACATTTCTTATAATTTTGTAGTTATTCAGTCAGTCATTAGCATGTCCTGTGCAGAACCTTGCTCCCATAACTCTCTGGAAAACTTTTCTATCACAAGCAAGGTGTCCCACATTCAATACACCCATCTGGAGATCATCCGCCACATCCTGCACCCATCTTCTCTTTGGCTTTCCTCTTCTTCTCTTTCCAGTCATATACCTCTCCATTATTGTTCTCTCTAAACTTTCGTGATGTTTCAAGTCACCAAAATATTTCAGTATTCAGTACTTGAAGTTTGGATGCATTTGTTCTTTTCTTTACTTATGATATTCTTAGAACCTGTCTATAACATTTGTATTCAAAGCCATTTATGCCCTTTTTAGCTTGATTAGTAAGTGTCCAGGTCTTACATGCGTATGTTGTAATGGGAAAGATGCATGCTCTTAGAATTCTAAATTTTTTTTAGTTATTTATAAAAGAAAATATTTTTTTGTAAATTTATGAAGACGTTTAATGTTGAATTAAGAATCGACATCACAGCACTCGGGACACTCCCATAAGCGCTCCGTCCCCATCGTCAGCAGCAAGTGAAGGGTTAAAATTCCGATGGTACCAGTAACAGTCTGATTGTATATCCGTCTCGCCCCTTCCCCGAGTGTCGGCCAGATCCCCTTGTAACTCCTCGCAGTGCCATTCTCCTCGGACCGTAATGATCCATCTGTTCCTCTGCACTGTTCACTCGCTCCCAAAGGGCCCTCACAACATCCAGCTTGTCATATATCAGTTCACCACCAAGTGGTGCAGAACCGGCCAGTCTATCCGCCTGCTCATTTCCTAACACACCGGCGTAACCTGGAGAAAATATCCAAAGGATGCTAACTACCCCGGACCACTGAAGGGATGCTTGCCACTCTGCATGGAACATGCCTGTCTCCACCTTTCTCAGCATGCTCTGTGAGTCAGTTGCAATGATGACATGTGTGTACAGTTAATTTTTAAGCCATCCGAAGGCAGCAGTGACTGCCTCCACCTTCATTCTTAAACTAGACATTGTGAAATCATATGCCAGGCTTTGTTGCGCCAAGCGACGTCCATTCGCCTTCGCTATGAACCCTCATGCACTTGGTCTGCCCCTCACCACAGAGCCATCTGTATATACAATCACATCACTTTTGCGGAAATTGTCATGAATCATTTGTTGAACTTCTGATTCTGCAGCACCAGCTGGCCACTCACGTCCCAAAGTGATTAGAACCCTACACAAGTCTGAAACATGATCGGAAACTTTGACCCAAAGTCAAATATGAAGATGAAAAAACAGTTTTTAGTGTACATTTTAGATCTAAATTAGTAGCGTACAAACATTTGCTTTAAAAAAAAAAAATTTTTTCAAAGTAAGGAAAGTATGTTTCACACGACATATCATGCCCTGTTTTACATGACAAATCATGCCCTGTTTCACATGACATATCAGGCCCTGTTTCACACGACATATCAGGCCCTGTTTCACACGACATATCAGGCCCTGTTTCACACGACATATCAGGCCCGGTTTCACACGACATATCAGGCCCGGTTTCACACGACATATCAGGCCCTGTTTCACATGACATATCAGGCCCTGTTTCACATGACATAACATGTCCTGTTTCACATATCATGCCCTGTTTCACATATCATGTCCTGTTTCACATATCATGCCCTGTTTCACATGACATATCATGCCCACATTGCCAGACTCATATTTTTTTTACAGCGGTGCACCATTTACTAGATTGTAACTGAAATTGTTTCAGATGTTTGCAAGAAAATGGCTGGGATTATCTTAAGGCAGGACAAGTTTTCACAGACTTGAATGTGAGTCTTTTATATTATCAAAGTTTACATACATTTGTCTCTGTTATATAATTCTCAGTCACTCATTAAATATAAAATGCTGTACTATAAGACAGAGATTAGAAAACTGTCACAAAAGCCATTACTATTGGACTGTCTAAGGTTGGTAAGTCACACAAGCCAATACTTAAAGACTGTCTGAAGAAACTACATGCATTTCCACTACGTTAAAATCTTAATTGTTATGGCATACTTCCTAAGCATCTATAATTACTTGGCATGTGTTGCATGTACTTGATTGAATAACCTTCATTATGAGAGTTGGGCAGTAGGGTTTAACTGCAAAACATAGGGGATAATCAATATGTATTGTTGGTATAAGATATCAGTAAGAGATGAATATTTCTTCTGCCATTAAAGTTGGCATGTTATGTTGTTGTAATGTGTCTCCTCCACACTTAATCTCTCTCATGCGGATTCAACACTAGCTCTGTTGTCTGAGTGTTATGTCACAGTTCATTCCAGCCAGACTCCTCTTCTCTCCAACTGTCACACATCTTTAAATGACAGTTGACATCACTTCACAGGTTTATTGTCAATACAACACAAGCGACAAGAATCAACAGTAAAACTGATCACTTATGCCATTCAGGCTAGCTCGCCTTGCTCATGCTCTAAGTCTCCAGCCACGCTTCAGAAATCGAACACTGGCATGTACACGACTGGCCTAACTAACAAAGCCGTAAAACACAACCGCTGTCCTGAACAGTAACTCAACACAGCAGCGCTTCTTGTCGTTCAGGACTAATGTTCACTCGATTCTCATCCAGATCCACGTTTATACTGATCACTCTGCATTCAGTTTCACATCCTTTCAATCTGGGACCCAATCATAGAATGGCCACCTCATTCTCAATCCTCCAGATCTCGCATTCACAAGTGACTTGCTCAATTCTGTCTTTTCACCATCTCCCCATGAAACCCATGCTATTAGGGACCTCCCAAATTCTGTCACACAGTCACACCCTGACGTTATCCCTATTTATAGCATCACTACAGTTGTGGTTTACAGTTACACTGTAGTGGTATCACCTTTCAACCCAACATATCCAGATTTCAGCAAGCATTTCATTAGGAACCTTTTATGGCATGTTTTGTAAAGGGGCAGTAGGTCTATTCCTTTTCCTCCCAAAATAGGGTGATGTTTATTTCATAATGGCTTTTGTCTATTTCTTCTATTTTCAGAGTCAAGGCAAAATTCCACCAGAAGCCTTTGTGAAAGTGGAGCTGAATGGTTGACCATGACTGCTTGTTATTTATAAATAATGTTTTTAAATTTCTGTGAATAAACTACAGATACATACTTCACTTAGCATGGTGAAGTTAATATGTCTGATTACTTAACATGCTGCCAGTGCATTTTCTTTTAGAAACTGTTTTTGAGTGAAAGAAATGAATGGGATTTATCACCTTCAGATTTGTGACTACACAAACAGTATCTGATAGAAGCTCCTGCCCATCTTTAATAAAAGACCGGGCTCTTCACAAGATAATTTTTTTAAATCATATATGTTCTGCCCATTAAACATAGTAAATTGTATTTCCACGGATGCAAACATGCATGTATGTGTGCATCACATCAAATGGTTTGCATTGAGAGAGTGCTTTGTGAAGCCATGCCATGCCACATAGGGCACTCAGAGAGAGAAGAAGGGCGTATAGTATGAGGTAGACCAAGACAAAATGGAAAGATAACATAAAAAACTCAACTAAGGCGTGATGTATCTATGGTCAAGGCAGGCATAAAGCAAACCCCCTGTATATCCCTCAACACCTGAAGCATTACCAGAGGAAGTGAAGAAGTTCATGTTTGTTATCTCCTTTGTCTGGAGTAAAAACAAGATGCATACACACGTTGTAATTGTAACAGTCTCTGAAAGCATGCTGAGAAAGGTGAAGACAGGGATGCTTTGAGCAGAGTGGCAAGCTTCACTGGGAAAGTCACATGTAGTGAGCATACTTTAGATCTTTTCTTCAGGCTATGCCGATGTAGTGAATAATGAACATGCAGACAGATTGGCTGGATCTGCACCACTGGATGGTGAATTGATACATGACAAGGCAGATGTGGTCAAGGCCTTTTAGGAACAAGCAACGGAATCAGTAGAGAAACAAGATTAGTATGGCCTGGAGAGAATGGGGCACCTGGGTGTAACCAGAGGGTCTTACCGGCTTACTACACTCAGAGGAAAGGGAAGATGGACATATAACCAGATTGTGACCGGTACCATCAGTATTGGAACTCTGCGCTGGCTGCTGAAGATGAGGATGGAGCACATATGGGAATGCCAAGAGTGCTGTGATGTCAATTCTTGACTCAACTCAAAAACAAAGTAAGGTTATTTTAGTATCCATACTCTTGAATTCATTATAAGCTAGGTCATCAAGGCAAATTGTTTTTATACTATCAATTCTGTATCCATCCACACTGTTGTCTGATTATGTTTAGCTTCCCATGCATCTTTCAGCCATCATTTCCGTGGGATTTCCTTATCATTCTGAGCCCTTGAGGTTCCTTGCTGCAAATATCACTACTTTCACTGATGTTCTGTGATTGGCTTTCTTTTCCTTCAGTTGGTGGCTTCAAGTGTTTCTAGGTCTTTTACCAGGGCTGTGCCAGTAGATGTAATACTGATCTAGACTACACCATGTTTTTATATTTTTAACATCTTTGCATGGCGCCACACACTGTCTGATGGTATTTAGTGCACCGACTCTTAAGAGCTATCTGTATTTTGTATTGTTCCTGGGAAATGTTACACTTCCATTATTTGAGTATTTTTTTGAAGTTCAGCATTTAGTGTCCACTATTTTACATGCATACTGGTGGTTTATGATAACCAATGTAAGCAATTAAATGAATTTCTTTTTCATCGAGTTTCATAATCTCTGCAAGTATATTCCTAATAGGATACAATGTTTTTGTGTGTCTGCTTGTCATATTTTAAAAATTACTTATATGTTTCTGTATCTAATAAGGCAGGTGCAGTGTTTTGTTCTTCATGTATGTATTTTTTAAATATGGCACTTGTGGAATTGTTAACATTATTTTTTGGGGTAAAGTGTATTAAAAACAAATGTTGAATTAGTTTTTAATATCACATGTTGACTAGAGTTTTCTTTTTTTTTAGTGTGAGGAAAGCAGTTGTTTCAGATTGCAGAGTTATTATTCTATGTTGACAACACCACCCATGAATCCCTGTGGGGAGGGGGGAGACTCACTGCCCTGCACCCACCCCCATCCCTTTTTGAGGTTGGAGTGCACCTGCCTGAGAGGTGAGGAACCAATAGTCTGCTTACAAATAATCCAAATGTCTGTCAAATGAAAGTGCACGCAAAACTGGAGTTCTGGAATAAGACCAAAGTCCAGAACTGGATAAAACAACCAGAAACTTTTTCTCACAGGTGGTGAACACAAAGAAGAAGAACATCACCCACTGAGTTAGCTCAAGCATATTTCACTTTCAGTCACAGGCGTAGTGAGAACTCCAGAAGGCATGTCTGATATATTTACAATCAATACAGTGGTGAGGCAGGAATGTATGCTATCGTCTCTCTTATTTATTATATACATAGATAGAATATCCAAAGAGGCCAGTTTTAAATCAGTCGACCCAGAAAATCCACAGAATGAGGATGATCAGTGCATGTTAACACTGAGGGACGTAGACTGCAAGAACATCTGAACAGGCTAAGTTCAAGATGCAAAAGATATGAAAATAAATACTACTAAAACTGAAGTAACGCAGGTCAGCAGAATTCCTTCTTCTCTTCCACCTTGTACCTCATCGAAGTGTCGGGGGGAGATGTAATGTTCGTTGATGAGCTCTGTCAAGAGCACTATTAAGACTGATGTTCATTTCTGTAAGGCTGTTCTTAATGCCATCACTCCATCTTTTCCAAGGTCTTCCACTCGCTCTATACCCGTTGTAATGTTTTAGTGTGGCTCCCTGTGACGGATAGTACCAGGGCATTCTTGTTAGGTGTCCAGACCACTTCATTTGTTGTTCTTTGATGACCTGTAAGACAGGCTTTATTCCTAGCATTCGTCTGATTTCATGATTTTGTATTCTGTCTTTCCTTGAAACTCCTGCAGCTCTTCAAAGGCATTTCATCTCTGTTGTCACAATTTTATGTTCATTGGAGGATGTAAGTGTCCACGTTTGGCATTGATAGCATAGTGTTGGCCAAAAAATAGTTCTGATAAGATTCACTTTAGTACTCTGAGGTATCTGCTTGTGTGTTGGTCTATGAATGTCAACAAACATGTCTTATCATGTTCTATTGCCCTCTCTGATAGTTGTCTCAATGTATAAATGGCATCTGTGCAACTTCTGTTTCGTCGAAAGCCCATCTGTGCTTCTGAAAGTTGATACTCTATCAATAGTCTTAACCTTTTTTCGATGATCTTAGCATACATTTTCCCAGTTTGACTGAGAAGTGATATTCCTCTGTTATTAGTTCATTACCTCTTACTTCCTTTATTTTTCCACAGCGGGACAATGGCAGTCTGCCAATCTGATGGTATTTCTTGATTTTCCCATGCCACCTGAAATATTCTCTTTAATCATATTGCTCCGGTCTCTCCTGCTGCCTTGATGGCCTCAGCTGGTAGATCATCAATACCTGTCGCCTTTAGTCTAGGGGCGGTTCGAATGACATATTTTACTTCATCCAATAATATACCTGGCTCTAGTTCCTCTGTTAGTTCCGAGTTGTTTTTATGTTCTTCCCTGCTTTTATCTGTTTTATTGCAGCTAAGTAATGCTTCAAAGTAATTACTCCACCTTGCTAAAATTTTGGTAGGTTCTATTAAAGGCTGGCCAACTTCATCATTTATAATTTCTGTTGGGTTGTTTTCTTCATTCCCGTTTCTCATGCCTTTGATTTTTTTGTAGTAGTTTTTCACTGCTGTTCTTTCTTCTTCAGCCAGCTTGCTTCCAAGTTTTCCCATGAATCTCTTTTTGCTTGTCTGATAGTTCTATTTACTTCTTTTCTAATTATCCTGTATGTTATGTATGCAGAATTCCTAGTCCGCTAAATATCGGGTTGGATGGCACTTGTCTGAAGCAAGTTAAAGAATTTAAATATCTAGGAAGTGTATTCTTGGAGGACGGAAGTATAGATCGGGAAATAAAAACAAGATGCCAACAAGTTAGTGTCCACTTGTATACCAACTGACACGTCCAAATATAAGTATGAACACCAAGAAACAGATTATAAACAGCATATTCATACCAACACTGTGCTACCAGTGCCAGAATTGGACATTATCAAAAACTAACCTTGCGTATAATTAACACCTGTGAAATTATATGCCTGAAAAAAGCTGCCACTTAACCATAGAAGTCAAAGTTAGAAATGATATTATCAAAGTGACTGTAGGAACAACACATGCAGCACATTCAGTGAAAAAACAGAAGATCAAATGGTTTGGTCATCGGTAAGAATGCAGCCAGAACAACTACCAATGCAGGTGCTACACACAAAAAGATCTGAAGTGAAAGCAAGAGGCAGCCCTAGGAGTAGATGGACTGATGACATTAAAGAATTTCTATGTCGACACAGAAAGACAATACCAACTTCTGCTCATCAAGCAGTGGATCACAAACTGTTCCTCCCCACAATGCTTAACAGCAGAAGTGGAAACTGATTATGAGTCACAAGCATGTTTTCCCTTCAGCTCCTCTTCAACTGCTTAAGCAGTAGTTGCTTAAAACATTTATAAGTGTTTGGGTGTAAAGGGGTTCACCTAATACACTATGGGAAAAGAAAGAATTGAATTTATAAATAGGATATGAGTTAAAGCTACAGCTGGGTACAAAAATAAAAAAAAAGATCCTTTTTACGCCAGTAGCGCACTGGACGTATGATGCTAGACACATATTTTCACCACCAAGTGGTGCAGAGCCGGCCAGTTTATCTGCTTGCTCATTTCCTAATACACCGGCATCACTTGGAGAAAATATCCAAAGGATGCTAACTACCCTGGACCTCTGCACGAAGTATGCCCGTTTTCACCTTTCTCAACATGCTCTGTGAGTCAGTTACAATCATGGCATGTGTTTACAGCTGATTCTCAAGTCCGTGGAAGGCAGTGACATCTTATAAGATGTGAAAATTAAAGACTGACTAGTAAATAGCATCATGACCCAAAAACTCTACTATTAAGGACATATCAAGGCAATAATCCATAGCAAGGCGGACAACAATAATCACATGGTTTTGTAGCTTGGAGAGAGAAAAGAGTTAATATGTATCTAGGTGTGAAAAGGTTTACTCATTTATTTTTTATTTTTCAAATCATTACAGTATACTGTAATTAATTCTTTATTAGTTTATATTAGGGCGGTACCGAAAAGTGATTTTTACTATCATGAACATTGGTACATGGAATGTCAGAACACTCGTACAAAATGGAAAGTTGGATAATATCAAGATGGAAATAAAGAGAATGAACATCAACATATTAGAAATTAGTGAAATGCGATGGCCAGGAGCAGGGGAAATATATTCAGATCAGTACAGAATTATTTACTCGGGTGGGAAGGAATATAGTAAGGGAGTTGGTATTATTTTGGATCCAAAAAACTCAAAAACTGAAAGGATTTTGGACAATATCAGATACAGTACTATTAGTAAAACTTCGCGGCAGACGGCTTGACATCAACTTAGTACAGATTTATGCCCCAACAGCAGATAGTTCAGAGGAAGATATTGACGCATTTTATGACAAGTTAGACATGGCTGTTGATCAATGCAAAAATTGTGAAGTAACAAAGGTACTTGGAGATTTCAACGTGAAAATAGGAAGTGGCCTAGGAGAAAAGAATGTGAGAGGTGACTGATTAATTGCTCACACAGCATGATAATAGGTAACACCTGGTTTAAACACCATCCTCGAAGATTATGGACTTGGAAATGTCATCAATCAGATTGATTATATTTTGATTTCAAGAAGATTCCGGAGCAGCTTAGTTGGAGCAAAAACTAGACCAGGAGCAGACTGCTTTAGTGACCATGTTCCAGTTGTAGGAAAAATTAGAATAAAACTAAAGAACATTAGAAAAACACCACAGAACATCAAGTTAAATTTAGGAATTCCTAGAAGGGATAAAGACATTAAGGACCATTACAATGTCACTGTACAAAACCGGTAGATTGCAATGGAAATTATACAGACTATTGATGAACAGAGGGATATGTTGCATGAGTCAATTCAGCAGACATCTAAAGAGACAATCCCACCAACCCATAGAGTTGCAAAAAAAATTAATGGATGTCAACAGAAATTCTGCAATTGATGGATGAAAGAAGAAGGAAAAAGAATGATAAAGAAGAATACTCTAGAATAAAAAAAAAAAATAGTGAACAAATGCAAAGTGGCTAAAGAAGCCTGGCTGAATCAAATGTGTACAGAGATTAGGGAAAACAACAGGAAAGTCTCACGTTCCATGTACCAACAAATAAATATGTTAACAGGAAAGATGACACGTAACAGCACTGGATGTTTGAAATCAAAAGATGGTGACTTATTAATGGGACATAGTAATATAATTAACAGATGGACAGAGTATATAGGGGAATTGTATGATGATAATAGACCAGATGTAGAACTGCAGACCAACAATGATGGTCCATCAATAATGACTGCAGAAGTTGAGGATGCAATACATCATATGAAGAAAGAAAAAGCACCCGTGCCAGACAACATCTCACTGGAAGAAATCGAAGCAATGAGAGATTTTGGAATTGAAATAATAACTAAACTTTTAAATGATATTTATAATAGTGGGTATATTCCAAATGACCTTTTAAAATCCATATTTATAGCTCTGCCTAAGAAACCAGGCACTATAAAATGTGAAGACCATCGCACAATAAGTCTTAGTCACATGACTAAGATTTAACTGAGAATAATTATGAGAAGAATAAGAAACAAAATTAAACCAGAAATCAGCGATGAACGATGTGGATTTGTAGAAGGAAAAGGTACAAACAATGCCATCTACATCCTAAGGACATTGTCAGAAAGAGCTATAGAAGTAAAGACTGATTTGTACATATGCTTCATAGACTATACAAAAGCATTTGACTGTGTGAAGCATGAAGAAGTAATCAAAATGTTAGAAAAATTAAACATTGATGGGAAAAATCTACGAATAATAAAGAATATGTATTGGCAGCAAACAGCACTTATAAGAATTAACAACTGTTATGGTACATTTCAAAGCATAAAGAGGGGCGTACGACAAGGATGTGTACTGTCACCTGATTTGTTTCCAATATACAGTGAATATATAATGAGAGCTTTAATTGGTATGCCCGGAAGTGTGATTGGTGGGCACAATATGAACAATTTACGTTATGCTGATAACACAGTCTTGATAGCAACAAGTCAGAAAGAACTACAGGAAATGATAGACGTTTTGGTGTTAGAAAGTGGAAGAATGAGCCTCAGTTTAAATAATGGGAAGACAGAAAGTAATGGTGGTATCGAAGAAATGAATTATTCCTAAGTGTGTAATAAAAGTTGATGGTGTTATTTTAAGACAAGTACAGAAATTAAAGTATCTGGGCACATGGATAACATCAGATGGAAGATGCATAACTGAGATAAGAAACAGAATAGGACAGGCAAAAACTGCATTAAAAAAAATGAAAAACATCTTGTGCAATATATCCTTGTCATTGAGAGTTAGAAAAAGAGTTCTTGCTTGCTACATACATCCAGTATTAACATATGGCTGTGAATCCTGGACAATCGGTAGGCAGGCCAAACAATTTCTATAGGCCTCTTAGATGTGGTTTTACAGAAGAATGCTTAGAATACCTTGGACAGCCAAAAAGTGCAGCCAAGAGGTTTTGAAAGAGGCGGGAGCCCGAAGACAACTTATCACAGACATCAGAAGGAGACAGTCATCATTTTTCGGCCATGTTATGAGAAGAGGGAAAATAGAGCATGTTGTGACCACTGGAAAGATCTGTGGAAGGAGGGATAGAGAAAGACAACGAGAGAAGATTCTTGACAGTCTTGTTGCATGGCATGGAGGTGTGTCGGCACACGAACTGATACATGCTGCAGGAGATCGCAGATTGTGGAGAGGCATGATCGCTCAAGCCAGTCGGCAAGGCTCCTGATGATGATGACTATTCGGCCGAATACGAATAGCGGGACTAACTATTCGGCCGAATGGGAATATGAATAGTGTCTCATCATCATCAGGTGCCTTGCCAACTGGCGTCGATATTGCCTCGCCACAATCTGCGATCTCCTACAGCATGTATTAATTCGTGTGCTGACACACATGCTCTCTCTCTCTCTCTCTCTCTCTCTCACACAGACACACACTCACACAAGCAACAAAAAAAGAACGCATTGCTTACTTGACGAGGCTAACAGTTACTATTGTACAGACCACATTTTCCACTTTAAAATTTGAACCAAAATGTAGTCACAACCTTACTTATCTGCTGCACCTTCACGAATACAGATGGAGGATCGGACGCATGCCGAGATAAATACAAAGACAATATTTAGCATGCTGCGGTTGGCATTTTATGCAAAATGATACACTCTGAGTGTGAAACAAGGAAAACAAAAACTTTTTTTCGACAGTGGGGAGGAAAGACAATTTAAATTTTAAGTATCTTCATGCCTTCTTTAATATTGTCACAATTTATAGCCGACTTTTCTTGATTTTCACCCCGACACCCCTGGCATACGCACCCAGTTTGAGAACCTTTGCTATAATGCCTCGGTCGAGTCAGCAGGCAAAGACCTTGCTAGCAGCTGTACCACGCAACCGGGTCGCAGTTTTCCCTGCTACGACAGACTCAATAACGGCAACTATTGTGTTAAAAAAAGAGTTATTTCAGTCCATCGCAGTGTATGCAGAAATCACTATTCGTGTTCGGCCCGACCGCCACTATTCGGCCGAATACCGAATAGCTATTAGGTCCACTATTCAGCCCCGAAGCAAATACGAAAAGAATATTTGGTACAGCCCTAGTTTATATTCTTTCTGTGTGAACTTTAAAAAAAAACAAAAAGTTGCACAATATACTATCAAGCATTTCTTAAAACCATCTCTGTCACAGATCTTTCTTCATCCAGACAACAAAGTTGGGATTCATCCTTATGATGGCTCGACTATACGATCCAGGAGGAGCTGTTGGATGTGAGCAGTTGTTTGTTGGAGGAGGAGGAGGAGGAGGTGCTGGTGGAGTAATACTGATTACAGTCTGTTCACAATTAGATTCACATGAACTCAGACGTACAGTGGTGGTATTATCATTGCCACTTCTGTTCTCTAGAAGTGAAGGTGTTCCGCTGGGAGGCTGGCAAAGTGTAACGTTTGAATGATGATCAGTAGTGTCTGGCAGTGAACTGCTAGTTCCCATCAGTTTTTTTAACTGGAAAAAAAATTGATTAGATGAAACATATCAAATCAAATGATGCCCATGTAGTTTTTTTTTGGTTCACATAAATTTCTTTTAGGAAATGATTGTACGTCTATCTTTTCTTTTACAATCACCCTTAAAAGGTAAGTTGGTATACTGTGCTGCAGTTTGCAGCTAGACCGTGATATCTGCACCTTTGCACCCATCACATCTGATCTCAATAAATCCTTAATTAGTTGCCTTTTATGTCATGCTTGTTGAACAGCGATGACTCTTCCTTTTGTCTCTGCCAAAAACCCACATGGGAACCTACTTCTGTGGATACTGACTAATATCTGTACATTTATTTCTAAAGCTTTTTGGTTCATAGTTTCCTGTGTGGGTTCTAGGCTTTATTTTGGGAGACCAAAAAAAAAAAAGACCCACCATTTCTTAACAAGCATTTCATAAAAATAATTAACAAATAGTTTGATATTATGGAAAGTGTTGCCTAACTAGAACTATGCCAAAGTGTGCAAACCTCTCTGATACCCATTTTAGGCTGGATCAACCTTGGAATCTCGATCAGTTTTAAATATCTGCCTTGTTGTGGAATAACTGACTAGGCGGACTAGAAATTATTGCTACTCTATAAGATACTGCTAGGCCTGATTATCTATGACTTATGTTGTCAAAATCTACTTTGTGCTAACCTATGTGCCCACCGATGATAGGTAGCAGAGCCAGGGTTTACTCAGCTGCGCTGTGAAATCTTAGGTAATCAACGACACCTTCAGTCCATATTTTTGGTCTCCCTCTGGCTCTTGCTACTTCCACTGTCATGTAGAGCGTTCTCACTGCCGGCATTGTCGTCGTATATGACTATTTCATCAGTAAATGATCAAGAGGACAGAAGATAATTATTTCAGCATGGTGGTCTGTCTTTCTGATTTATCAAGCACTTTAAACATAACGGCTGCAGAGAAAACAAGTTAACTACATGAAACCACAAAATAAAGGTGAAATACATACACGCTCCCTGCACCCTAAAATAAGACCGGGTCTTATAATGATTTTTTGCTTCAAAAGGCACCTTGGGGTTTATCTTTAAGTTTAAAAACTGACGTTTATAGAAAACATTAATTTCAATATTATTTATTTACATTTACTTATGGATTCATTACTTTATTTGATTTCTCCGCTGTGTGTTTCTACGGACAAATTAAATCCGCCAAACCAGTTTATGTTCTTAACTAGACTTAAGAACTAGGATGCTCTTAACTTTTGGTATAGGGCTTATATTACAAGCATTCTGAAAAATCACTCTAGGGCTTATTTTTGGGTTAGGTCTTACTATTGGGAAAACATGGTTGGAGGGAGCCCAGCTTACATAGGCGCTTGTTTGAAGACCTTGGGTATAATTCCACATCATGCCAGATGTTTTAAAAAACAATTTTGACTGCCAGGTTGAACTAGCCTGAAATGGGTTCAGAAAACATCTTAGAAGTAAAAGTGTTCTGAGTCTTAGTCAAGGTTTCAACATCACTGCAGTCGGGTTTACCCATACTTGCTCTGTTCCTGTGACAGTGAAAATCAAATGAAATGTCCCTCACTGTTGCATAAAAAAAAAAACACTGGTGAACAAACAATTAGTCCCGGAACAATCCAGAAATATGCACATGCAGTAAATGCATATGACAGTTGCTAGAGGAACAAAAGCCAACAACTGCCACTAGAAATGCAGTGTGTCGGGCACAATATATTGGTTACTATATACATGTAGAATTATTACTCAAGATATTTCACCAGCTTAAATGTAAACCGGCCATATTGAACATCAGGACACAACTACTGCATAAATGAAAGGCATTCCACAGTAAAAACATGCTGCAATCAATCACTAAACTGAGAAGATCAAGCGCCGAAACCGTAGACTACTGACTTTATTTGGAAAACTGCATTAGCAAAGGGCTGTTGGAAGCAAAAATAACTTTGAAACTTGACATTCTGCCAAGTCTATTCTTAATTTTAGGCTGTAAGAAAAGTGGTCTGGAGGATGCTAACCACATAACCCACAGACTGCTGACTGGTCCTTAACAACATGGGTCTAGCACCTTATGCCTGATGCAATAATGACATGAAATGGGTCCTTTACTCAACATTCATAGGCAATGATTGACATTTCATAAAGCAAAATGCAAACAGATGGCTGTTACCTGAACATACTGTAACAAAAACATCACAAACATATAACACAAAATATACACTTACCAGAGCTTCAGGCACTCTATGAGCATTATCTCCGAGACTGATCACCGGGCTGCATCTGACATATCCAATCCTGGCATAGAAGCCTTCTTTGTCTATAGTGTTTAGGTACACATTTCGCATACCGAGTCTGTGAAGAAAACAGTTTACCATGAGTTTATAGAGGCTATCATGACAAATGATATCTAAATGCTGGTGTCAAGTGTTAGACATCCATATAATACGTTAATTCATTTAACACAAGCTTTGATTTAGAAGCTTGACGAAGGGGGTCTGGTGTATAGAATTTTTCTTCTTCCTCTGGTGCTTGCGAATGCAGATTGGTCAAATATTTTATTGTTTCTGTGCATATTTTCCCCTAATGTTTCTATGCATGTTTTTCCTTTCCTGTTTGTTGAGCTTCCTCTTTAATTGTTAGCTGAGGTTTTGTGGTTTGAACTTACTGCACTACTGCACTGGGGGAAGGGAGAGGGGTGGGGGGGGGGGGTATTAGCCCCCCTTCCCCTCCCAATCTACTCTGTTCCTGTGCCAGTGGAAAAAACACAAAATGTCTTATTGAAAACTAGTGGAGAACACGTCAGTCCCAGCAAAATCTTGAAGCTTGCACACACAAAGTAAATGCATAAGGCAGCCATAAGATGTGCCAACATTAACAGCCCCACACCAGAATTACATACAGTTCATTTACTGCAAGCAGTCAATTACAAAAGCCACACCATACACAAAAAAAACCCGCATAAGTATACACCATTCCAAACGTCATTGGTGCACAAAACAATACAAAGCTGTCACTAGCACAAGAGGAAAAAAAAAATGCATGAAACATTAAATTCACAGCTCAGTGTCGCATCAAGCACTCGTCTCAGTAGATGGGCTTCCTGTGTAGGTTCTGGGGCCTCACTTTGGGGACAAAAAGAACAGACCCAGTGCCTCCTAACTGCCAAGTTGTACAAGGTGAATAATTAGGGATGTATTCTTTAAAGTCTGAGTGCATCTGCCTGAGAGACAAGGAACCAACAGTCTGCATACAAATAAGCTAGATTTGTAAAATGGATGTACATGCAAAACTCAAGTTCTGGAAAAGAAACAAAGTCCAGTAGTGAACGAACAACCAGAACTTTCTGCCGGAGTTTACAGCCAGTGAATGCAAAGATTTAAGAAGAAGAAATAGTCAGGCGACTGGACATTTGAACTCTCGGTCCAGAAGTGGAGAATTTGCAACAGCAAACTCTGGCTAGAAACAAATAACTTTTCAGAGCTGTTCCCTATCCTGGACTGGAAGTTCCACTGAACTTCTTAGTCAAAGCTTGTGATCAATTAATTTATTTCTGAATGCCAGCTCAACTGCAGACTTTTCTCCTTACCTTTAGATTGGTTCCTGGTTGTCTAGATTTTTTGATTTTTTTTTTGGCAGCATGAAGTTTTCTGTTACTGGGCAGCCAGTGCATCTTATGACACGCACAGTAGGTGACATTACACTAATCTGTGCTTTCCATAAGAGTTCCCAGTAATTTTCAGGCAAAAACTACTGGTCAGACAAAAGTTATGTCAAAATTGAGGATGGAACCTAAGACTGCTGAGTTGGTAAGCAGAAGAAGTGACCACCATGTGAGTAAAGTAAAGAGTCTTTGTAATGCCTTGAGGTGGATTAAGTATACAGAACACTAAAAATGTGTATACACCAATCGGTACATGTCTGCTGCTACTGTCAATACGAAAGTCAGCAGTCTTTATTGACTAATGGATAAATAAAAATAAGTCAAGGACACCAGTCAATGTGGTCAACATCATAGAAATAAGCTAGATCTGTAAAAGGTACGTGCATGCAAAGCTCAAGTTCTGGAACAAGACCAAAGTCCAGAAGTGGATGAACAGCCAGAACTTTCTGTGGAGTTTACAGCTGGTGAACGTTGAGAAAAAGACAAAAACTTCTTTTCGTTTCTTCAAACTTTCCTTATTTTACCACTTTTAGGACACTATGTGGACAGGGGACCTTGTTCAAACTTGTTGAAAGTTACCAAAAAATGTCACAATCATGATTTAACTTATAACTGTAAACCTTGCTTTGTAACAAATTTTTGCTGATGTAACATTCTTACCACTTATCTAGTAATCTCTCACAGCTGAGGTTTCTAACCTACCAAAGGAGTGAATGTAAATTTGTTATGACCCACCTTCTTGCATAGTCTTCAGTAAGATTCATCAGTACTTTCCCCAAACCTCTGCCCCTGTCCATTTCTCTCACAATGACTACAGACAGAAAGATTTCAACAACATTATTAATTGCATTACCACTTCATTTATATAGAAAGATCATGAAAATGATATACCACCAACAAAATTTCATCTGTGAATGTTAAAGTGTTCATGCAATTAATAATGAGTTAATAGAGTGTACATGATTGAGCATTAATTGGCTCAGGGTTACCACATTCATTGGGTTTCAAGATCTACATTTGAATTCTTTGTAGTGGAAATCTTTCTGTCAGAGGCAAACAATTAAATTCTAACCTGCATAAAATCCCCAGCTATGCGACCCTAAATCCTCTGGGTCAAGGTCCCCTATCCATATACTGTCCTAAAAAGTAGTAAAATAAGGACAGTTTTAAGAACCAAAAAGAATTTCTGAGGTCAAGTAATTATTGTCCTGTTAAAAAAAACATACACATAACCATCAATAAGTTCATCATATTCAATAGCTTTAGCAATGGACATGTTTAATGCTAACAAGTTAAATACTTCAATCTTAGCCACAGATTTGGGCATGGCATTGTTTCTGGACAAAAAAGTGATGGTACTCACCATAAACTGTCTAAAAAGGTGCAAAGTAGTGCTAAAAAATGCCCCCCCCCCCCCCCCCTACAAAAAAAGTTGCAGCATTGCGTACCAGTGTGTACTGCCATTACAAAAGCCAGGAATGTGGGACACTGTATAGAAGTGAACTGGACACTTAACAAAAACATCCACAGTCACTATGGGATGAATCAGCTAAACCTAGAACATTGTGCTGGATAATGAACACACTAACCACAACGCTACCATGAACTCTACAAGGCATACTTGTCAATTCTTTGTTTAAAAAAAAATGTACACTGAACTGGGCATGCAGAGAGTGGCTAGCAGCCAGTGCAGAATCAGAAGTTCAACAATTGATTCATGGCAATACCCACCCAGATGATGTGATAATCTGTACAGATGGTTCTGCGTTGAGAGGCAGAAAAAATGCATGAGGGTTCACTGCAAAAGTGAATGGATGTCATGCAACAAAGCCTGATACCACAAAAATATTTTGAGAATGGAGGTGGAGGTAGCCTCAGCAACTTTCTGCTGGCTTGAGAACCAGCTGCAAACATATTTTGTGATTATCACAGACTCACAAAACATGGCAAGAATGGTGGAGAAAGACATGTTCTGTGCAGAGGTAAGCAATGCTTCACAGGTCTCTTTAAGTTACCTGTTCTTTGGATCTTTTCTTCGGGGTATGCAGGTACGTTGATAAATGAACAGGCAGCCTATGCATGTGGGTTCCGCGGCCTCATTTTGGAGTAAAAAAATAAAAGATCCACTGCCGCCTAGCTGGAAACTACAATAAAACACGCCAACCGCCCTTTTAAGGGTGAATAGAGAAGAAGAAGAACAGGCAGACTGTATGGTGACCAGGCGATATGGCCGACACTAGCCTCGGAGGAAGGCAAGATGGACATATAATCAAACTGCTTCCTGTACCATCAGAGTGCTGGAACTCTTTGCTAGCTGCTAAATATGTGGATGCAGCACTTATGAGAATGTCCAAGTCGCTGTGATGTCAGTTCTTTATCAAGTCAAGTGGTAAAATAAAATAAAAATGATGATCATGCAAAAAACACCAAACTTGCCGTGTGGATGATTTTTTGGGGCCCCATGGGGAGAGGGATTGGAGGGGGGGGGGGGTGGCAGGCCCACTGTCCCTAACAAGAATGTCCTAGAAGTTGACTAATTAGGGGCATTTTCTTCTAAATCATAGTGCAACTGCCTGAGAGGTAATGAACCAACAGTCTGCATACAAATAAACCACATCTGTAAAATGGATGTTCATGCAAAAATCAAATTCTGGAACAAGACTTAAATCGTCAAGTGGACAAAAAACCAGAAATTTCTGCTGGAATGATACAAAGAAGAAGACAAAGAACATCAAAACTATCAGCTGTCCTCTGTAATCACTATCAATTGTTGTGGAAAACAGATATTACCTGATTCCACAAGACAGGCATTTGGAATTCCCTGCACTGCTGACAGTTTGCTAAACCCAAGGACTTCTGTCTGACTGCCATCTTGCTGTATAAATGCCAAACAAACAGGCAACTGGTCGCAAGACTTGCTGAGAACATGACTTCTGAAACAGAAACATTTGCAACATTACATTACAGAAATGTTAATATATTTATTAACAATCAATGTCAGCTAACAACAATTCAACTGTGGATCACAAAACAGTGGATGCACAAAGCTTCAATTGCAGGTACCATTAACAAAATCAATCCAAATAAAAAATCAGATTTCATCAGCTTCTCAATAAAACGACAAAATGAATGTTGTCGCTAGACAGCCTTCATCAAAATACTATGACATGGACAACGATACAACTACATTAAAATAAACACTATATACAACTTGTATAATAGTTTTTTTTTTTTTAAACGAAGCTCAGGTCAAAATGTCATTGATATGAGCATACAAAAGCTTTTATGTCAGCAGGGCCATGCTGTGATATGATAGAGAGATCCGGCTGCATCAGGCGGCACCATACGGGGAGTGTTATATGCAAAAAAATCAAAATACAATTTGAACTTTTGATCTGACAGTGTGAAGCTATTCACCAATCAGCATGTCCTTATACAGAATGTCGCTCTCAACATGGCACACCTGAAAGTATCCCTCTCCCTAGTCAGCTCTTCAGCCCCATGTGCTTTCACTGTCAATACATCGTCAATGTCCTGTATCCACCTTCATTGAGGTCGACCCCTGCCTCGCTTTCCACCAACTGCAACCCCCATCACTGTCTTTTCCAAGCCATCATGATGTGGCCAAAATACTTCAACTTTTGGGACAGGACACTGTTTACAAGCCAGTTTTCCTCATTCTCCAACTCGTGCAGAATGTTGATGTTTCTCCTCTTCTTGATCCATGGTATTCTTAGATTTTTTCTGTACCATTTTAATTTAAAAGCTCCAGCCTTTTGCTTTAATGACTGAGTGAGAGTCCTGGACTCAGAACTGTAAGTTGCCCCAGGAAAAATGCACGATCTCAAGATTTTTACTTTAACTAATTTACAGATGCTTTACATAGGTTTTTCTTGTTGTTTAATCTCTGCATTGTTAATGCAAGTCTTCTTCTGACTTTTTTTGAGCAGTCTCCACTGTTGGTCACTAAAGAACCCAAGTATTCGAAATTAGGCCCTTTTAGAACTTTTTTCAGTTTTAACTTGAGATAAGCCACAAGCAATTTATGGTCTGTATCACCATAAGAACCGGCTAGTGTTTTTGCGGATGTTATGCATGTCTTCCATCTCTGCTGTGTCATGATGAAGTCAATTTGGTTTTTGTAATTTCCGTCAGGTAATGTGGAGAGCCTTCTTGGATGTTGTTTGAAAAAACTGTTTGCGATGACGACTATTTTCTATGCAAAATTCTAGAAATATCTTACCGCTCTCATTCCTCTCTTCTTTGCTGTGTGGGCCTCGCACCTTCTCTTCCCTTTCCCGTCTCTCTGCACCTATTTTGGCGTTAAGGTCTCCCATAATTATTACAATTTCTCTTTTCTTTACTTTTTCTAATTGGTTTTGTAAATTGCTGTAAAATTCTAAATGTTCTTCGTCTCCCTATGAAGATGTTGGTGCACAGACTTGTATAATAGAGATGTTTTTATTTTTTGCCTTGGGTTTGACAGTAAGAATACGATTGTTGACATGGTGTTAGCTAAGTAGAGCTAAAGAGACTTCTTGAGATAGCAAGAGACCAGTTCCACTTTGTCCACCCTTCTCTTTCCCTGAATAAATCAAAGTTTCTCCCGTTTGACACTTGAAATGGTCTTGTTTACCCACCCACCCCCACCTGTGTTCAAGAATGTCAGTTAGTTAGTTAGTTAGTTGGGTTATCCTCATTGCACTCCGGACATGTCCATAGGTGCTCAGATCCTCCCCTCAGTATGAACCCCAACGTCCGATGGCTAATAGTACCAGTTCTATGTTGATTAACAAGTCTTCTGGCGTAGCTGGTGTGCGTCTCGTTTTTTGCTGTGCCGATCTTAATTCCCAAGTCTGCCATTCTGGCGAGTGATGTGGATTCACTGCCACCAAAGTCGTCTATCCTTCCCATTTCTCTGAGGGCATTGATAATATCAGCATGATAGCGGATCCAGCCAACCTGTCAGCTCTTTCATTTCCATCGACGCCTGCGTGTCCCGGAACAAAAATAAAGGTGACTCCACGGACAGTGGACTTCTGTAATGATTCAAGCCATTGTCTTCGCACTGAACCTGCCTGAACCCTCCGGATCATACTCATTGAATCACTGAGTATACACACGCTGGTGTATTTTTGTGTTACAAGCCAGGCAAGCGCTTGTGTCACTGCCATCACCTCCATCGTCATGCTGCTGGTTGTCATGGAGAAGGCGCCGTTGGCTTCTTTGACTGTTCTGCCCGCTGAGCGTGCTGTAAATGCCCATGCGCTTCTTCTTTGGCGTATAACGGATCCGTCTGTATAGATTATTGCATCTGCTTCGTCTGAATTTTCAAGAATGTCAATGTTGCACCATCACATTTCACTAATGATCGTGCTTGGTTTCCCTTGATATAAACTCTTAACATTCCATGTTCATATCTTAGTTTTATGTTTTAGTCCAACGACAGTGCCTTCCCCTGCAGTGCATTCAGTAGCATTTCTACCGTCATCTCCTCTGCTTGTAGTAGTTCTGCCGTTGTTCTCTTCCCGATTCGCGTAGATGACCTGCCTGGCTTGGGGGTCTCACCATCAAATCTTTGAGACACTTTTTCGGATTCCATGTTGAATTTCTATATATATATATGTATGTATATATATGTATATATGTATATATATATATATATATATATATATATATATATATATATATATATATATATATATATATATATATATACTTACTTACTTAGTCGCTCCTCTTCTACCTTGGGGTGTAGAGGTTTGCCAGAGAGATCGCCAGACGTCTTTATCAGCAGTTTTCTTTCTGGCTTTGTTCCATTCCAGTCCTCTGTCAGTCAGGGACTGTCGGATGTTGTCTTCCCAGCGCACCCTGGGTCGTCCCGGAGGTCTGGTTCCCTGGTTCTTAGCCTCCCATGCTTGCCATGGTGGCCGGTTTTCTCCCATTCTGCACACATGTCCAAACCATCGTAACTGTGACTGATCCACTCGGGTTAGTAAGGGCTGGGTATCAAGATCTTGACGTATTGTCTGATTGCGGACTTTGTCCCTTCTTGTCACTTGGACCACCTTTTTCAGGTATCTCATTTCCGAGGCCTGCAGCTGGCTTCTGTGAGCTGTTGTCATTGCCCATGACTCACACCCATAGGTCAGGACTGGTACATAGGTAGAGCGGTAAACAGCCGTTTTCGTCCTCTTGCCAATTTCTCTTTTGCTAAGAAACCCTCGGTTTATGGCCTGGAAGAGTCTCCCAGCAGCTGCTTTTCGTGTAGCCAGCTCAGTCTTAATGCCTCCATTTTGGTCTAATACAACTCCAAGGTATTTGAACTGGTTAACCTGCTCCAACGCATACCGACCCATCATGATCTGGTGTTTCTTCTCCTCTCTTGAGATCACCATGGTTTTAGTTTTGGAGACACTGATGGTCATCCCTTTCTTTTCAAGCTCTTCCTTCCAGACCAGTAAGTTGGACTGAAGGTGTGCCTCTGATTTAGCTATCAGGGCCACATCGTCTGCAAAAGCCAGCTCTGATATACAGATTGGTCTCATCTTCCAGTACCCTACAGAGTACTTCTTTGTCTTCTCCTTACAGGTCTTGATGACATCATCCATCATAAGAATGAAGAGGTAAGGTGAGAGAATATCACCTTGTCTAACACCGCTGGTGGTCTTAAATTCTTCTGACTTTTGGTCTGCTGTTCTTACATAATTTCTGCACTTTTTGTAGAAACTCTGTATTGCACTGATCAGGGGTGCTGGGATGTTTTTCCCTGCCAAGCAGTCCCAGAGCTTGTTCCAGGGTACCTTGTCAAATGCCTTTTCCAGATCCAAAAAACATAAGTGAATCTCACTCTTATATTCCAGGGCTTTTTCACTCATCTGTCTCAGTGTGAAGATAAGGTCTTGAGTACTTCGGTTTGCTCTGAAGCCGCACTGGGCCTCGTCCAGCTGTGGCTCTACCAGACTTCTAAGTCTCTGCTCAAGAATTCTAGAGTAACTTTTACCGGGAATGCTGAGGAGGGATATGCCTCTGTGGTTTTCACATTGTCTGTTATCACCTTTTTTAAATATAGGTATATATATATATATATATATATATATATATATATATATATATATATATATATATATATATATATATATATATATATATATATATATATATATATACATATATATATATATAAATAAATAAATATATATATATATATATATATATATATATAAATATATATATATATATATATATATATATATATATATATATATATATATATATATATATATATATATATATATATATATATATATATATATATATATATATATATATATATATATATAATGTGGTAGTCTCCCCATGCTTTCCACATCCACACGGTTGAGCATCTCAACCTTTAGCAATCTTTTAGAATGCCTGGATAAGTGAGTACCATACTCTGCGATGCCATTGCTAACAGCAGATAACACCACAGAGCGGTCTACTTATTCTGGTGGATACTCGGTCCCCGAGACTGAGTTAGCCACACCGAGGTGTGTTTCCGTCCTCCACCATGAGGTTGTGCAGTTGGTATTTTACACTACATCGAAACGTGAGGCCAGTTAGGCATTTCCCACGCTCTCTGAGTACTTTGGTGGAAGCTATTAGGGGCTGCATTTTGAAGACTTCTATCATGCTGAGAAAATCTACCACACATGACTAAATAGCAGGTAGGTAGGAAGATAGACAGGCAGACAAACAGACAGACAAAGCAAACAGTTATTTAAGATCCTTATCCTAAGTGAGGAAAATGCTGTTGTCATAATAAACAAAAATGCCTTTTCTGATTAATTGTACTTAATAAACAAATGGCAAGATCCAGCACACATGGGTTACCCTGGAAGACAAACTATGGGGTACCAGTGAAAACTTCAAGAGCACAGTCCTGTTTGTTTTTGTAGGCACCTTTGCGTCTTTTCAGACGTTAGTGTTATACTGTGCTATGAGGAAGTATGGGACTCACAGCCCTTGGTGATGGTGAGTGCGACTAGCTAGACCAGCCAGCGTTAAGAAAAGTCTTGCACAATTATAGCATGGGATTTCAGGTCCTGTACTCATGCTGTAATAGATGTAAAGCAAACGTTGATCACTGAAGAAGAAAACAAATGGCAAGCAGATTTTTACATAATGTAGATTTTATGATAAGGAAACTGTTCAAGATTACCTTGCTGCCTTCGATCTAGGCCAGTATGCATTCAAAATTTCTGCGCAGGCATCAGTCAGTTTTGGGTGCTTGTGCAGTGGAACCACTTCCATGTTTTATTTTCATTAGGTATGCATGAGTCTTTGCGTAATGTCTACTTTCTATTCAAGACTTCAAACTGAAAAATATACATTTTTCTACTTTCTATTCAAGACTTCAACTGAAAAATTTACATTTTCCAAATAAAAGTAGTAAGGACACAAATGTTACAGCCCAAAATGTAAGAAGTTTTCCAAAAGAGAGTGTTCAACTGTTTTAGAAATAAACACTTTTCTTCTTCTTCTGCATTCCCCAACTGTGAACTGTGGTGAATAATCCTGATTGTTTGCCTATGTCAAGACTGATCATGTTCCAGGACTTGAGTGTCATGTGCACATCCATTTTACAGATCTGGCTTATTTATTTACCAGTTGGTGGATCCTTGCCTCTCAGACAGAAGCTCTCCTAATTTAAAGAAAACATTTATCCTATCTATGTTAGCCATACCCTTGGAAGGAAACCTGTTTCTGAGATGATCACGGAGGGGTGTAGATAGGACTGGACCATTTGAGTGCTGGTCTTGGTGCACCACCACATGGAGCGGTTTTATCTCAGCATCCTGCCTCATTAATTAATTATTATGACCAGGTTGACTGGCCGGTTCTGCAATTGATGTATGACAAGCTAGATGTTGTGAGGGCCCTTTGGGAGCAAGTGAACAGTGTGGAGGCACAGACAGATCATTATGGTCTAAGGAGAATGGCGTTGCGAGGAGTTACCAGGGGATTTGGCTAACGCTCAACACTCAAGGGAGCATAAGTTTTGAATAGGCTGATTATTCCTGCTTTCATATTCAAAGTTCTTAACAATTTTATTTTTGTAATTTTTTGTTTGTTTGTTTAAATACCTTGTCTATCATTTTCTCCTATCCTATCATTTATATTTTACATTAAACAAATTAACTGCTGTATGCTTTCAAATGCCTGACAGTATATTTGTGACTTCTCTTTGCTCCTTGAGAATTAATGTGGTTACTTGGATAGGATACTGTTAAATTATTCTTTCAAGATTTATGCATACTTTTTTCATAATATGTTCTTATAGTTTTATTGACCTATTCTGGTAGCAGTACTTGTACATTTTTAGTAATATTAATGTGAACAACAATATCCTGTTCTGCCAATCTAGGTTATAACTGTGATATATAGAGTTCATATAGATCTGTCCAGAGTGCTGTGATGATAATCCTTTCTAATCACTATATATAGAGTTTATGTTTATTTCAGTACGGACATTCATGCTTATTAATTAGTTTTGGTTATTTGATATTGCAAAGCTTACCTTTGAAGATATAGTAAAACAGATTGTATTTAGGTTTAATATATTTTTAATGTACTTTTCAAACAATAATAATAATTATATTAAGTAATCTATCCTATGGAATATCTAAACAAGTGATCTGGGATTCAAGCTGGATTTTGATAGCGAAGAGGAACAAGAGATCACATCCTCAACATTTATTTAACAAAAGAGAAATCCACAAAATTTAATGTAAATCTATTCTCATGTTTTGTGGATTATTCAAAGGCATTTGACTCTGTCCCCCTTGTGGGTTCCGGGGCCCCATTGTGGGGAAAACAAGAATAGACCCACTGCCTCCCCAAAAGCATGTCGTAAGAGTCGACTAATTGGGGAGCTTCCTTTGAAGTCGGAGTGCATCTGCCGGAGAGGCAAGGAACCAACAGTCTGTATTCAAGAGAATTAGATCTGTAAAACTGATGCACACTCAGGTTCTGGTGCAGGACTGCACTTCAGTAGTGGACGAGCAACCAGAACTTTCCGCCAGAGTGTACAGCCGGTGAATGCGAAGAAGAAGAAGATTTGACTCTGTACAACATCAGAAACTTTGGGAAATTATAAGAAATATGGGCTTTCTATCACATGTAGTACAACTCATAACAGTGCTATATCTAGACCAAAAAGCAGGGGTTAGAACAGATGGTGAGATATCAGACTGGTTTGACATCAAGCAAGGAGTTCATCAGGGCTGTGTGCTGTCACCCTATTTGTTTAACCTGTACACCGAAAATAAAATGAGAAATGTCTGAGATGATTTAACCGGAGAGCAATATGATGCCATAAATATCAGTGGTCATAATATACCAGAGATCTGATATGCTGATAATAAAGTATTGCTATCCACATCACATCACAGACTGGTATAGAAAACTTTAATAACTTCTTCTTCTTCTTCTTCTTCACTTCCTCTTTTACCGCTGTGGATGTCGAGGGAGATATAAGGTTCTGTTTCTAGCTCTTCTGGCTGCCTCGACCATAGGCACATCGTGCTGTTGTAGAGTTTCTCTGATGTTATCCTTCCATCTTGTTCTTGGTCTACCCCGTGCTCTACGTCCTTCTTCTCTTTCCATGTATGCTTTGTATGGTAAGAGAAGAAGGACGTAGAGCACGGGGTAGACCAAGAACAAGATGGAAGGATAACTTAATAACTTCAACCCAAAGAAATAGTAAAAATTGCAACTTAATCTTAACGTAGCAAAAACAAAGATAATGCATACAGAGAAAACTACTATGGAGAAAGAAATATACGTTAATGAGGAAAAATTGGAGGTTGTGGAAAATTTTTTGAATATCTTGGGTCATTGATTACTAATAATAGTGACACAATGAAAGAAATTAATTAACAACTATCAATTGCTCTTCAAAGTCTAAAACAACTGAATACATTATGGAATGGGACAGACAGAACTACAAAAATTGGATTTCTAAGAGCCTGCATCTTTCCATTGCAATATACACCTGTGAGACCTGGACACTTACTAAACAAACTGAACAGTGCATAAATGCCTTTGAATACAAATGTTATAGATGGATTCTAAGAATATCATGGATAAAGAAAAGAACAAATGCATCCATACTTTAAGAACTGAATACTGAAGAAGGTTCTCTATTAAAGAGGATAACATACAGAAAATGTGGCTCTCCACCGAACTTCGTCCCCATATTATAGCGGCCAAACAAATACCCTAACAGGGCCTCAGTCATGTGTAAAATGTGGAGCGCTTGCCGAGGAATAATTTGCGGCAAAACTAGGATTGCCTCCGAATAACCGGCCAATATTATCGAGGACAAACAAATACTCTAACAGGGTCTCAGCAATATGTTGATTGCACGGGGGATACACTTGGCGGAAGTTTAATCGGAAGAACACTATCGCTAACCTGCGTCGGAGCAAGTGGTCTTCCCACCATGTTGCTATTATCGTGTGTATTGTTGCGTTTCTCAACTTTGTCAACGGACAGTAAACATAGTTTTGCCGCGGAGGAAGTCCGCATTTTACACACGACTGAGGCCCTGTTAGGATATTTGTTTGGCCGCCATAATATGGGGAGGAAGTTCGGAGGAGAGCCGAAAATTTAAATAATTTGGTCACTTGAAACGTCACGAAAGTTTAGAGAGAACAATAATGGAGGGGTAATTGCCTATGATGAGAGGAGTAGAAAGGCCAAAGATAAGATGGGTGTAGGATGATCTCCAGATGGGTGTATCAAACGCGGGACATCTTGCTTGTGATCGAGAAGTTTTCCGGAGGGTTGTTGTAGCAGCAAGGTTCTGCAAAGGACAGGCAAACTTTATTTGGCTCTCCTAGCAGATTTGGACGCAAGCTGGACGGCTTCGATCGCCTTGGTGGGAGTTCTCTCCCTTGGCCGCACTCAAAACAAGTAGCGGAAAGAGTCACGAATCAAACAAGACAGTGAGGTCGACATCAGGGCTGCCAATGCTTGGCTGTTTCCCCCCCCCCCCCCAGATCTGGGTTTTTTTTTTAACACTGCGGGAATATCTGGTTTTTTTTTTGTATGTGTGTGTGTTTTGCCGATCTGTATGCTTTAATGACCGATAAATTTGCGTGGTTAGGGGTAGGGTTAGGGGTAGGATTAGGGTTAGGGGTTAGGATTAGGGGTAGCGTTAGGGTTGCGGTTAGGGTTAGGGTTAGGGTTAAGGTTAGCGGTAGGGTGAGGGTTACTGTTAGGGTTAGGGGTAGGGGTAGGGGTAGGGTTAGGGGTAGGGTTAGGTTTAGCGTTGGATGTGACAATTTTGACGCCGTAGTTCCATATAATCGCGCACAGTCACATACACACTCTAACAGTCGACAGACGGTGGATGCTACTGACACGGACAATTCGCCACCGATTGGGCACCAGCGGCCCGCTATTGACGTCATATTTGCCAGAATTTTAGTGGTGCCACTCCCACAAGCATCAGATTGTCGGCCACTATTTCGACCAAATTTTCACATCTAACCCTACCCCTAACCCTAACCCTACGCAACCCTACACGCAATACGCAGCCCTACACGCAACCGTAGGATGATGATAGACACCCTACGCAGCCCTACACGCAACCGTAGGATGATGATAGACACCCTACGCAGCCCTACACGCAACCGTATGATGATAGGTTACCCTAGACGCAACCGTACGCAACCCTACACCCACCCGGATGATGATAGGTAAGTATGTCATTTGATTCGTGACTTTTTCCGCTACTTGTTTTGAGTGCGGCCAAGGGAGAGAACTCCCACTAAAGCGACCGAAGCCGTCCCGCTTGCCTCCAAATCTACTAGGAGAGCCCAAACTTTTGGTCAACACCTTGTTTAATTATGTACTGTTTAGTCCTAGAGCTAGAGCCATCAATTCCCTTTATCCTTAGGGATGCTTACATGGTTTACATATAATGTAAATGTAATGTCCTTAAATGTTTTACATTTAATAGTATTATTACTATAATAATACTGTAAATTAATTTGAAGTTTGGCAAGTTGATGAAGTTGCCTTTTCGTTAATGTTTTTGCTAACTTTTTTTTTTTTATAAATATGGGGACAATATATTTATCAGTACGAAGCAATTAAAATCGTAATTTGTGAAACTTAAAAGTGATAAAAACAAAAAAGTGTACCAATATACAATAACATTTTTCCGTATACATAAGTTGCGGATTAGTCCTCTGTATCATACAGTGTATGCATAAGTAGCAGACTCAAACTCAAACTATTTTGAAATATGAAAGTAAAGCTATCTTATCTTGTAAAATAAACAAATCAATTTAAATAATTCGAACTTATTCTTAGTAATTCATATCGGTAGAACATGAAATTTAAAAGAACTAACCTTTTGTTTTTTCAATGCATGTTTTATCAAGAAGTCTGTCTTTTTTTTTAAAGTGAATAATTGCAACATTTGATACATTTTATTTGGTAACAATTGCCCGGTTATAGTTTTGTATGATATGGTCGGTCTAAATCACGAAGTAGTCTCTAATCCAGTGTGGGTGTTCTGGAGTTAGATCAGTTGAGTAGAGTCAACAATTGACATCACAGCACTCGGGGCATTCCCATGCATGCTCCGTCCTCATCTTCAATATCCAACGCAGAGTTTCAATACTAATGGTACCGGTCACAATCTGGTTAAAAGTCCGTCTTGCATTTCCTCTGAGTGTAGTGAGCCAGCCAGGCACCCAGGTGCCTCTATCTCCAGGCTATAATAATCTTCTTTCTCTACTGATTCCGTTGCTTGTTCCCATAGGGCCTTGACCACATCTGCATTGTCATGTATAAATTCCCCACCCAGTGGTGCGGATCCATCCAATCTGTCTGCCTGATCATTACCCATCACGCCGGTATGATCAGGAGAAATGATTCAAAGTATGCTCACCACCCGTGATCTCTCCAGTGAAGCTAACCACTCTGCTCAAAGTCTTTTTCAGCATGCTTTTAGAGTCTGTTACAATTACGACATGTGTATGCACCTTGTTCTCTAGCCACCGGAGAGCTGCAGTTACCGCCTCCATCTCCATTCTCATGCTAGATGTTGTGGTGTCATATGCTAGGCTGTCTTGCACTAAAGATTTTCCATTGGCTTTCGCTACGAACCCCCCGGGCACTTCTCTTTCCTCTCAACACCGAACAATCTGTATAGCTAATCAAATTACCGGTACTGTCAGTATTGGAACTCTTCGCTGGTTCTTCTGGCTGAAGATGAGGACGGAGCATGCATGGGAATGTCCCGAGCGCTGTGATGTCAATTCTTGACCAAACTGACTGATTAACAAACTATCCAAAGAAGCGCAGCAAAAGAAATAGCGAAGACACGCTAGGAAGTTACAACAACGCTGCAGCATGATTTAGGCCGACCAGACAACTACGTGAAGAATGACCGTGGAGATAACTGCTGCTCACAGAGCACTCGCATGAGTAACAGAACAAGCGGCCACACATGCTGTAATCGTTGCAGACTCCATGAACATGCTTCAGAAAATCGCAACAGCTTATCTACGCTCCGAATTGGTAAACAGCAATCAGATGTGGCAGCTAAACCCATCATGTGGATCTTCACTCTTGTGCATGCAGGAGTAAATAGTAATTGAAGAGCTGACCAGTTGGCAAGCAATGCACCAATGCAAACGGGAAGAAGCATTATCCGAGCTGATATCAACGCCGTAGGACTGTGGAATTGATCCAGAGGACAAGGGACAGAGATCTGTGGAGATGCACTTACGCCTACGCCAGTCGGATGGGCAAGTGATGACGATGATGAAAGTTATATATCACATTGTGCGTGTGTGAAAAAGAATAGACCCACTTCGCGCGCCCCCCCCCCCCCTTAAGTATGGTGTAGGAGTCGACTAACTGGAGTCTTCCTTCTAAGTTGGAGTGCAACATCTTTTAAGGCAAGGAACCAACAGTCTGCACGCAGATAAGTCAGATATGTAAAATGGATGTGTACGCTATTTAAGGTTCTGGAACAAGACCTAATTCCAGAGTTGGACGAACAATCAGAACTTTCCGCCGGAGTTTACTGTCAGTGAACGTAAAGCATACGAAGAAGAATATAAAACAGTTTTAACCCAAATGGGTTGAACGGGATAATGATTTTCTTTTCCAAAATGACTGCTTCGTCAGCAAACCAGAATACAAATAAATTTAATGCCACATTTTGGATTGGTATGCGGTCATCTTTGTACCCAAATTAAGGCATTATAGCTAGCTATAACACCTATTATTTCATTTATGATTTTAGTCTCGTAAATCTTGGTTTTTATGTTGTTGCATTTAGTGCATTAGTAGAGCTACTGTGTTTACTTCCTGTTTCTAAGCATGCCGAATTTCTCATGGTTTCGACTAGGCTGGACAGAGTTGATTGTTGTTACATTACAGTTGAATTGACATTTACTGCAAAAAATGACTGATATCCAAGAAGGAGATCATGTCGTTTTTAAACGAGATGGATTATCACGAGTGTACCAGATGCGCAGAAACCGGTAATTAAATATTAAAATTACAGATGTTGGTGAAGTTTTTAAACATTAATTTAATCATTAAACAGCCTATAGGGCGGGCTACTATTAATATTATAAAAGTCTAAGTTCTATTTATTAGTCTAAGGTGGCAAAGCAAAGAGATCAAAATTAAAATGTTGAGAGCATGCATCTTCCCTGTAGCAACATACGGATGTGAGTTGTGAACTAACTCCCAGTCCTTTAGAAAAAAGAGAAAATAGCGGCTTTTTAGCTGAAATAAGCTATAGAATAGAAATAGAAGGATTATCAGAATATCTTGGACAAAGAAGAGAAGTAGTATACTCAACTGACATCTTGAAAGATCTGAACATAAGGAAGACTGGCTAATAAACAGAATCCTGTCTCGATTTGGTCATAAGCACCACGACGGATTGACAAAAAATTATGGCAGAAGGAATGGAACCAGGAAGGAGAGGCAGGAACCGACCAACACGAAGATGGGCACACAGTAACTCCTTGGCCTTGAGTATGAAATGAAAGTACATGAGGCGGGAGAGCAGGCAAGAGACCAAGTTTCTTTCAGGCAGACTGATGAGAGCGACGTTTTGCAAAGGGCATGATGATGATGGTGAAGTTTTATATGCTGGGTTTTTAACAGCCAATGAGCCAATGCTGACTAAATTAAAAAAAAAAACTTTTATTCAGGTTTTACCTATTGTAGTTAATGTGTTTCTGTCAGATCTGCCATCGCCTGTTTAAAAGTGAGAGGATATACTTTTTTACTCCAGGTTTTATCCCTTATGGCGCAGTCAAAGTAGCTGTTCACTTTTCAAGAACAACCTTCAAAGCAAAAACCTTCATAGCTCTTGTGACGACTCTTAAAGACATTTGAAAAACGAGCACCTATGAACCAAATGACTGCATCTAAAATTGAACCCACTACCTTTACAATGTTTAACCGGTTCACCACAGAGACTGTGCACCTGTACAGTGCCATTACACTGCAAAGTAAAAATCTTCTGACGTCTGTGGTCATGAACTAAATCCACTGTGGGCCATACACAATTTTTTTTTTAAAGTATCCAGAAACCATGAGTTGTTAACCCCTTTGGCTTGATACTATAGATATCAAAACCATTCGGCCTTGATTCCATGATAGATACCTTAAATCTGGGAGGAATGTGGCTTTTCTGCCTACCCCAGGTGTGAACTCGAACCACAAGGAGTTTGTCACCTGGTGAGGGCCATAATACTAGGAGGTTAGCTGTAGGGCTCCTAGGTTTCCTCAATGCTTAGTTGTCAGGACTACTGGGTGTGGTCACTTGGTGCTTCACAGCTCATCTGAGAGAGAACAAATCTGCAAGATGTGTTTTGGGGTTTGTTGCTGAGAGCTGATTTGCTCATACCTAACTTCAATAAGTGTTTGTTGAGTCTTCAATCATGTGGCAGGTTTTTTTCAGAACACTGTCATCATGGTCTCCCGGAAAACTCTTGTCTCTTGTCAGCTTTCCAGCTCATGCACTTTTATTTTAAAGGAGTCACTTATATCTTGTGTCCAACATTGTGTTGGTCGGCCCCTGCCCCTCCTTCCAGCCTTCAGCTGTCATTTTTTTTCCTGTCTGCCATGATGCTTGATATGACCAAGATATTTCAGTTTCACAGGCAAGATGCTGTTTATTAGCTGATATTCCTTGATTCAAGTGAAAAAGTGTTATTCAACACTGATATCTTAGACTGATGGTCTCTTGTAGTTAAACTCATAACAGATAAGTCTAGCCATGTAATTGAAACATATGTGTGCTCACTGTGATGTCTTGTTTCTTTTAACCTGTTTAACCTGCATTTTGTAACATTATTTGTTTTTTTTTACAGGGAAGTATACTTTGAAAGGTCCAAGTTCAAGGTTGATGACCTTATAGGGCAACCTTATGGGTCAACTTTTGAAATCGACAGAGGAAAATTGGTGAAATTTGAACAGGAAAAAGTTGTTCAGCTCAAAGAAACTATATGTAAGTGAAGTAGACATGTTTTTCTTAGCTCAATCCCAGGGGGTTTAGCTTCAGAGGCCCAATGGGTGGTAATGCAATTTTGAAAATTCACAAGTGTTACACATTCAGATATACTATCCTAATTCAGCTGCCCGGCTCTCTAGCGAAATTGGCTAAACCGGATTTCGCGGAGACCGGGTGACGTACTCCTTGTGGTCCGGGTTCAATCCCGGGGGTAGGCAGGAAAGCCACATTTTCTCCCAGATTTACGGTATTTACAATGGAATCAAGGCCGAAAGGTTGCGATATCCATAATACCGAGCCTAACGGTTAACAACTCATGGCTTCTGGATACTAAAACAAACAAACAAATTCAGCTGCTAGGCAACATACACATATTAAACAGCAAAGTGACCAGGGATTGTTGAGGAATAATATTAGAATACTGCTATAATAACTAAATTATGTTAGTAGAAAACTGGTAAATAAACAAATATATTTAGAGAAATTAGTCCAGTGAAATAAAAATTTGTCTGCTTATCACTGTGGTGCTCAAGGAAAACTTGATAAAACATATCTAAAATGAATCACTAATGAATGTGAACCACTTAGAAAAATAAAGTAAAGGTCCCTTTTCCATGCCTTCAGGTGTATAGGGCTAGACCTATATTTTTATCGACCAATTGGCACAAGATTGGTGATGTGGTCAGCATCACGCCGGCCATCTTTACTTCCCAGCACTGCACCTGGTACCCACTCAAGCCAGGGTCGACCTGGGAGTCAAGGACTTTTTTAAAAAAAGTTTGGCCGCCTGGAAGCAAACCCACGACCTTCTGATCTGCATGATCTATGATTATAAGCACACTCTGTACATTAGAGAAAAATTTGTAACACCATAACAGAGCATCTTTTTTTGGTAAAGAGAAATGATTTCCCAAAATGGTTAGTATCTTCACACAAAACAAAGTTTATATAACACTCAGTTGGCCCGTAATTCTGTAGCTATGTTCCTAAATAATCAGGGGATAGCACTAGAACTCACTAACACTGAAGAAAATCAACTTTTCACTAATATTTATTGTCTTTGTACCAGCTGACTTTGTTATCGTTGTACGCTCTACGTGAGTTGTATGTTTGGGCTATCCCTCATCAGAATTTGACAAAAGAACTGAAACAAGTCTGCTTCACAACTTTCTCCATCTAACTTCAGATAAATTTGATTAAAACATGTTTTGCTTTAATTGGAGGCTTCTGAAGCCATAAACGTGTTGGTATAGAAGTAGAAGACTGCTTGGCAGCAATATTGTTTTCAAACAAATACTTAGTAGCTCAGTAAACCTCACAAACATACTATATTTTTAGGCTTTTAATCTTATTTCTTAACCTAACTGTCAGCACGTGTGTTATTGAACACAAAGAACCAAAAACAAATGTCAGTTAAAAACCTGTACACATCGTGCACTGATTTTACCGCTGGGTAGTAACCAAATAGTGTGTGATTTGTTCATTGGAGCTTAAAAAGTTAAAGAAGCAGCTCGTACATTGTGAACTATGAAACATTCTGTAGGTCAGCGTTTCCAGATTAGATAAAAGCCTTGGAGCGTTCTTATTTTTAAATGTCTGCCACAGACTGCGTACTTTTCAATAGTCATAATGAGAGAGAAAAAAAGTAAATCTGTATTAGAATCACAAAAAGGGGATTGAGGGTTGTTGTAAAAATTCTTTTTGGGGGTAAATGTAGTCCTGGACCCCGTACATGTGTTCTGCATACACACTCCACCACCAGATGTGAACCACAGATATCACAGTTAGCCTAAATGTTATTATTATTATTCCTTACATTATTTCTGAGGGATCCCCATGTTGGTTCCAGGGCCCCATTTTGGGCTAGGGGGCAATAGACTTACTACCCCCTACCAAGCATGTCGTACAAACTGATTAATTAGGCATGCTTCCTTCGAAGTTGGAGTGCACCTGCCTGAAAGGCGAGAAACCAATAGTTTGTATACAGATAAGCATTATTTGTTGAAAAATCTGGCATGCAGAACTCCAGTTTTGAAACAAGACCAAAGTCCAGAAGTGGAAATGGCCATAATTAGTCACCTTTGATGATATGCTTGTTGCGAGGGGAGGGGGTACCCCCCCCCCCCCTTCCCCCTACCCCCAACCCATCCAACCGACCAATGGAGTCCTGATACATATAGAAATGACAGATAGACTGATCACATCACCTATTGCATGGCTATTCAACTGGTGGCCTGTGGGCCAAATTTGGCCCACACAGCCTAGCAGGTTGCTCGCAGATCTTTGACAGCTGTGTTATGTTAATGATCTTTCTATGCTTGGGCTTGGACCTCTGGCCCATGATGATCCCCATTTTCAAACTTTTGGCCCCTGAGTGAACTTAGTTAAATAGCCCTGACCTGTCGAATGCTGATTGGTTGATCCAAGGAGGCTAGTGTAGGTGATAAACACCTGAAGAAATTGAATGTGTTGACCTGATTGGCACAAATTTCACAGTGCAGTTACATGTTCGGAAGAATGAAATGAAAGACAGTTGTATTGTTTGTAGCACCATATGCCAGATTTGTCAGAAAGCATGGAAATATGACCTTTAATAAAGAATCTACAGATTTTCAGCTTCTAGGAATTCAGCTCATGTTTGTGTAATCTTAAATTGTAGCTTCATTGCCAGGAGCTGACAACAGGAACCTTTTGGACGCTGAGAGCAATCAGAAGATGTCAAAGGATGACATCATGAAGATGAAGGATGAGGGAATCACAGGCGAGGTAATATTTCGGTTTTTTTAGAAAGTAAATTAAACATTTTTGTTGTTGAAATTAACAAATGATGTTTAAATTTAACTGGGGAAAGAAGTATTTCAATAGGGCATTGCTGCAACACAAACCTTTCTGGACTACTTTGGCAAGATGTGCGAAGTACGAGCTCTGTGTAATGTATCTGCTAGTTTTATTTCAGTCAAGAAAAACTGAATTTGTTATCTCTATTTTTTGCCTTTGTTAATTACTTATTAAAGTGTGCAAGAGTTGTGTATTAGATCTTGAGTGAGACAGGGGTGCGTTCTATCACTACTACTATTCATCACATACGTTGACCAAATTTGCACATCAGCTAGCACATACAGCAGTAGAACTACAAGAACCATTAACAGACTCCACTCAGAATGTGACAGCTATGATATAAAGATCAACATAGACAGAACAGAAGTTATGACATTCTCCAGAAAAGGTTGAACCACCAGTATCAAAATTGATAAACACCATTTAAGGCAGGCGAATGAATTTACATGTCTGGGGAGCATCTTTTCAGAAGACGGAGAAACTAATAAAGAAATCCAGCAAAGACTCAATAAAGCCAGTCAAGTTTTAGGTGAGATGGCACCAATTTTTTAAATGTATGCATTTAAATACAGACACTAAAAGAACACTGTTTAACCAAATATTTTTACCAGCGATAGGCTATCAGTGTCAAACATGGACACTGTCTTTAGGAGACAGAAGGAAAATAGTCATAACTGAAATTAAATGTTTACATACTATACTAGGTGAAACAAGGAAAGATTGACTTAGGAACGATGATATCGGGAGGAGAGTGGGCACAGAATCAATACTGAACTTTATAGCTAGGCACACAGGTCAGATAGTTTTACCATGTAACAAGACTGGCATCAGACAGGGTACCACAGAGAGCAATGTTAGGCAGATACAGCGGTAACAGAGCCAGAGATCAGCCATGCAAAACATGGGCCGTGCATATTTCAGAGACACTCAAAAGTACTATATATTAAGCGAACAGAGGGGCCCCTTCTAGAGATCTCTTCTCACCCTGATGCCGTGTGGCATTCTAGGAGTAGAGAAAAGAAGTTTAGTTAATGATCTTCTGTGGTATCCTACAGTGCCTCATCTTTTTCCAAAGAGATTCACTGTCAGTGTTGTCAAATGTGTAGCCCACAAATCTGATTTAAATTGGTGAATTTATTGCTCTAACATTTCATATAATATATGTCTGGGCAGTACAGGATCTCTCTGGTCTTGAGCTTGTCTGTTCATCTGTTAATGACATCTGCTAGTCTCTCCAGTGTAATCCTGTTGAGTTATTTTGCGTAGGAAATGGCACCAGTTTTTTCTTCATAAGACTTGCTGCTCGGCTTGGGAGATGAAGCATTAAACATTGTTTCTTAAAATGATGTTAGAGGAAACACAAACCTTACATGCTTTTTTTTTTCTTCTTTAGAAAATAATTGAGGAGCTGATTGAAAATAGTGAAACATTCAAAGGCAAAACAGAGTTTTCACAAGCCAAGTACCTGAAAAAGAAGAAGAAGAAGTAAGTGTTGTGTTCTTTTTTGTTTAATATTGCCAGTTTTAACTTCATGGCTTCAAAACATGGACAGTTGATACACAGATGAAAAGATTCATTGAGGCTTCTGAGATGTGGTTTTGCAGAAAATGATTCATCATTGTCATCCTTTGTGAGCTGTTAGACGTCACTTAATGCTCATATTCAATTCCTCAACTCCGCTCTGTTGCCTGCAGCTTTCTCGATTCCTGACATGGAACATCTTTTGCCTCTCATAATAATGTTCTTCATAATGTTTTCCTTGGCTGTCCTCTTTTTCTCAGACTGTCTCCCATTTTATTGCATGTTTTGTAATTCTTTGCTCATTTTGTCTCAGAGTGTGCCTGATATATCTCGTCCTTCTTTGTCTTATTGCAGTCAATACAGGTATTTGTCCAGATATTTCTCTGATCTCCTCACTCTTTTTGAATTTTTCCCATTTAATGTTTATGATTTTTCTCAGACATTTTTTTCCATATGCATTTAACTTTCATTCCATATCTTTGGTAGTTCTACAACTATCACTCGTATATGTTAGAACTGAAAAAGCGTTAGAACTGAATACTCATAGTTTGGTCTGAAAGCTGTATAACTTAGAGTTCCATATTTTGTTGTGGCTTTTAGGGGTGAATCATAATTTTCTTTGTTGTATCTGTTTGAGAGTCAAAATTGCTATTCAGATAGGTTAAATGATCCATTACTTTTATTGATTTGTTTTCTAGCATGACATGATCTGTTGTTGATATCGTTAATATATTTATTTTCTCATAACTCATTTGTAGTCCTTTTGTTTTTGATGTAGCAGATGACAAATCATCAGCTTTTCTTTGCATGCCTTTGTTATTTTCACTTACCAGAAAAATATCATCTGTGAAATCCAGATCTTCTAGCTGTCTGTTCTCTACCAACCAATGCCAGTAATGCCGTTGGAACTTTTTTTTCCATAACCCAATCTATGGCTGCTCCAAGCAACAAAGGAGACAGAATACAGCCTTGTTTCACTCCAGTTTTCACCATCAACCAGTCAGTTAGACCTTTTTCAGTGTACACTGCACATTCTGAGTACATAATGACCATAATGAGTACAAGATGGGGGAGTAAGTGAAAGTCGGTTAACATTCTGTGGGCAAAAATGTGTTTGTGTGTGTTTTTAAATATCAGTGTGTTCAAATAAGGATGATCCTGTGACAGGTCCAGCAAACCAGTAGAGAATTTATTTGTTCACGGGAAATTGCTCAAGAATTATGGAGGAATTTGAAGAAAAAGAGTATTTCATCCTACCAAACACAAACATTGACAGGGATCATAGACCAGTTATCATAAAAAAGAACACAGAGTACAGAAAACCAAGACATAAAATAGTAACCACAGATGTTATCAACTTCCGGAGACTTCAGGATAATGTGGTTAAAGATGAGATTCAACAAAAAATGGCAGAGCTACTAAAAAACCTTCCAGGCCAATATTCAGACATCGATTCAGAGTGGACTTGTTTTAGGAAGGCTATGCTCAACACACTTCAAACCAAATGCGGAGTCAGAAGGGTAGGTGGTGTAAAACGTTTAAGAACTATTTTGTGGAACAACGAAGTTAAAGACAGCATATCCAGAAAGAAGGAGGCATATAAAAAATGCATAAAATCAAAATCCCATCAAGATTATGTACATTACAGATTAGTAAGAAAGGAAGCAAAACGCAAAATTAAAACATCTAAAGACGAGTCTTGGAGAAATTATGGTCAACAGATGGCTACCCTCAGCAAGAACTCCCCTTGAGAATTCTATAAACATGTAAAAATCATGAGAGAAAGAGACATAAGCTACAACTCAACAACTTTCATCAACAACAAAAGAGGTGTACCTCTATTTAGTCCACAACAGAGGTTGGCAAGATGGGCAGAGTATTTTCAAGAACTTCTCAACCCCACAGGCAATGTAGATAATTTTAACTTTGTACCTCAAAGTTGCGAACAAGAGGAACCAAATTTCATTGCAGCGGAAGTAAGAGCAGTTATACAGAACAGCCCCAGAAACAAGGCACCAGGTCTGGGTGGAATTAATACAGAAGGGATCTAAGCCTGCTGAGAAATAGGTGTTAAATGGCTTACTAGAATTTTTAATATAGCTTGGGAAGAAAGAAAAGTCCCATCTGAGTGGCAACAGGCATTAATAGTACCGATATGGAAAAAGAAAGGTAATATAAGAGAATGTGAAGCATACAGAGGTATATCACTACTGAGTCACGTAGGAAAAATGTACACCAAATTACTAGAACAGAGAGTTAGACCTATAGCAGAACAACAGCTGAGTGCATCACAATTCGGTTTCAGAAAAGGCAGAGGATACACAGATGCATTATTCACTCTGAGGCAAGTGTGTGAGAAAGCCATTGAGTATAATACCGAACATAATATTGTGTTTACAGATCAGGAAAAAGCTTTTGATAGAGTGGAAAGAAACAAACTGTGGTCTGTTCTTGAGAACTACTGGGTACAAGGACAGTTATTAGAGAATATCATAGCCATGTACCACACAAGATAAGGTGCAGTAAAAACACAAGAAGGCATATAAGATATGTTCACAGTCAACACAGGTGTGAGACAAGGATGTGTGCTCTCCCCACTTTTATTTAACATCTATATAGACAGAATATCTAAAGAAGCAAGTTACGATACAGACAACATAGACCTTTATAATCACAAGGAAGTACACACATCATGAGAAGTAATCGATTCACCCACATTAAACGAACTACTGTTTGCTGATGACCAGTGCTTGTTCTACCCTGAAGAACATAGACTGCAAGACCACATTAACAGGTTAAACTCAGCATGTAGTAAATACAACATGAAGATCAATGTAAACAAAACTGAAACAATGCAAGTTAGTAGACATTCTGCCCCACTACACATACAGCTGAATGGTTCTGCCCTGAATCAAGTAAGGGAGTTTAAATATCTAGGAAGTATGATCACAGAAGATGGTAGAATTAACAGAGAAATAGAAACCAGATGTCAGAAAGCAAGTGCACTTATATACCAATTGTCACCATTATTAAGACATCCTAGCAAAACTAAGCATGCAAAGAGACAGATTATTAATAGCATATTCATTCCAACATTAAGCTACCAGTGCCAAACATGGACACTATCTAAAGCCCATATATGCAAAATTACCACCTGCGAGATGAGGTGCCTGAGAAAAGCAGCCAACCTAACCATACGAGATCGAGTAAATAATGAAACTATCAGGCAAATTGTGGGAACTACACCTTGATTCATCGAGAAACAGCAGATCAAGTGGTTTGGCCATCTTGTTAGAATGCAACAAGATCAAATACCATCACAAGCACTACATCTCAGAAGATCAACTACAAGAGCAAGAGGACGGCCACGGAAAACATGGATCTACAACATTAAAGACACTCTATGCCTTCACGGCATGACAGTAGCCAGTGGCAGCCAACGTGCACTGGATCGCAAATTATTCCTCCCCACGCCACCTAACGGCAGAAGTGGATGATGATGATGACTGCACATTCTGAACCATCGTATAAATTTCTAATAATACAACTGATATGCTATAGCATTCCAAAGTTTCCCTTGGTGAAATTCTATGTAAGCTGTCAAATGCCTTCTTGAAGTCAATAAAATTCACAATGAGAGATTTTTGCTTCTCAGTGTGTTCTTCTAGAATAAGTCTCAGGTTAATTATTTGATCCAGACAACTTCTTTTAGTTTGAAAGCTGGCTTGTTCTTTTCTCATGATCGTATCAGCTGCCTCTTTAATTCTCTTGAGATTACTTTGCAAAAGGTTTTTGATGAAACAGATAATAAGGTTATTGTTATTATTATTCCAATTACTGCAGTTGTTAAGATTACCTTTTTGGGGAATTATCACAATTATTCATTTCTTCCGTTATCCTGGATCTGTTTCCTCTTGCCTTATTTTGTTAAATAGATCTAGCACTTGTTGGGTAGTTGTCTCATCTGTTCCTTTGAGCATTTCTACTGTAATATTATCAGCTCCTGCAGTCTTATTATTATTTCCTAGGGAATGTATTGTCTTTTTATTTCTGTAACATTAATCTGTCCCTTAATAAACAATAATTACATTTATTTAAAATAAGCAATCCAAATATTTTGAAATCAGCTAAAATGGGAAGACAACTTATCACAAATATTCAACAGGGACTGTCATAATTTTTTAGGTCACATTATGAGTCGAGAAAAGCTGGAACATGTGACAACTGGAATGTTTTATGAAAGGGGGAAAAACTGCCAGTTAGCGCCTTTATATACCACTTTCGCGGTGTAGGCAGGGAGGTCTTTTGAGCCTGAGGATTTAAGGCCGCTTGGTTAGTGCTGTCTCCACAACTGTGCAAGTCAGGATTTTACTTTGCCCCTGACAGAAAAATCCCCAGCCTTACCGAGGATTCTTACCTGGGTCTCCGGCATGAGAGCCCAGCGTTCTTACTGTTCGGCCAGCTGCTCCTTGAAACGAGAAATAGAGGAATAAAATATGGAAAGATTTTTGAGTTTTTTTTTCATGGCATAGAAAAGTATCATTGCATCAAAATTAATAAAATGCTGTCAGAGATATCAAGAGGTAGATAGATATGATGAGTCATACCAGTCACTTGGTGATCAAGTGTTTTAAAATTGAAATATAGAGGTAGCCTCATAGTAGACACTGCTGCTGTGGTGTGACAAATTTGGTCTTCACATTTATAGGCCAATCCCATGGAGGTCAGGGCGACCCATTTCACCCATTTCCTTTAGAGAGAATTCCCAGAAATTCTGAAAATGACCCAGTGTCCATTTTATGATACATTGAATTCAGAGCTGTACATGTCTGTCTGGTCAGCTGTAGATTTAGAGACGAGTAGATCTCATTCAGTAGAGTAAATGGGACTTAGATGTAGATTTAGTGACCAGGAGATCTCAGTAGAGTAAATGGGACTTAGATGTAGATTTAGAGACCAGGAGATCTCACTCAGTAGAGTAAATGGGACTTAGATGTAGATTTAAAGACCAGGAGATCTCACTCAGTAAAGTAAATAGGACCTAGATGTAGATTTAGTGACCAGGAGATCTCACTCAGTAGAGTAAATGGGACTTAGTTGTAGATTTAAAGACCAGGAGATCTCACTCAGTGGAGTAAATGGGACTTTGATGTAGATTTAAAGACCAGGAGATCTCACTCAGTAGAGTAAATGGGACTTAGATGTAGATTTAGAGACCAGGAGATCTCACTCAGTAGAGTAAATGGGACTTAGATGTAGATTTAGTGACCAGGAGATCTCACTGAGAAGAGTAAATTGCTTTTGGGAAGTTACACAAGAACTTTATAAATCATGAGTCTACCTACATTCAATTTGTTACAATGGAAAGTTACTCCTCAACTAGTTCATAAGCATATTGTTTACGCCGACATACATATTGCTATGGGAATTTACATAGGCACTTTTTAAACATTGTGTTTGCTCAGATAAAAAAAAAAAACAAATTTATATATGGGCTAAGATGTTAACACAAACCTCTCTGACATCCACAGTCGTGATTCTCCATCACAGCAATGCAGAATAATTAATAAATTTGTAGGTAACAGTTCAGAAAGTCAGAGCTTGCCCATGGTAGTTAAATAACATCAAGCAGCCTTTATTTCACATCTCTCAGAAATCCTTCCAGTAGTTGCCAACAATGGTACATAAATCCTGTGAAAGTTTTTTTCTTTCTTCTGAAAAGAAACTAATGTATGTATTTCCATGGTCTCCTTATGTGTGGCAGCTCAAGTAGTTATGGTGTATTAACTTGAATCTTGTTCTCTTCAGGCACATCTTGGTTTTCACAGTTTTAAGGCCAACACCCAGACTTGTTATGGAGATCTTTTCTAAGGAGCCAGGAAAAATCTGGTAAGTTTATGACCAAAGATGATAGTGCTCTGTTTTTTCCCCTTCTGTTGGGTGTGTGTTAACTCTTTATGCCCTAACATTATGTGTGATTTTTAATCAGCATGTGAATCCATCAGCATGTTATCTGTTATGTACTTATTATGTTAAGACAGAACATACTTAAGAAGACTGCCAGTGTATCGACTTTGTACAAAGCATATTTTTAACTGTTAAACTGAGACACCTAGAGGCACACACAGACATTGATAAAATAAAAAAAAAAGAAGTAGAAAGGCTGATAAAGCAGGGTCTATTATAGTGAGGAAGAACAGGCTGTATTTCACAGAAACAAAAACAGTCAAATACGGGGGTGCTAAAATGACAGCATGAACAGAGTTGTTTGGAAAAAATATTTCAGCTAAATGAAAAGACACTATAAATGGCAGGATATACAATGAAGATGAGAGACCATGTTGGTGTTCCAGTACAGCCAGTCTTTATTGTGGAGACAGCAACTAATTGATTATGCTTTGAGATGGCAGTCAGTGTTAGTCTTTAACAATATTTGTCTAACTTCCAATTTGTTATATGATATCACTCTGTGTGCACTTATAAACCAAATTGGTTGGCAGTTTGTATTACTTTCTAATGTTATAGACCCTCCTTCTGTACATACTTTGTTGATGAAGTTTGCTATATTGTATTAAAGTTTTAATTTATAAGATAAACAGGGTAGTGTTTAAAAAAAGTTTCATGCTCCTTTTTTTCTATAGTTCAAATTATTTTTACTATTTTAGTTTAAATTTTTTTGTTGTTTTCAGCAATTTACGACCAGATACCCTCTCTCAGTTGCTGAATTACGGTAATGTCATGTATGGCAGCAATGTTGCAGTTGTGGAAACATGCCAGGGCCTGGTTCTTGCCAGTCTGTTACAAAGGATGGGAGGTATGCTTGAAGTTCTTATTGTCTTTTTGTTTCATGATTTTAAATAAATGTTGAGGTCTTGTACAAGATTTCTTTAAAGTAGGCAGCCTGTATATTGGAAACATTTATTTTTGCCTTGCGAAGTAAGTAAATAAAGTAAAGATCCCCTTTCACGCCTTAGGCGCAACGGGTATATGGGAAGAGCGTCCCATATTTTTACAGACCAATCGGCACTGGATGGGTAATGTGGTCAGCATTACGCCGGCCGTCTTTAATTCCCCAGGACAGCCATCCTGGTACCCATTTTGGGCTGGGTCGACCTGCTACGCCCCATACCGTAATAAAAATCCACACAGCCAGCAGTGGGTTTTGATCGTGGTGCGTTGGAATTACGAGTCGGACTCGCAATGCCTAAGCCACGGACTCCCCATTTTTGCCCTGCAGGATAGTTAATTGTTTCATGCTTTGCTATTGAGTAAATAGAAATCTATAAAGTATCAGTGTCAGATTTAAATAATTATAATGATGATAGGATGTAAAGACAACGAAGATACAAACAATAGATTGCACATTTGATTACCTGGCATATTTGGCTGAATCTTATCGGGTGTGTACTACGGTACCAGTTTTAATTAGATGTAGAGATGGTGGCACTATTGAAAAGTCCGTTTATTGTAAAGAGGGGATAGACCATTACAACTATTTTAACAGTTTTGCACCCATGCAGTTAAAGCTTGGCCTAGTGTGGACATTATTCGACCGTGCTAGAAAGATTTGTTTCAACCGACACCCTACAAACAAACACTGCTTTCTAATGGATACCCAGGTGGTTCTGTTAAATCGCCATTGCCACCCGCCCAAACCAATTACCATAGAAATATCAGAGCCCAAAAAACAAGTTTATTATGTCCATCTAACTCTTCAGAAAATTGACTTTAAGCAATTTTTTTTATGACCAACTAAAAACAGGAGTCAGACGTTTTATGCAGCCATGCCTCTTATCAAATTTAAAACTATCGTAATTCCTACACCACCAGTGAAAGAACCAGTGTCAACATACACTAAATCTAATCGCATTTACCAATTTAACTGATCGATGACTTGAGAAATAGGTCTTCTAACATATTCCACTATTGGTGGTAAAAGCAATGAAAATCACTAACAACTATAACTCAACAACAAATCAGGTGCGTGGTAAAAAAAACCATCCCCCATCCGCTGTTGCATGCCATATTTTGAATTCTGGGCACATCGTAAACAAGCAAGATGCATTTATAATTATTTACAATACAGCAGACTGGAGATTATTGAGATTTGTGGAAGCAATCGCTATAAACCGGTTTAGTCCAGAATTGTGCAGACAAAAGGACATGATCTTCACCTTGTGTTTACTATGATGAAACAGTTTTTGGTGTAGTCGAGTTTGTATTTCAGTTCGAAGGATTCATTTATTTGCTTCATTTTAGTAAGTTGTTTCTGTAGTATACACCTGACAAAAGACAGCGAAATATGCTAGGCAGTAAACTGTGCAGTCTATTGTTTGTCTCTTCTTTGTTCAAATGTCACAATGGGGAAACATTGCTTTGATTTTCTAAACAATAGTGTTTTTACAGTTTTAGTTGTAAATAGCTAAACTGGTCATTAGCAGATTGTTCAGGAGCAGCTGGTTCTGATGAAAATATTGTTTTCTCATTTCAAATCAGTTTCGGTTCAACAGTTTATATTATAGTTGGTTTGTTAAAGAACTTGCAGCTTGTTTTCAGTATGGGGCTAGCAATAATCGTCACACAATAAAATCTTCTTTTATTTAGAGATAGATCCACTGCTGTTTTGCATAAATAACTTAAAATAAATTTTAAAAAGTAAAAAAAAGTGAGAGAGAGAGAGAGAGTACATTGTGAGTCTTGAATGTTGAATTAAGAATCAACATCGTAGCACTTGGGACACTCCCATAAGCGCTCTGTCACCATTTTCTGCAGCAAGTGAAGAGTTCCAGTTTTGATAGCACCAGTAACTGTCTGATTGTGTATCCATCTAACCTTTCCTTTGAGTGTAGAGAATTGGCCAGTTCCCTGGTCACTTCTCGCACCACTGTTCTTCCTAGACCATAATGATCTGTTTGTACTTCCACACTGTTCACTCGCTCTCAAAGGGCCCTGGCAATATCCAGCTTGTCATATGTCAGTTCGCCACCAACTGGTGCAGAACTGTTAGCCTATCTGCCTGCTCATTTCCCAACACAGCGGCATACATGAAGAAAATATCCAATGGACGCTAACTACCCGTGACATTTGAAATGATGTTTGCCACTCTGCACATTATCATAATTCATGCAGCAGTTATTATCACATAGTATATTCTCCTATTTCAGGTGAAGGGAAGCTTATTCAGCTTGTCCCCAATACAAGCAATTCAGTCTGTCGGTAAGTGTGGCTTGTCTTAACTGATAACTTTGTCATTTGTCCTGTAAAATGTTGGCCACTTATTAGTTCCAAGGAACTGACAGATTTTACAAGCACGTCCTACAGTCTTGACACCAGTTTGACTTCAAATGAATTAACTGCCACTTTTATACTTATAACTGGCCATTTTGTTTTTTTTTCTAAAAGTCTCTGACAGAACAGTGATTCTGTTTATTTATTGTGTGTTTTCCTCTATTATGTGGAGATTCCTGGCAATGTCGTCACATAAAATGGGCACTGGAGATTTCTCTGGGAACATATTCTGCACAAAGCTAACAGTATAATTCTAAAAAGGGTGTGTAAAAGTACTTACTCTTTGCAGTCATAGACATTTCAAATGGTATGAAAAATACCACCAGGCAACCCTGAAAAAAAACCTTCTCAATTTAGGCATTCTTTGCCAATTAGGGATCAGTAATCAGCATCTTTATTTTGTCTGTTCTTTTTCAGTCTGTTTTTCTAACTTATTCTTCCTGAAATTTTAATTCTTGAACTTTTATAAATTGTTCTTTGAATTGTGTGTATAATTTATGTGTGATTGTTATATTTCAATTTAACAGCTCAGTATTATTTTTTTTTTAAAATAGTTGTTTGATGAAGGCTAAGGTCAAAACATTCTTTACATCTGTATATGTGTTTTCCTTCACCGCTGTAGTTATATTTTGTGTTTATTAATTTTATTTTTTAAAAACTAAACGCTTAACATCAGTTGCCGTAATTTCCAATATTAGACATGCAAGGGCTTATTACCAACCGTTAAAATCATCATCTTCTTTTTTCACCGGCTTTAAGCTGGGGTGAAAAGTCCTCCAGGTTGTTCGTCCATCTAGACCATGGCTTTGTGCCAGTACCTGAGTTTTGCGTGTACATCTGTTTTATTGACTTATTTGTGTGCACTTGGTTGTTCCTTGCAGCTCGGACAGATGCACTCCCGACTTTGAAGGAAGCCCACACTTAGTCGACCCCTACGACATGTTTGTTGGGGAGGCAGTGGGTCTTTTATTGTTTTGCCCACAGTGAGGCTCCTGAGCCCACATGGGGAAAAATCATCAATTGCCATGCCGATAAGTTAAGGCTGCCATATTTTGCCATCTCACATGATCACCAAAATCACAGATCAATGCCAGTTCCAAAAGTTTAGACATATGTTGAATTCAGATAGGTTTGTTTTAATGCTTGCTTAACTCTTTGAGTCCCAAAGAACGCATCATACATTCATTGATTCCTACCTAGAAGCCCAATGAATGCAAGATGCGCCGATTTTACATCTCTTTTGACTACCCCTTGGGTCTGTGGTGCTAAACCCCCTGGGACTCAAAGAGTTAACCATTCTTAAAAAAAGCATATAATGTTTCTGGATTTATAATTTTAAAAAATTGACTGAAAGAGACCTAAAAAAAAGGAATTTTGACAAACGACAGACATATGTGGAGACAAATCTTGCAGAGTGCAATGGTGATGGTCGCCAAGTGAATACTAGGTTAAAAGAAAATGCACAGTAATATATTTTCTTATTTGTAACCAACCACAAATGTCAGAAAGAGACAGTCATCATTTTGTCACCATGTTATAAGAAGAGAAAAACTCAAAGAAAGATCATGGAAGACAACAAGAGAGGATTCTTGACAGCTGTTTCTTAATCTGTGAAAGGGTATCAGAACATGCACCTGGTGATGATAATTTTGAATTAAATTAAGCCGATTATAAACCCTTATTTCATATTTCTTTCCAGGCAGGTGATGGACTACTTCAACTTTCCAAAAGAGCATCTTGACAATGTCTACATGTTTCCACTTGACACATTTTCAACCATCACTGATGACACAGAGGAAACAGATGGAAATTCAGCAGCAAATTTAAATCTAGAGACCAGCTCTGAAAAAACTGTTACTGCACCCACAGATGCTGCTTCTACTGATGGAGGTGATAGTTCAATTGACAGTAAAACACTTATGACTGTTGGTGGAGTTCTTGTGGAAAGCAGTGATAAGTCTGACCAGTCAGAAAATGCTGCACTGTTGAATATTCCAGGGAAAGCTGCACCTTCTACTGATGTTGCTGAGGCAAATGATGTGACCATGAAAGACAATGATGCACTCATAGAGAACGCTGCTGGTGGTGAGGTGATAGGTGGCAAGAGACAAGTAAGTAAATGCTGTATGGAAAATTCAAAAAATGGTAAACATTAATTCCCTATTTGGAAGTGGAGGAACAGAATAAATCAACACCCCCCCCCCCTCCCCACCAACAGACATATCATAAAAGTTGACAAATTAGGGGTTTTACCTTTAAAGTCAATGTGCATCAGCCTGAGATTCCATGAGCCAGCTTCTATCTACAACTGAGCCAGATCTGTAAACGGATGTACACGCACAGTTCCAATTCTTGAACAAGGCCAGGGTTGACAAACAACTAGATGTTTTCACCGGAGTTAACAGCCACTGAATACTAAGAGGTTAACATTAATGAGAATTAGATTCTTCACAGGAGTTAGTTTAAAAAAAAAAAAAAATGTCTGCATATCTTTTACAGGATATTAGTTGGCAGTTTGTGGTCTTTCTAGGCAGTTTTGCATTAACTAGTTTTTATTTGTTTCCCGAATGGTCAGACTCATACCATTGTTGCAGGCTGAACTACCACATGCATAAAATAAAGACAGTGTGCATGTCAGAAGGGACCACAAACACCCGAGCATATTCTGCATTTTTGCAGACGATACTTACACCTGCAAAGAGAAACCTAACCTCAAAATCAAAGTGTGCAGAGTAGTCTATGAGGAATCATGAAGGACCTGCAACTGACAAGCGAGTTCATAGAGGCAGCCCACCTGATGGTCTGACCTAAGCATATAAAAATGATTGTCACGAAGAGAATCAGTCTGCTGCCAGATAATCTGCAGCTGAATTGAACTCAGTATATTGAAATTATGAAACTGATTTCATGTAACCCCAAAGAGGAGATGGGTAGCAAGTGAGTTTACTGGCCAACACAGTCATTTAAGATTTACTTTCCAGTTTTGTAGGATTGTATTATTTTCCAGGCTAGTACATCTCTGGGGTTGACTCATTGTTATCAAATTGTCTTATGGGTCTACCTGCCCACTGTTGGTCCATTTGAAAAAAAAAAAAAAACAGCTATTATTTCATGTAATGGATTAGACCTTGCATAAGCATTGTGTCTGGTAAACTACTGATGGCAATCTGCCTCGAATGCTGGGATTTTTTCATGTGGACTTCCAGCAATTTCCCCTGGGTAGTAAGATCAGATGACCGTGTGTATTGTTGCGCACATAACAAATACCTTGGCAGTTGGAAGTCGAAAAAGAGTAGCCCAACGGCGCTGCCCAGGCAAAACTTGGAGTTTAAAATGTACCCAATTTCAGGATCCTCGCTGGTGCAACAGAGTTCGTGCACTGTGCTGAGATTCTTCAGACTCAGGCTTGAGTTAGAAGTAAAACAGAACACTTATGGGTTACACCCGTGTACCATGATATTGATCCGTCGACTAAACTAAACCAAACTTCTGGAAAAAAAACTTTATTAGACAAAGAAGATGGACACTATTTTGGACACATCATGAAAAGAAGCAAGCAGAGAATCACTATAAAGGCACTAGAATGGGAAATAAACTGATTGAGGAAGTCAGGGCATCCAAAAGACACCCTAAAATGAAAATTGATGATAGAGGTCAAAGATTTTGGACTGGATTTCATCCATAATATCAAAGGGATTGCTCAGGATAACGGAATGGAGTAATTGACTATGACCCCTATGTGTCAAACAATGGGCAATGATTGTAATCATTGTGTGCAACTAAAATTTATGTCCCATTGCCAAATGTTTATTTTTCTACCTGATTTGAATCTGTGCCATTGTAAAGTGATCCATCTGCCCTTTAGCCTTCCTCATGCTCTGTAACCCTTTTTTCTACATCTGTAGGCATACAGGGTAAAAGTAGGCAAAGGTTCTTTTTCCTGTCTTGTACTGAACATTTGCTGCCAGTTGCTCCTATTGTGCAAACTTGGAAATTATATTATTACCTGTTTAAAATGAGATTTGGAAAAATAAGGACACTGAAGCACAGAGATTAGAGAATTATATCACACACACACATCCCCATGTTGGTACCTGGGCCCCATTGTGGGGGAAAACAAGAATAGGCCCATTGCCTCCCCAAGCATGTTGTAGGAGTCGACTAATTGGGGGGTGGTGGGGGGGCATCCTTTGAAGTCGGAATGCATCTGCCTGAGCGGCAAGGAACAGCCAACTGTACACAAATAAGCCAATAAAACAGTTGTGCACTCAAAACTCAGGCCCTGGCACAAAGCTAAAGTCCAAATGGATGAACAGCTAGGACTCACCACCAGAGAAGCCGGTGAACAAAGAAGAAAATATCACACACTGAATGGCAGATATATTTTGAAGAAATCTTAAAGATGCTGGATAAGTTTTGACAGATAGGTTTTTGCATGCCTGGTGTGTGTTCCTGTTTGAACCTCTTCCATGTTTATAAAAGAGTTTATCTTCAGTGGGTTTTTATACCATAAGTTATAGCCCAGTAATTGTCTTCTGTAGGTTTCCATATCATAAGTTATAGCCAACTAATTTCAGCTTCCATTTGCAACAAAACAGTCATTAATATGAAGCTTGTCTTGCTTTGTTTATTCAAAAACTATTTTCTGTTCACAGTTGCCTCCAAATCGAGATTTGCAGAGACAGCTAAAGTTGCAGAAGCAGAAGGAGGCTGGGCAGATCATCAGGAACAAACAACTTGATAGGTGAGTTTAAAGTGTAATGAAAGGAAAAGTAAACCCATTCATATGTCATAGTAACATTTTGGCTAGTGCCTTTTCCTATCCCTTATCCCTCATTGGAGTATAGCTCTTAGTCACATCAAACCAATTTATTTGTTTGCCATCTCTTGCAGCTCCCCAACACCTTTCTAGTATTATTTGTCTATTTTTAATACTAATTTAGGTTTCCTGCTGTTTGTTTTGCTCTGTGGGTTCCTATGAAAGAACATTCTTGTATTATTATTTTCAGGTTTTCTTGTCATGTGTCCAGTTCAGTGCTAGCGTCCTTCCTCATCTCTTGATTTGCTTGAATTTGGGTTGTTCTCTCCATAAGCTACACACTGGGGAATCTTCTTTTGTTTGCTTGAACCTATGTGTGTATTTTTGTCTCTCATGTAAATTTAATTTTTTTCTTTCTAGTTCATTTGATGGACCATAGAGTTTTCTTCCCATTGTTGTTTTTGGTTTTCTAAAGGGTTTCCTAATGTCATATTCAGGCCAGTCTGGAAGTATGTGCTCTGCTGTCTGGGGCAATATTTCAAACGTGTACATGACTTATACACCAATCTTAAATTGTGTGTGTATACGGCTGCTTTATTAGTTGTACCCTGTTCTGAGGCGCAGAATGACGACTTGCTCCAATTTGTCCACAATAAAGTAGTCATCTTGTCCTGGGGTTTGTGGGTTTTTTGTCATTGTTTATCATATAACTCCTTGTATTCTGTGCTTCAGTCAGAGAATGTTTGAAGTTGTTTGTAACTGTTCTTGGTGTTTCTGATCCATGCACCCTGGGTAGGATGAAACATGTTATTACAGTCAACATTGGGAGCGGGGGGATGCATATTATGAAAAAAGGGTACTCAGAGCATGTTGTCATAGCTGGAAAGAGAGATGGAGGAAGACAGTGCAAGAAGATTCTTGACAGCCTTTTGTCATGGCATAGAGGAGTGTCGGTACATGAGTAGATAACTCCTGTTGGAGAAAGCATCGTGTGGAAAGTCATGATTGCTCATATTGTTTGGCAAAGAACTTGATGGTGATGAATGGCACATTAGAAGAGATATGAACCCGTTTGCCCGCGTGAATGCTTAAAAAAAAGGAATTTTAGTAAATAAATCCTTATAAACAATTTTTCACAGGTCACCAATTTGTAATGTGAAAATTTTTTATATATCTGAAAAAAAAAACCTTGTGTTTTGAACTATGTAAAGAAAGTAAACAATAGAAAAGAACAAAGTGAAGCATTAAATGGAATGCATTCCTCAAGGGCAGCGGTTCTCAACCTGTGGGTTGTGATCTCTTTTGGTAGTTGAACAACCCTTTCACAGGGGTCACCTAAGACCATTGAAAAACACATATGCATTGAAGTTATGAAGCAGTGTCAAAAATAATTGTACGGTTGGGGGTCACCACACCATGAGGAACTTTATTAAAGGGTCGCAGCATTAGGGGGTTTGCGAACCACTGCTCAAAGGTATACAAGAAATATAAATTTTCTGACTCTTCTCATGACCTCTATCATTGAGGCTTACAAAGAACATTTTTAGTTAACCTAGCTTTGAAAAAAGCTATTGGATTCATAAGAAAACCCTTCTAAATGCTTATATTTAGTTAATTTTTTTCACTTCTGGATCTCCTAAATTCCACTCAAAAAGACTGGTGGTATTTAACTATGTTTTTTGAGTTAGGTGACAGCAGAAATGCCCATATATCAGTATTAATGGGAACCTGGCCAAGATGGCGGAATAAGCTACGGCTACCACTATGCAGTTTTGATAAATTTTGTTTTAGGGGATTTCCATCAAATTATTGTTCAAACAAGGATGATCCAACGACAGGCCCAGCAAGCCGGTAGGGGATTTGTTTGTTCAAGCACCATTGCTCAAGATTTATGGTGTATTTTGAAGAAAAGGCGCGATTACACTAGCGCTTCAAACCGCCACACACAAGACAGAGTCATGAAAGAAACACCGGCCAAGATAGACAGACACGGCACGACAGTTTTTAAGATGGCTACATGGAACATTTGTGGTATGGGGGATAAAGTGGCTGAATTGGTTGAATTTATGATTAAGAGTAAAATCAAAGTTTTGGAAATTGTTGATATCAGAAGGCTCAAGGCGTCCAGAAAATTCATAAGAACTTTGTTCTGATTTGGAAAGGGACTCAACCACAAGAAACTAATAAACATGGAGTGGGTTTTATCATTGCTCCAGAAACAGCAAAATATTTACTAGATTCAGAATTTGTGTCAGAGAGAATCATATGTATCAGACTGGCTGCAGGTAAAAGAAGAGTATCGTATATTCAAGTATATGCTCCTTGTAACGACACTTACACTGAAGAAGAAAGAACAGAATTTTTTGACCAACTTAGCGAAACCATCAGTAAAGTTACAGACACTGATGGCTTGTATGTGATGGGAGATTTCAACGGACATGTGGGAGAACGTCGACCTCCATGGTCCACATATATGGGACCATTTAGTGACAAAGAAAATAAATGTAACAACATGGAGAACAATTACTCAATGTATGTGCAGAGCATGAACTAATTATTAGCAACACGCTATACCAACATAAGAGAAGCAAGATATTGACCTGGTATAAATGGAATAATATTAACCAAGCATCACAGATAGATTTTATTCTCACAAAAAAGAGCGACCGATGGAGAATAAAGAACTCCAGGGCCATCCCAAATGCAATAATAGACTCTGACCATAGACCTGTAGTACTTTGGCTCTATAAACCAACAAGAATTTGCATTGATAAAACACCACAGCTAATGGATCAGATAGCCATAGAGAAACTAAAAGCAAAAATGTGGCAATTCAAGTTGAGGAAACAGTTAAAAACACCTTCATTACTCTAGAGATAGGAAATGACATAGAAGAAGAGTGGCAAATTTTTAAAACCTGCATCCTGAATGTAATGACAGAAAAGTGCGGACTCCGAAAGCCAAGAAGGCACATGAAACAAACAGCATGGTGGAATGAAGAAGTTAAAATTTCTATCAAAGAAAAGAAGAAATATTTTCATCAGTGGCAAAAGTCCAAATTAGATGAGGACTACATCAGATATAGAAAAGCAAGAGCAAAGAGCAAGAGGAAAGTAAATTCGGCGAAATCAGAATCATGGGCAAACTACGGTGAACAATTAGCAAGGCTATGCACTGATTCACCTGGTCAGTTCTACCGAAGCATCAAGGCTATGAGACTGAGAGAAGAAAAATTTAACCCATCAAAGATCATAAACAGCAAAGCTAAAAAACCACTCACCAAATCCCAAGATGTTAATATGGCAAGAATATTTTTCTGAATTACTGAATAGTGGACCACAAGAACCAGTGTCTAATGAAATAAAATTTGGACAAGAACAAGAACCTAATATATTAGAATCTGAAGTTGAAAAGATCCTAGAGCAAAGCAAAAGAAACAAAGCGGCCGGAACAGATGGTATTACAACAGACATAATACTTGCATGTAAGGCAACAGCAGTAAAATGGCTGACAAGAATATTCAATATGGCCTGGGAGGAAATGAAAGTTCCCGTTGACTGGCAGAGAGCAATTATAGTTTCCATATGAAAGAAGAAAGGTGATAAACGAGATTGTGAAACATACAGAGGTATCTCTTTACAAAGCCATGTAGGAAAGATGTTTGCAAAAATATTAGAACGAAGAGCGATGGTGATATTAGAACCTCAATTAAGTAACAACCAGTTTGGAATAAGAAAAGGAAAGAGCTTCACTGATGCAATATTTACTCTTCGGCAAATTTGTGAACAGACAATCGAATATAATAAACACCAGAATCTTATATTCATTGATCAAGAGAAGGCTTTTGACAGGGTTAACAGAAATAAACTATGGAACATTCTTGAAGAATATGGTGTACCGGGTCAATTATTGGGAAACAATGGCTCTCTATAAAAATTGCCAGAGCGCTGTAAGAACAACGGAAGGTATGACAGACTGGTTCCCCATGCTATCACCCCTACTCTTCATCACATATATGGATAAAATTGCACAGGAGTCAAACCAAAACACAGATATTATAAATGAACTACTCTTTGCAGAAGACCAATGTTTGTTACAAGAAGAAGAACAAAAACTACAACATGTTGATTCATTGCTCACTAACTGAACAAAATTTGACATGAAAAAAACACCTCTAAAACTGAAGTAATGACCATAGGAAAGAAACACAGTAATGTAAACATAAAGATCAATGACATACAATTAGAACAAGTTCAAGAATTCAAGTACTTAGGATGCATATTTACAGAAGATGGAAGACTTGATAAAGAGATACAGGCTAGAGTTCAAAAAGCCTATGCAGTCAACTACCAACTGGCCCCACTTCTTCGTCATCCAAAGATCTCGTTACCAGCCAAACAACGGATGATCAACAGCATTTTCATCCCAACGTTATGTTATCAGTGCCAAACGTGGACAATGAACAAATCACATATGCAAAAAATAACTACGTGTGAAATGCGATGTCTCCGAAGAGTCACCAACATACGTGGACAATGAACAAATCACATATGCAAAAAATAACTACGTGTGAAATGCGATGTCTCCGAAGAGTCACCAACATTACACGTAGAGACAGTAACAAACGTCAGCATTAGAGACAAAGTTGGAACAAGAGCATGCATGGAACATATTGAAAGACAGAGAATGAAGTGGTTTGGCCATTTAGTAAGAATGCAACCGGATCAGATTGCCTATAAGGCCTTTTACAGTAGAACATCGGGAAGAAAGGTCAAAGGAAGACCCAGGAAAAAATGGATAGATGGAGTAGCTAAATACGGCCAGAAGATCCAGAAAACTGTCACTCAAATCACGCGAGAGGCACAAAACAAATATTTTAAACCACGACACTGGGCTGCAACCCGGTAAAAGTGAAGAAGACAATAGATAGAATGGGGCTGTTTCACAACCAAAAGTAATAGATCTAGTTTTCTCAGGGGAGCAAGTTTAATTTATTCTATGTCTCCTATTATTTTATTTTTACTTTTATGTGTAAATCTTTGTTTCAGCTATATTCCTGTTCATATTTCTGGCTGTACTTGCATCTAACATAAATGCTGTTATTATTTTATTGATAACATTTTTACTTTCTGATCTGTTAAATGAAATGTTCATATTTCAGCCTGATCCTGGCATGCAAGTACAACCCTTTGCCTATCTTGATGACGATGCTGGAATTCCTGCCTCCTTCTCGCCCAGTTGTTGTCTACTGTCAATATTTGGAAGTAAGTCAACATTTGATGTACCATTTATTAGCATTTATAGGGAAATATGTATAACAGTTACAGAAAGAGTGTTAGTGGGTTTAGTTTTGTTATTGTGTAATTACATTGAAGTTTGTTTTTGGTATTTTTTTGGTATTACTATATAAAAAGAGAAAAAGTGTGCACTTTTCAAACTTAAGTGTGGAATAGTTAAGGCATAACTGAAATTTCTTGAAAACAATAGTCCTTCTCTGTGTACTCAACCTTCAGGGTGGTGCACTTTTCCTATGTCTTTCTTACCTCCCTGATACCTTGATTATAGATTTCTTTCTAGACCATAACATGCCTAGATTCAAATTCTTACCATTAGAAAAACTTTGTCTATAACATAGTTGTTTTCTGTTTGGAAGAGCGACCTTCTGCTTTTAAAGAAAACGATGTTGCTGCTCTCTTTGACTAATTCTTTGGCCTCAGTGATAAATGTCTACACTACAATGACTTCTCCTTTGTTTTCTGGGTCTTATGTAGACGTCTTTGAATGTATGGATATTCTGATATTCTGTCTGCTCTTTGAGAGTCTTTACTACATCCACTTTATCATGAAGAAAGTCACCACCAGAGGAGCAGTAGCAGCCTATCCAGCAGCCTGCTGATTACTCTGCACACTTTGAATGTCCATCGGAAGTATCTGTTAGTGCAATTCCAGCATTGAGTTGTTTCTCCTCCATTGGTAACAGTTTTGGCACAGATTTCGTGCCAATTCTCCACATGAAAAAATCATCCCATCGGTATGGAATGTACTGAACCAGATCTTTTTATTCACCTTGTCCATAAGTTCTTGAAATGGGACACAGTTGTTCTGACTGACCAAAGTCAAGATGTAATTTTTACTTGTTGGGATTTAATGGCATGTTGTCTTCTTTCCTCCTATGTGCAGCCATCTTTCAAGCAGTCGTAGCACTGTACACCACACCACCACTTAATTTGTTTCCATGCAAAGTAATGAATGTTGAATAAATGTTCAACTGACATAATATGTGTAGAATTTTATGTCAGGAAATATAACGTTTGCATGTAGTGTATTATTATTACATCACACGGGCAGCAGATATAAACTGTGGCATTGAAGAGCTGCAGTTTTGTAGAAGAATAAAAAAATAAAATGTTGAATTCTGAATCGAGATCACAGCATTCAGGACATTGTCATATGCGCTCTGCCCCTGTCTTCAGCGGTAAGCGCAGAGTTCCAACTCCAGTAACAGTCAGATTGTATGTCCATCTCACCTTTCCCTTGAGTGTGAGCGTCGGACAGATCCCCTACTCACTCCTTGCAGCACCATCTTCCTTAGACCATGATGATCTGTTTGTGCTTTCTCATTGTTCACTCACTCCCAAAGGACCCATATGAAATCTAGTTTGTCATGCATAAATTTGCCACCAAGTGATGTAGAATGAGCCACTCTGTCTACCTCTTCATTTCCCAACACACAGGCATAACCTAGAGAAAATATCCAGAGGACACTTACTACCTGAGACTTCTGAGGCGATGCTTGCCACTTTGCACAGAGCACACCTTTCTCTACCTATATCAACATGCTCTGTGAGACAGTTATAGAAGATTAAATGTGTAATGATATCTTGAAAAAAAAAATTACCTCATAACATATGTCATTACCTACTTTAAAGGACAGCCACCATTCTTTGGACACATCATGAGACTGGGAGAACTGAAGTATATTTTAGATATAGGAAAGCTGGAGGGGGGAAAAGGCAGAGAAAGACCAAATGAGAAAATGTTAGAAAGTTCACCATCTTGACTTGGAAGGAAAATCTGTATAAGAAATTGTGTACAGCACATTAGACAAAAAGCTGTGGATAAACATGGTGACCAATGCCATGTCGCATAGACTGTAAAAGAAATGAATGAATGTCTGAACTAAGATTTGACACCCCTGCACTCGGGACATTCTCACAGATGCTCCATCTCCTCCGTTAGCCAACAAAGAGTCAATATGATAGTTCCTCCCCTTCTCCCATTGACTATCATCTTCCAGAACTCCTGATTACTCCCCACTGAATTGGTCTCTCACATCATGGTTACTTTGTTCTGTTGCACTGTCCACTTGATGCACATTCTCACAGATGCTCCATCTCCTCCGTTAGCCAACAAAGAGTCAATATGATAGTTCCTCCCCTTCTCCCATTGACTATCATCTTCCAGAACCCCTGATTACTCCCCACTGAATTGGTCTCTCACATCATGGTTACTTTGTTCTGTTGCACTGTCCACTTGATCCCAGAGAGTCTTTACCACGTACGCTTCATGAAGTAGCTCACCAGCCAGAGGAGTAACAGCAACCAGTCTGTCAGCTTGCTTTTAACCCTGTACACCCAGATTCCTGGACAGAAAACCATGATATGCTTCTGATTCAAATCGAACGATACGAGCCACTCTGTCTGTGGAGCGCTAGGTTCTATTTTTTGAGACTATCTAAAAAGTATCAAATCTTTAATCCTGTTGGACCTGTTGGACAAAGTGTGTCAACATAAATAAACCTGATCTTTCTAGCAATAGAATAGCTGTGTTTCAGTGACCTCTTTATTATTGTCTACATTAACATTTTTCAGCCATTGGTTGAATGCTACACACAGATCAAGAAAAAAGGAATAGGACTTCAGTTGAGACTGTCAGAGACTTGGTTCAGAGAATATCAGGTTAGTGTCTTGCTTTCACAATTATAAATTATTCATCTTCTTTTATTTGCTCAAAGTTAATGTTAATTAAATATTAAAAAGTATTTTGTTTTTGTTTTAAATATTGAAATGAAAACAGTATGGGGAATCGTATAAATATCTCAATAAATATACTGTCTGTGTGTTGCTGGGACCTGTATGGGAAGTAAAGAATAGCAGCCTTTAATTCATCATGCAACAATAGTCCGGTTCTGTGACCTCAAGGTTAGTGAATGTGTTTTAACAATTTCATGATCCTCAAGTACTATAGTTTGACATTTGCAGTAGATGGTTTATTTCCAACAGTAGTAGAAGAATAGCACTGTGGAAGAGAATACCTCACCGCATAATATAAAAAAAAACCCAAGACAGATAGGGTTCATGGAGCTTACTTTCAATATGGAGATGATACATAATTTTGTGTAAACTTGTCATTTATGTCGGACTGTGTCGTGCTGTGATACAGAGAGCGGCTGCATCTTGTGGCATCATATAGGGGGATGGGGGAGGGAGGGCATAAGTAGGGAAATCAAAATAAAATTTGAAATTTTGATCTCAGGCGAAGCTATTAGAGGCGGAATTTTTAAGGCTTGCATTATACTGAAAAAATCTGCATCACTGGACTGATTCTGATTCATATTGTCATAAAAATGTCACAGGAAATAAACATTTTACAAACACATTTTACAAGAATGAGTACAATATATATTTATTAAGAAAGATGTAGAGAACTAATTTCACAAAAATGTACCACATTATAAAAGCTTAGTGAGGGAAAATACACACATTTTACAAGAATGGTTTATAAGAACCACATTTATTGAAAAAGATATGGAGAATTGCTTTGACAAGAATGGATTTAAAAAAAAAATCAATTGCAATAAAGATAAATAAACATATTTTGCAAGAATGGTTTACAAGAAGTGCATATCTATTTAGGAAAGTATAATTTCTCAAGAATGGATTAAATCATTTATGTCTAATTAGGAAAGATAAGGTACACTAGTTTATAAGAATGTGCCTAAGTTATGACAGTTTATAGAGCAAGATAAGGTTTACAAGAACAGTGTATCTTTTATGTTTATTTCACACAGAAAAAAAAAAGGAGGAGAAAGTAAAGGAATTTTTCCAACTTAGTTATAGGGTTAGACCTGTATTTTGTAGACCATCAGCATGTAATGATAATGTGGTCAGCATCATGCAGACCTCCTTTACTTCCCATGGTTACCCACGGGGGATCCGGGGCTTCTTTATAGGGAAAACAAGAATAGGCCCACTGCCTCCTTAAGAAACATGTCATAAGGGTCGACTAATTGGGGGTTTTGTTTGAAATAGGAGTCCATCTGCCTGAGAGGCAAAGCACCAGCATTCTGTACCCATTTTAAGCGGGGTTAACTTGAGAGCCAAAGCAATTTTGTAAAAAAAAAAAATCTACCTTGATAGAGATTCAAACCCATGACCTTTGGGCCCTCAGACTAGCATCTAGCTACTACACCAAGATGGCTGTGATAGTTTCATAAAAATGGATAAAATCTTTTATGTTTGAGTAAGTTAGAGAACACTAGTAGTCTCGCAAACATTTTATAAATCATTTATGTTTCAGTGAGATAGAGAACACTAGCCTTACAAGAATTTATAACATCATTTATGTTTAAGTGAGATATAGATCACTAGCCTCACAAGAATGGATACAATTATTTATGTTTCAGTGAGATAGAGAACACTAGCCTTACAAGAATGGATAACATCATTTATGTTTCAGTGAGATAGAGAACACTAGCCTCACAAGAATGGATAACATCATTTATGTTTCAGTGAGATAGAGAACACTAGCCTCACAAGAATGGATAACATCATTTATGTTTCAGTGAGATAGAGAACACTAGCCTCACAAGAATGGATACAATTATTTATGTTTCAGTGAGATAGAGAACACTAGCCTCACAAGAATGGATAACATCATTTATGTTTCAGTGAGATAGAGAACACTAGCCTCACAAGAATGGATAACATCATTTATGTTTCAGTGAGATAGAGAACACTAGCTTTACAAGAATGGATAACATCATTTATGTTTCAGTGAGATAGAGAACACTAGCCTCACAAGAATGGATACAATCATTTATGTTTAAGTGAGATAGAGAACTCTAGCCTCACAAGAATGGATACAATCATTTATGTTTAAGTGAGATAGAGAACACTAGCCTCACAAGAATGGATAACATCATTTATGTTAAGTGAGATAGAGAACACTAGCCTCACAAGAATGGATACAATTATTTATGTTTAAGTGAGATAGAGAACACTTGCCTCACAAGAATGGATGCAATTATTTATGTTTAAGTGAGATAGAGAACTCTAGCCTCACAAGAATGGATACAATTATTTATGTTTAAGTGAGATAGAGAACTCTAGCCTCACAAGAATGGATACAATTATTTATGTTTAAGTGAGATAGAGAACTCTAGCCTCACAAGAATGGATACAATTATTTATGTTTAAGTGAGATAGAGAACTCTAGCCTCACAAGAATGGATAACATCATTTATGTTTAAGTGAGATAGAGAACTCTAGCCTCACAAGAATGGATACAATTATTTATGTTTAAGTGAGATAGAGAACTCTAGCCTCACAAGAATGGATACAATTATTTATGTTTAAGTGAGATAGAGAACACTAGCCTCACAAGAATGGATACAATTATTTATGTTTAAGTGAGATAGAGAACACTAGCCTCACAAGAATGGATAACATCATTTATGTTTAAGTGAGATAGAGAACACTAGCCTCACAAGAATGGATACAATTATTTATGTTTAAGTGAGATAGAGAACACTAGCCTCACAAGAATGGATAACATCATTTATGTTTAAGTGAGATAGAGAACACTAGCCTCACAAGAATGGATACAATTATTTATGTTTAAGTGAGATAGAGAACTCTAGCCTCACAAGAATGGATACAATTATTTATGTTTAAGTGAGATAGAGAACACTAGCCTCACAAGAATGGATACAATTATTTATGTTTAAGTGAGATAGAGAACACTAGCCTCACAAGAATGGATAACATCATTTATGTTTAAGTGAGATAGAGAACACTAGCCTCACAAGAATGGATACAATTATTTATGTTTTAAGTGAGATAGAGAACTCTAGCCTCACAAGAATGGATACAATTATTTATGTTTAAGTGAGATAGAGAACTCTAGCCTCACAAGAATGGATACAATTATTTATGTTTAAGTGAGATAGAGAACTCTAGCCTCACAAGAATGGATACAATTATTTATGTTTAAGTGAGATAGAGAACTCTAGCCTCACAAGAATGGATACAATTATTTATGTTTAAGTGAGATAGAGAACTCTAGCCTCACAAGAATGGATACAATTATTTATGTTTAAGTGAGATAGAGAACTCTAGCCTCACAAGAATGGATACAATTATTTATGTTTAAGTGAGATAGAGAACACTAGCCTCACAAGAAGGGATAACATCGTTTATGTTTAAGTGAGATAGAGAACACTAGCCTCACAAGAAGGGATAACATCGTTTATGTTCAAGTGAGATAGAGAACTGTAGTCTCACGAGAATGGATAACATCATTCATGCTTAAGTGACACAGAAAACACCAGCCTGACAAGAATGACTAGAACTGTGTACACATTTTATCAGTGACATCATTCCCAACAGGTTCTCCCTCAAAGGACTCATCCACTGATGAACATGAGCGGAACAGGAGGTTACCTGCTCACTTTCATGACAGTACAGCCAGTTATTGAGAAAGTACAATCATGACACCACACATGATTAAACTGCCTGGTTTCATCACTGCTTTATTACATTGTACCAGTTAACTGAGAAATAAATCTGTGTTATTATTGAAAAAAAAAAAATTGATTGTTATTAGTTGCCCTTTGAATAGTTGTAGGTGCAAGTATGCCCCTGACGTCATGAGTTTGAATCCATATTAAGCTTGAAATGGGTACCAGGAGAGTGGGTCTATTCTTCTTCTCTCCCCCTCCCCTACAATGGGACCCTGAAACCGGCACAAGGAGATTCTGTTTCATTATTGGCACATTTCCGTCATGTGATACTACAGTGATATAAAATGACTAACAAGAATTTTGTCTTCCCTTCTTAAAGTCCATGCAGTGTGATGTTGGTAGTCATGTCTTTCCTCAGCCTTCTGTCTCGCATACTTTCAATCAGCTCTGACACAGACCATGCCATATGTCCAACTGCCCAGCATCTTTTCTCTGTCTGCCTCTGCCCCTCCTTTCTACCAGCTCTCCTACTGTCACGATGTACTTCAGTTTTCTCTTTCTCATCACATGACCAAAGAATGTAGATCGTCTCTTTCTGATGTGAGTAATCAATTTTCTTCAAGAGTCAGTTCTTTCAAGACATCTTTATTACTTTTTTTATCTGTCCAGGGTATTTTCATAATTTGTCTATTATACAGTACACACCTCCAGAGCTTCCAAATAAGTTTTCAATAATTTTCCAACTGTCCATGTTTTACTTCAAGATAGGATTTGTATAGCTTTTAAATCAGTATCCTCCTCCCCACCCTTCCTAATTCACCCTGTAAAGCCCACATATGTTTTGAATGATCATGTGACATATTCAGTACTAACTCACCATGCATTTACTGGTTACCCGCTACATGTCATGGCTGAAGTCTGCACTGTTCAAGAGAGCAATCCAGTCATTCCTTTGTGGGATGCAATTTTTTGTTTTTTAATCTGAAGCCTTACTCTGTCTCTTGTTAGGGGCCACAATGTAGCACGGCCTTAAATATGGTATAATGGCTGAACACGGTTTCTGGGACCTCTCCATGGGTGATCCTCATCCACATGGTGGCACTTTATGTCATCGGGTGTTTATAACTTGTGTGATGTCCTGGTAGGGTAAAAAAAGATAAAAAGATAGTTTTTGAACAGTTTTCCTGAGTCTTTTTATGTTCCTGTTTTTAATTAAACTACTTGTGACACATCATGTTACTATTTTATTAAATCCCCACCACCCCTAAACGATTACTACTGAAGGCAACTTTTTCTAGTTGCTTACGCAGTTTGTATGTCTACAGTTAAAAGTCTAAATACAAGGTCCGACAATTGAGTAATAAGACTAGTTCCTTAAAAATTAAAATAATCAAAAGATAAATAAAACTTGTATCTGATTCAAAGTTAAGCCCCTTGAGCATTGATAAAGCAAGTGACACGATCTAACAAACAACCTCTAGTTCTTCTGTTGTTATGGCCCTTGAAGTCGATGTTACGGACCTTTGGATGTCATCAATATCATTAAAGAAGTGTCCTTTCAATCGTAATTTTAATTTTGGGAATAGACAGTAATCACAGGGAGACAAATCTGGGGAATAGGGTGAAAGGGTGAGAACACACACTTGTTTTTGGGCCAAATATTCTTGTTTTGATGATGTCTCTTGGGTACTCAACCCGCTGATGTTTTTGGTCATCAGACAATGAATGTGGTACAAACCAGCAAGCAACTTTTTTCTTGCTAAAATCATGCACTAAAATGCTATGAATGGTCTCTCTTTTAACACCAGATTCATCTTCCATCATCCTCACAATAAAACAATAATCTTCTTGTATCCGTTCTCTGACTTTTGCAATGATTTCATTATTACGAACGGAAATTTGGCCTCTAGGTCTAGGTGCATTAGTAATCATTTCCACATCACTTTTGAATCGAGAATACCACCTGAAAATTTGTGCACGAGATAAACAATTTTCCCATAAACTTGTTGCATCAATTCAGCTGTCTCAATGGCCCTTTTTCTAAGTTTTAAAAAGAATTTAATGTTAGCTTTTTGCTCCATGCTGATTGCGTAACAATGCACCCCTGACTAGGTCGAGAAAATGGCGGCTTGTTTTTGTTTGCTTATCGAGCGGCAATGAAAAGTTGCCAGATCATAGATGAATGTTGCCTCTTTAGATTCTATGCTTTGCTTGATAGATGGCATTATCTCATTACTTAATTGTCGGACCTTGAATAACACAGACATTTAAAATAGATTATAATGATTCTGATCAAAACGCATCTCCATACTGTCAGTTTCTCTTGTTGAGGAATCTGTTATCTTTCTATTTTTAGTCACATTTTATTAAAGCTTGCGGTGGAGGTAGGGTATTGCCATAAACCCAGGGAGCGTTGGAGTTTTGCCACATAATCAAGGGCTGCAGATTGGGGGGGGGGGGGGGGGAAGAGAGAGCGAAACCTGCAAAAGGTTTGAGAGCACTGTCTTAGCAGATACAATGTTTGAACAATAGCCTGGAACAAGTTATCTGAGAAGCTCAAGAACCAAAAGGTGTACTTATCTTGTGATGATCCAGCCACTACAGCCACCTGTGAGATCAAGAGGGCACAGCATGGAGAAGTTGAACAGATGGTACTCAAGACATGAAACATTCACAGGGAATAATAATGAACAGTTCCACAAATCGAGCGTTGGAATGCAACATGCTTCCCCATGACGCTTAACGGCCAAAGCGAAGGATGTTGAATTAAGAATTGAATTTAAGATCGGCGAATCAGCCATGTATACACGTTGACTGGCACCTGAGACAACAGATCACATCCTCCACGACTGTCCCAGATTTAACGCTTCCAGGCAAAATTTCTGGCCAAAAGAGACATTTGTGGAAGTCAAACTTTACGAGCTGCTTAGTGAATTACAAAAGACAGTGAAGTTCATACAAGAGACAGCATTGCAGATGTAGATAATTTATAAGAAGAAGAAGAACTGACATCGTAGCACTCAGGACACTCCCTTAAGTGCTCCGTCCCCACCTTCAGCAGCAAGTACACCTTCCGCTAGTACAAGTAACTGTCTGATTGTACATCTGTCTCCCCCTTTCCCTTGAATGTTGAGCATCGGCCAGTCTCCTGGTAACTCGCCGCAGCGCCATTCTCCATAGCCCGTAATGTTCTGTTTGTATCTCTGCACTGTTTACTACTTGCTCAACACCATACAACAAGCGATAAACACCGGGTGACACAAAATGCCACCATTCGGATGAGAATCACCAGGCATATCCCAGAAATCCCCTTTAACCATTAGGTCATATCAGGGCCCCTGACAAAAGCTGGAGTGGGGCTTTAAAATAACAAATAATTAGCGTCCAATATTGGGACGGCAATATATAGTTTGCCCTAGGACCCAAAATGCTGTTAAGACAGTTAAAATAACACCATAATATGGTTATATTGATGAAAGAAAAGTTTATATACAAATTTTTCACCTATTCACTAATGCACATCGAAAAGTACTAGCAACAGTCTAAGCAAAAGTGCGTGTAAAATATTACCAAATGGAAACGAAATATTAAAAGTACCATTTGCATCACACACTTCTGGCTATCGCTTCCACAAAAGCCAAATAAACACTGGAGGCAATTATTATTCCGTTCTGTAACTGCTCGATCACCACCCCTGGTGTTTACTTTGCCATTTTTCGGCACCGAATTCCCTTAAACGGCCAATATTTGTTAAACGTGTTAGCAGTAAGGTGTATGAAGACGTAAACATCAATCCGTCGAATTCCTGGGAATGGTAGCGGATTAACGGTTTCTGAACCAGTCGGAGATTAATTTCCCCTTCCCCAAATTACATGCGCAAACAGTCTTCTTGTGTTAGTTCAGCGTTGTGCCCTTGTGGGATGCAATTGTTAGTTATTTTGATGCTCCACCCTGGCTTTTGCCGGGGTCCCTAAATATAGCCTGGCCTTAAAAATGGCATAACAGCTGAACGTGGTTTCCGCGACCTCTCCACGGTGATCCTCATCCGCATGGTAGCACTTTGTGTCGCCTGGTGTTTATCACTTGTGTGATGTCCTGGTGGGGTACAACTTACCAACCTACCCAGTCTTCTTGTGATGGCTTTTTAAAATGTACACCAGCGGTGTTAAATCTGTAGGTCGCGACCCTTTTAGGGGTCGAACGACCCTTTAACAGGGGTCGCCGAAGACCACAGAAAACCACATATTGACTGAATTTATGAAATAGCAACGAAAATAATTTATGGTTGGGAGAGGGGGAGCGGTCACCACAACACAAGGAACTGTATTAAATGGTCGCGGTGTTAGGAAGACTGGGCTACCACTGATTTACACCGACAGGCGGGTACACAAAGATAGAGACGCGATGTTGGTAACTCTACATTAGGCAAGGCGCTGTCGTCTTTTGGAGAAAGCAGGTTCGAGTCCAGGTTTGGTCATTAAGACGTTCAGTTTCTGTTTTGCCAATTGCATCCGATTAAATAAATAATATCCGATTAAATAATACACTCCAGCACCATCATTTCTAACTGCACTTTGTTCGGACCCATCTGTATAGACTCTGACCCATTATTCTTGTGGGTATACTTCATCAATATAATTGAGGGTGGCCATTCTGCGTTGTACACTGTCTTGCTCTTTTTTGTCAAATATCCCTTTCACATCTGTCTGGATTTGTAGTTTGCATTTTTCTCTTCATAGGGTTTGTTCTGAAATACTTTTAAGTGGACAACCAATTTCTGGAAGGTCAGTAGTTTGTCTACATATTCTTTTTGCTTAGTGTATAAAGCTGCTTCTTATTAACCGTCCCAAGGTTAGTTTCTGAAATCTATTTTTCATCGGTTGATATGGCATACTGAGGAACTTTTCAGCTTGTATTTGCAACTTTGTATCTCTGCGTTCTCTCAGTGCCTGTGTTTTCCCAGCTTTCTCCATTTCTAATATGGGGGTAATTTCATCCCTCCTGTGATGACTCTGAGCGCTTGATTTTGCA